CAGACGTGTCCTACCTCTAGTCTGCAATCGGCCTAAATAATTAGAACCGGTTCCTTTCATGGGGTCTATAAGGGCTATTATAAGGATTTAGTATAGGCGCCTAAATAATTACCAATACTATTTTGGGGGATGGTTGTGTACCGTGGCACCATCTCGTGAATGGGAGCTCACGATCGTCGACACCCCCCCGAGGGAGGGGTTTAGGGTTTGGGGGTTAAGGGTTTTAGCACCCATCATATTAGGGTCCCACCCCTGTGCCATGCAACGCCCACACCCTTTGGGCACACAGTCTCAAACTATTGCAGGTCTGTTCGATGTCACAACCGCACGAAATCTTTCTGAGGACCTGCAAGAAAACACCTAACCCCACAGCACTAAACTATGAGACCCGATAATCGCAACCCTGAAAGCACCCCACTCACAGAAATGCAGCAACCCCTATAGGATCCTTAGTGGTATTCTAAACTTATAAATCTAAACCTAAACCCCTAAACCCTAAACCCCTAAACCCCAAACCCTTAAACCCCTAAACCCTAAACCCCTATAGGATCCCTAGCCGGTGCTTCGTCGAGCGGCGTAGGTGCTCAGAGGCTTATCGAAGAAGGCGCTGAATGTCTGCCCGCACTCCTGGGCGGGAGGCCAAAAGGGGGGTTTAAGATTCTTGGGGTAGGGATTCCTTAATATGAGCCCTATTATGGGAACCCTAACCCCTACTAAACCCCCATAGGCTAAAACCCCTTTTGGCCTCCTATGACTCCTGGGCGCGTCCCTAAAGTTTGGGCTTCGGGTCTATATATAGGGTTTAGGGGTTTAGGGTTGAGGGGTTGAGGGTTTTGAGAAATAAATCCTGCATTACCCATAGTTTAGGGTCCGTAATTATAAGGTAAGGGCAGGATTTATATCATCAACCGTAGGTTTAAGGCTTTAGGGTTTAAGGGTTTAGGGCTTCCTCAGGATTAGCAACTTACGAGTTTAGTACGTGTTCATAGCTTTGTAGAGAGTTGGGATTTAAGGGCTTAGCGTTGTTCATATATGAGGTGTTTTGCTTAAAGAATTTGTGCTTGGCTCAAGGGAGGCGTACAGCGAACTGAAGCAAGGTTGGGCCCCCCGCTCAAACAAAACAACAACTCAAAAATGCACAGCACCGGGACCCTGAACCCAAACTCGTACAACGTAGTCCCTAAACCCTAAACCCTAAACCCTAAACCTTAACCACTGGCAGCCCTTAACCCGACCCGAAACCCTGCAACACAAGCCACTAAACCCATGTCACCTAAACTAGCATGCCCAGTAACCTAGGCATAAAAAGAGCTCCCTTTTTGGTATTGGGTAACTGTATAAGGAATCTAGGACTACAAAAAGGGAATAAGGGTACTACTGGGCATCCTAGTAAATGCACCCACATACAGACAGAACCAACCTGTGGCCCAAATACCTACCTGTTGGGGGAATCATACACAGAAACCATAGTAAGGAACTCTCTTCTTCAACAACCGGGCCAAAAGAAGCTCAAACTTTCTAATATATAAGGCCAAAAAGTTTAGAGTTCCTCCGTTCACTATCTAAGGGCACCGTAAAAGGTAGATTTTTACTTGAATTAATACGTCTACAAGAACCGCTTTAGGTCCAGGATTTCCAAAGAAATGCAAATATGGGTAGTTCTCTAAATTATGGTCCCCTTTTGGGTAATTACCCTAAATATTAGGTGCTGCAGTATATTGAGAACCCAAAAGGGGACCATCATTTTTGACAACCACCCATATATTGGCCTTGAACGGGTTCGCCGGTAGGCAGTGTACTGTAAGTAAGGCCAACGCATATGTTGAATAGGTAAGTAGACCCCTAATATTCTAGGCCTTTCTGAAATGACCGTTATCGAAGAATGCTTTTCAACCTAGCCGGGGCACCGTGCAGACCTGTCTGCAGGGCTCGCAGTCAATTTTACTGCAAACCTGCGCAAAAAGCCGTGGGATTTCTGTCAGGCTTCTGTTGGGTTCTGTATGAGTTTTGGAACGGGCCTGCACGACTTACAAGGGGTGTCCCAGCAGGCTTAAAGTAAAAGCCAGAAAGTTGGAATATTATTATCCTAAACCCTTTATGGTAAATTATAAGGTATCCTACCCTGAAACCATATTCCAACTTTCTGGAGCTCCCTTTAAGGGTTTGGGGCTCTGGCCCTGAAACGTGGAGGCATCGTAACCCAGAGCCTCCAAACCCCCTTAATTAAGGAATATATACCTTAAATCCTTTTTAGGATCCTACTATAATTTAAGGGATATTCCTTAATTAAGGGATTTTGGAGTCTCTGGGAACTCTAGGCTTCCGGGCTTCTGTTTCAGGATTTGGGCTTACCATACCGGAAATTTGAAGACTGCTTCTGGTTTAGGGTTTAGGGTTTAGGGTTTAGGGTTACGGGACTCGCCTATTCAACCCGCATCCCTAGAGCAATATCCCCTATAGACCTAAAGGCAAACGCTCTAAACAACGAAACCGCAAAACGCTTTGCCCTGCACCATTGCATCGCGAACCCCAGAGCGCAAGGTGAAAATCCTACAGCCCTGTAGAGCGACAAAAAGCAGCAATACTAGAGCCCCATACGGCAGCCGGGGTGTGTTAAGATGCCCCATGAAGCCGGCTTGAGAGGCGCTTGCAGAGCTGCATGCATCCTGTAGGGGCCTACATAATTACCAATACTACTGCTGATGGACAAAACCCTGCATGACCGTATGGACTCTAAACTATGGGAACTATGGTATATTCCTTATAATGGGTAATGCAGGATTTTGTCCATCAGCAGTATTTTGGGAGGTTCATAATGGGCCCCAAAAGCCTGTTTTGATTATTAAGGCTCCTGTCCCAAAGGGTCCCATGTACTGTTATGGGGGATACTTCCCTAAGTCATAATAATAATAATGGAAACCCTACATTCTACTATATCGGTACATAGGACCCTTTGGGTGTATTGGTTGCATGGCGCCTTGCCGCATTCGATACACGCCTTCCCCGGCAGCGCGCAGACTTCTTTGGCACATGTGAACACCTCAATCTTGCATAGGAAAGGGCTGCCCTAGTAGACCCCATCCCAACCACTATATGTCAGTATGTCATGACCTACCCGTGATTTTGTCAAGTCTCAACATAAAAAAACTGTTGAAACAACACATCCGCACAAAACAAACAGACGGACTTTAATTTGATGAGGAGTTTCAGGGTTTAAGGTTTTGAGAGCAACCTTGGAGGGCATCGTCGAACTCACGCCTTAACAACTGCCAAAACCCACATTTTTGGTAGGTTCTTACTATAAACCCCATAGGGGCTCTACACCAAGGAAGGATTTGGTAGGTTCAGGCAGCTACATTGAAGGCACCATGAAGAAGCACTGACGCTCCGAGAGGTGATGCGAATGTGCAGGGTTCATGTTTCAGGGTTTCAGGATTGGTGGCTTGCAACATATTGACGTTTTAAAAAAGCCCACATGTAGAAAATATGGTATGCGGCATGCTCGTGTGTGTATAATATATATATATATATATATATGTATATATATATATATATATATATATATATATATATATATATCGGTGGTGCAAACATGGTCCACATAGGACGAATAAGATAGGTCTCCAAATTCGAGTCGTTTTTAGGGCTCTTGCTACAAGAGTGGCAGATTCTTTGGGCCTCCTCTTACCCTGATTTAGTTATCTAGAGACACCCCGATTGAAGCAGCCACCACACCACGCTAAGGTGCAGCAAACGTGGAAACGTACGGACCATCCTCGAAGCCAAGTCCCCTCCTGGACCCCCTTCCCCAAAAATCCAAGTACCCAATAATCATATACTCTCCAAAATCCTAACCTACATAACTACTATCCTAAAACCGAGTACCTAATTATTGGGTCCTTTGGACCCTTGGGGCTTGTGCAAGCAGGGGACATGGATCATGGCCTCTTCCCGCACCTTCCTCCACTCCTAAACGTGTCTTGATCTGAAATGTGCAGCAGAAAAACAGGCTCTGCTAGGGCCCCAAAAAAGCACATAAGCAAAAATTAGGCTAGGGATATCCCATAAAAACCTCCTTATAATGAAGCCCAATAAGGTAGGGATATCCCCATATAATGCTTATGCTTATGTGCTTTCGGCTGCAGGATTCCGGGATTGGGGTTGGGATTGCAGATCACGGGCTTTGGGTTGAGGATGTGCACGGCAGCATCTCAACTGAGGCACTGGAAATCTTCAGATCGGTCGGGGGCTTTTGAAGCACAGTGAACCCTAAACAAGAAAGCCCTAAACCCTGTACTCTTGGCGTGTGCTCCGCAAGCGATTTCACCAAGACACAAGGCAGAGTCCTAAATCTGCCCTAGCCGTGCACGTTGGACTGTGAAGCAACATGTCCTGAACCGTTCCGGGGCACATGGATAGGGATATCATCCGGGTTGTACGCTGGGTCCCTACACTATATTTATTGGTCATACTGTGTCATAATCTCAATAACGGTGCTCTGAACCTGACTACTAACTTACATGAGCCATTGATCAGGGCGTCTTCGTATCGAGGTTGCTTACGGAACCGTAAGGGTCCAAGTGCCTCATAATCACATGCTCTCCCAACAACCCACATAACTACGACTATCCGAAACCCACATGCATAATTGTTGGGTACTTGTGACCCTTTAAGAATTGGGCTGAAGGGCTTCTCAAGCCAAAAATGAAGGCCCGGAGCTGGACAAAATCGCAGTGGGTTAGGCCTTCAAAAGGTAGGTTATGTGGGGTTGGGCGTTAAGGTCGCCCTTGACCGCATCATAGTATGACTTCCTTATGTAAGTCCCTTTTCAGGCAGGTTATTTGGGGTTAAAGTAGCGCGACAAATTCCGCACGCCCTGAAAGCACATCCCAAAACTGACATTCCGGATGCTGAACGCTTTACTCTGAAGCCCTCTCGTCCAAATCCCAGGAACCCGAACACCCAAAAGCAGGAACCCGAACTCCCAAAGAGGGCCAAACGTAGCTGCGGCAGCAGTGCGGGGCTGCACTGCGGCCCCCCGCTCCCATCAGGATGAGCAGGCTCCTGGCCCACAGGGTCCAAGTACTCCCTATTATAGGACTTTAGAGCCTTTCTAGGTACCAAAAACCATAAATAGGAAGTACTTGGACCCTTAGGGTGAGGGTTTAGGGTTTGGGGCTTTAGTGTTTCAGGGCTTCCCGGTAGCGTTTTTAAGACTTGCTTTTCGGTGTTACCACTTCTTGTCCTACATCGTCAGCACGCTTCATAGGGCGTCTGAGTCCAAACCCTGTCATGCCGAAGCCCTAAACCCCACACCGGGCACCACACCCCAAACCCTACACCCCAAAACCCTAAACCCTAAACCCTAAACCCTAAACCCTAAACCCTAAACCCTAAACCCCAAACCCTACACCCCAAACCTCTAAACCCAAACCCCTAAGCCCTAAACCTCACAGCCTAAAACCGAAACCCGGAGTCTCCCCGGCATGAGTGCCCAGAGAGCCCAAAATACCCCTCAATTTAAGGAATATACCTTAAACTATAAGGGGATTCACATTATGATTTAAATTTATGCGATATTGTAGGTACTGCCCCCATAAAGCAAGAGTCGATAATAGGGCTACTATTAAGATCCTAATATATCTATATTAAGAGTATTATTCAACTATTACTGAGTGGAGGCCGTACCCAAGCTATATTCCTTAATTAAGGAGTATTGGGCTCTCTGGGCCCTAAACCCTAAACCCTAAACCCTAAAACCCTAAACCCTAAACCCTAAACCGGTTCTTCCTGCATTTGGAACTCTAGAGCTTCAAGGCTCTGCGGCTGTGTGGGCAGGGCTGCGACTCCGGAACCCAGAGACCCCAATATCCCTAGGGTTCCTTTAAGGGATCTATAAGGGATCTATAGGGTTTAGGGTTTAGGGGACTCCGATATCCCTTAATTCAGGAATATACCTTAAATAATTAGGGATCCTACCAAAAATTTACGGAACATTCCTTAATTATGGGATATTGGAGTCTCTGGGAAGGTTATCAGGGCGGGCGTTCAGGGTTCAGGGTAGGGGGTTCAGGGATGAAGATGAGGCCTGTATGAGCAGAGTAGGGTTCTGGGGTATGTTACAGTATACATGGGTAGTTGTCAAAATTTTCGTAAGGACCCAAAAAAGGACCCTAATTTTGACAACCACCCACATATCAAACGGAACCCTGTGGTCAGTTGTGCAGAAACACCCTCTTACTAGTAGTATCCCCCAGGATCTGATGCCGCATAAACTCCCCCTGTGCAGAGCCCTATGAGTCCTCTGTCTATAAACTTCTGCAAACCACTAGAAAGCCCCTTCAGCCGTAAGCCAACTAATGTAAACCACGTTTGCCCACTCCCCATCCCAACCCTAAACCCTAAACCCTAAACCCTTTTGTCCACTCCCCATCCCAATAAACAGCGCAGATCCCCACACCCTGAACCTCCGTATCCCACTACAAGCGCTTAAACTTTGGAAAATCCAGGGTGCAAACCCTAAGCCCCGATAAACCACGAAGCCCCTAAACCCTAAGCCTAAACCCTAAAGCCACACCCCGCTATAGAACCAAACCCTAATCCCTGAACTTTACACCCTTTTATAGAAACCTTGTGGATCCCTTTAAGGAGCCCTTATGGATCCCTGTAAAGGAACCCTACAGGCCGTTCTCCGCCCCCCAAGCGGGCTCCGTCATGCAGGCATCGGCTGCCGGACTAGGCTCGAAGCTGGTCAGAGCACCAGCCTCCACTAAGCCTGGTTCTATTTTTTACGGTTCAGGGTTTAGGGTTTAGGGTTGACGGCCTTCTTCGTGCGCCTGCCTAAGTCGGCTCCTAACTAACCGTCCATTCCTGCGTTTCTGTAAGCCTGGTTCAGGGTTTGGGGTTTGGGGTTTAGGTTTCCTGAGTTTAGGGGTTTAGGATTTGGGGTGTAGGTTTATGAGTTTAGGGTTGAGGCGAGAAGGATGGCTTCCGGGTTCAGGCTTATGAGTTTGAGGTTTAGGCGTTTAGGATGGTTTCGGGTTTAGGGGTTATGAGTTTGTAGGGCTTAGGAGTATAGGGGTTTAGGGCTTAGGGCCTGGAGTACGAGGGCTCCTTTACCCAGATCCGCGGGAGGATCCAAAAAGTAGATCCCCTATCTTGGGACCCCGCACTACTACTATTCCTAAGGGTGCTGTATAGGAACTTAAACGATCTACTTTGTGGGTCATCCAAGGAGGTCGGGGTAAGAGTTCCTTTAAGGCTTTAAGGGTTTACGGTTTAGGTGCTAGGTTTAGGCAAGGGGCCTTGATCAAAAGACAAAGGCTCTTAGAGGGTTTACTACGGTTACTATAAGGGTTCTGTACTGTATATTGCTCAGCATAGGGCTGTTGGTTGTGGTAAGGAATGCTACAGAAATGCGCTACTTGGTACCAATTCCATACTACATGTATACTACCATTATGGAATTAGGTCACCAAAACCACAATAAAGATTTCCATAATGGTAGTATATATGGGAGTTTCCGAAAATTAGGGTACCCTATTTTGGGTTCCTTATAATAAGGAAATTTAGGATACAATATTAGGATCCCCTATATTCGGAAACTCCCATACGGACCTTCTGGGCTACTTCGTGGACCAAGAAGCCCTTGCAAGCCCCTGTGAAGCTCTCAAGAAATTCTCTAACTCATAAACCCCCATAACTCAACCCTAACAGTATATGCCGACTACTACTTTACCCCTACAGCCGCTTGTAAAAATCCTAAACCCTGACAGCTATAACCTAACACCCTAAACCCTACACCCTAAAACCTAACCCCTGCGCCAAGGAGCGCTCCAGGATCCACTTCTTCGAGCGTTCGCTGTGGGAGGGGCTCGGGCAGGTGCTCAGCGGCGTGCTCTGCGGCGTCGCGTTCCTTAGGCTTCGGGTTGAGCTTTTGGGGATTACCTTATTATATAGGTAGGGATTCCTTAATATGAGCCCTATTATGGGAACCCTAACCCCTACTAAACCCCTTATGCTTCGGGTTGAGGGTCTGGGATTTACCCATAGGCTCCATAGTAGTTCCTTTTTGGGGATTACCTTAAAGGATGCTAAATATGAGCCACAAGAAGGAACTAATTACTATGGAGCCTCTAGGTAGGGCCCGACCCAATGTGCGAAGGCTCTAACAGGACCACTGCCTTGAAGCTTCGGGGGTACCCAAACCGTCATGTTTAAGCCTGTCGGGCGACGTTGAGCCCAAGGGTGGCTGCAGCTCTGTTTGTTTGGCTTACCCAGTTCTGTATTTGGGATCCTACAAGTTAACCCCCAACCCCCTAAAAGGAACTCTAGAATGGATACTTTAAGCAGGCTTGTAGTTTGCAAGCTTTGATCCGAAGATCCGAGGGCAAGCTTTGGACTTAGGATGGGAGGCCAAAAGGGGGGTTTAAGATTCTTGGGGTAGGGATTCCTTAATATGAGCCCTATTATGGGAACCCTAACCTCTACTAAACCACCCATAAGCTAAAGCCCCTTTTGGCCTCCTATGAACTTAGGATGCCGGGTTGCTATCAGAAAATACCACATGGGGGAGGGATTCTACCCATAGGCTCCATAGTAGTTCCCTTTTGGGATCATCCTATAGGGTTCTTAATATGAACCGCAAAACGGGACTACTATGGAGCGCCAGGGTATAGGCATCAAACTAAAGTTGATGATTGCGTTTGCAGCAGTGGCGGGAGCTCCACCACCAGTAACTTCCCTGACCCGAAAACACGAAAGCCGCGTGTTCTAAATCCGCAAATCCCCCAAAGCCCTACATTCATTCTCTTTCACCCTGCGTGCTTTGTGGGAGTTACTCCAAACAACAAACGACCTGATATGAACCCTGTACAGTACATTAAGAGCATGTAGGGCCACATTCTGGGGACGCCCCTACCCCTAGCCGACTCTGAGGCTATCCTTCTGCGCAACATCGAAGCCTTAAGGCCCACCAATACGAATCCTTGGGACTCAATTTTGACTCCTTAGGACTCCGGACACCTAAGAAAGATGCCCATGATCTAATCTGAAGCCATGCGTCTATGCAAGATAGAACAGCATAGCTGCGTGCCAATACTACTTCTTAGAGTTCCTTAGTACATTTCTACTACATTATACCCCCCTCCATAAAACTAAAAGAACTCTAAACCCTGAACCCTGTCCAAAAACAAGCCGTAAATTAGTCCTTAAAAAGGTACTTTGGGGCCAACGTATGTACTAGTCGGGTAAAGGGACCCTTATATACCCTGAAAATCCCTAAACCCTTGAGGGAACCCCTTACACGAACAGTTAGGGACACTGTTTGGGTACATGGGCCCTTGGGGTTAAGTCCTCTACAGTGAACCGCATTAAGTTGGAAGCCGGATTAAGGCCAAATAGTGCTGGGATACCCTTCACATTACTCTTAAGATTGAGGCTATTGGGTTTCCAACTTTTGGGCTTCTACTGTACCTAGAGGCTCATACCCTACCCCTTTTTAGGGTGCCTACTTTTTGAGATAACAGATCCTAACCATAAAACTAGGTATCCTAAAACAGGGGTAGGATATAGGCCTCTAGGTAGATTAATCTAAACCCTAAACTCCTAAAACCCTAAACCCTAAACCCCTAAATCCTAATTAACCTTAAACTGAAGGAGCCCCTTTGCTCCCAGACTAATCCCAAAGCCGAGGAGGCTCCCTGTCGCTGGCAAAGCCCCGATCACCGTGCGTCGTAAGGCGGAGGCCGCCAGACTGTAGGACTCCTTCAGTAGACCTACCCAGAGACTCCAATATTCCTTAATTAGGGAATATACCTTAAATCCCATATTAAGGATCCTACTATAATTTAAGGTATATTCCTTAATTAAGGGATATTGGAGTCTTTGGGTACCCAGACCTCCTGGAGGATCTAGAAAGTAGATCCCCTAAGCTTAGGGCCCTATACTACTAAGGGTACTTTTTTGGAACCCCTATTAAGGGATCTACTTTTTGGATCCTTTTGGGGGTCTGGGTAAGAGTTTAGGGTTCCTTTAAAGGGATCCATAAGGGCTCCTTAAAATGAGGGTTCTAAAACTCCTTCAATTTAGGGCAATTAGGGTTTAGGGTTCAGGGTTTAGGGTCCAAGGTTTAGGGTTCAGGGTTTAGGACCTAAGAGTAAGCTAGGAATAAAAAGGGTGCCCTTTTTGGTTTAGAGGGTGTTATAAGGGAACCTAAACCCTAAAAGGAAATAAGGGCCTACTCTGGGTCGTAGTCCTTACAATTCAGTTTACGGTACTCAAGGGTTTAGGGTTTGGGGTATAGGGTATAGGTGTTAGGGTGTAGAGGGTTTAAGGGTTTAGGGTATAGGTTTTAGGGTGTATGGGATTGATCAAGGGTTACGCTAGCCATGCTCACTCAAGCTTCGTGCTTCTACTATGTTTGGGTGCTTGCTCGGCCTCTTTTTTCTCCCCGGTCGTCGCCCCTGTTGTCGTCTTGCTTACTATGCCAGCGCCCCACTTGATGGTTCGTCTTGCAGGATCACCCGCTAGTACTAAAGTTTCAGTGTTTTTTGCGTCAACTATCACAGACGAATCATTGATCCTAAAAGCCTTCTCTTGGAAGGCTCCTCCATTGTAAATAAAACTGGGTTGTAGCCTGCCTCCAAAGTACATCTGGTAGCCATTAGATACGCTGATCTGGGAAATTTTCACACCGAGCCATCCACTCGATCCTCCGCCCAGCCGGCGAAGCTTGTCGGCTCACATGGTCGGTTGGGGAGCAAAGTGTTGCCAAGAGAGGTTAGAAGGCAATTGGGATGCTTTTGTTCGTTGGGCCACTCGGCCGGAGTGCTTTAGCCCGAATACATGCTCCCTCAGACTGCTACGTGCTCGCTGCTGCTATACGTGCTGGTTCGCTGCTACACGTGCTGGCTCACTGCTCAGCGTGCTCGCTCGTGCATACGTGCTCGCTGGATAATTTTTGTTTCGCGCATGTGCCGCCACGTGGGCGAACACAAAACTTGAGCGAGCAACCATTTTTGTTAAACCGAAGCAATGGCTGTTAAATGGTGAAAACCCAAGGAACGAGCGTGCTCGCTCGAAATCCAGCCCTCTACTGGAATACGCGCTCGCTCAGATTTTACAGTCGCCGTTGTCGCCGCACCGGAACAAAGCACACTTGTTAGGAGCACCGCAGCCACGAGCGAGCACTGAGGTTGTCATGGCCGCCGTACAGTGGCTCCATATACATTGTATGCACTTCTGCAACCGCTCGGTTGCACGCATTCTTCTCTTTGCCTGTCCAACGTGCTTGCTCAGACCGGAACGTGCTCGCTCAGACTGCTTCGTGCTCGCTACTGAGGTTACCCGAAGGAACGGAACGAGATGAGTTGAACAAGCGATTTCTGAAAAGGCTCAATAGTTCAATATGTGGATGGCTGCTTCCGGAAGAATCAGCCTCGGCGGACTCTGGATGTCACCAGATGTACTTTGGAGGCAGGCTACAACCCATTTTTGTTCCATGGAGGAGCCTTCCAAGAGAAGGCTTTTAGGATCAATGATTCGTCTGTGATAGTTGGCGCAAAAAAGACTGAAACTTTAGTACTAGCGGGTGATCCTGCAAGACGAACCATAAAGTGGGGCGCTGGCATAGCAAGCAAGACAACAACAGGGGCGACGACCGGGGAGAAAAAAGAGGCCGAGCAAGCACCCAAACATAGTAGAAGCACGAAGCTTGAGTGAGCATGGCTAGTGTAATCCTTGAATTGAGGGGTTTAGGGTTTAAGGGCAGATATAAAGACGCAAAGAAGTACCCAACAAAAACACGCTAGGGATATCCCACACAAGATGTTGCGTTTGAGCTTTTCGTTGGTTCCTGAACCCTACATAGGAAGGAGAGCTCTTTACCGCGAAGTGTCTTCTTCTGAGAGTCGACATACTTGTTCAGGGGCTCCTTTGACTCTGTAAGGTGTACAGTGTAGCTTCGGGGGGGAGTTTCAGAAATCAGGTGTCCGATTAACGGTATCCTCAGTCTACTAGAAACCGCGCACCCTAAGCCTGGTAAACCCTGAACCCTAAGCCCTGAAAGCCCTAAACCCAAACGCCGAAGTCCCTGCGAACCTGACATATGAAGCACCACAAGCGGGTGCTACTATGAATTTTCCGATGCCCTAATTAAACGCTGAACCCCTAAACCCTAAACACCGGGCAGTCCTGGCCGCTGGAACTGTTCTCTTCCGGCTTGGCTTGGCTCTCGCCCGGCAACTCCGCTGCCGCAGCTGCCTTGAGCTTGCCGATGGCTTGCCTCAGTTAGCGTGCTCAGAGCGTTAGAGTAGGGGTTTAGAGGTTTAGGGTTCAGGGGTCAGGGTTTAAAGCTGTTCGGGCTTAGGGATTGAATCTTTCTGGGTTTGGGGATTTGTGGGGCTTTCGAGGTTTAGTGTTTGTAAAGCTCTACTTTTCGAGGGTGAGGGGTTTAAGAGTTTCGGCACAGGGAACCATGACCTCACAGGATTCCATGAGTTAGCAACACTTACTCCAAGCTAACCGACGCAACTACAATGCGAAACCCAAGTACCCTCTTACTGGGTCCTTTGCCTTATGGTAAGCAAGAACCTCAAACCTCAAAACCCTAAACTCCAAACAGCCCCGAAACCCTTTAAACCCAAGCCCTTGACCCTCAAATCGAAAACCCCACAATCCCAAAACTACCCCTAAACCCTTTACAACCCCTACTACACCCCAAGCCCCCTTGACCCCCAAACCTAAAACCCCAAGCCCGTCGTCCCAGGTGCAATGCCGGCACCGCATCGAGGAGCGGGCTCCCACTGGTCGCGTGCGTCTGTGCGGGGTAAGGGCTTCCCCGGACCCCCAAAAGCTTCGAGGGCTCAGGCACCTAAAGTTAAGGTTTTGAAGGGTCTTAAGGGTTTAGGCACTACTAGCCCTAAACCCCGAACCCCTAAACCCTAAACACCGGGCAGTCCTGGCCGCTGGAACTGTTCTCTTCCGGCTTGGCTTGGCTCTCGCCCGGCAACTCCGCTGCCGCAGCTGCCTTGAGCTTGCCGATGGCTTGCCTCAGTTAGCGTGCTCAGAGCGTTAGAATCAGGGGTTTAGAGGTTCAGGGTTCAGGGGTCAGGGTTTAAAGCTGTTCGGGCTTAGGGATTGAATCTTTCTGGGTTTGGGGATTTGTGGGGCTTTCGAGGTTTAGTGTTTGTAAAGCTCTACTTTTCGAGGGTGAGGGGTTTAAGAGTTTCGGCACAGGGAACCATGACCTCACAGGATTCCATGAGTTAGCAACACTTACTCCAAGCTAACCGACGCAACTACAATGCGAAACCCAAGTACCCTCTTACTGGGTCCTTTGCCTTATGGTAAGCAAGAACCTCAAAACTCAAAACCCTAAACTCCAAACAGCCCCGAAACCCTTTAAACCCAAGCCCTTGACCCTCAAATCGAAAACCCCACAATCCCAACACTACCCCTAAACCCTTTACAACCCCTACTACACCCCAAGCCCCCTTGACCCCCAAACCTAAAACCCCAAGCCCGTCGTCCCAGGTGCAATGCCGGCACCGCATCGAGGAGCGGGCTCCCACTGGTCGCGTGCGTCTGTGCGGGGTAAGGGCTTCCCCGGACCCCCAAAAGCTTCGAGGGCTCAGGCACCTAAAGTTAAGGTTTTGAAGGGTCTTAAGGGTTTAGGCACTACTAGCCCTAAACCCCGAACCCCTAAACCCTAAACACCGGGCAGTCCTGGCCGCTGGAACTGTTCTCTTCCGGCTTGGCTTGGCTCTCGCCCGGCAACTCCGCTGCCGCAGCTGCCTTGAGCTTGCCGATGGCTTGCCTCAGTTAGCGTGCTCAGAGCGTTAGAATCAGGGGTTTAGAGGTTCAGGGTTCAGGGGTCAGGGTTTAAAGCTGTTCCGGCTTAGGGATTGGATCTTTTGGGGTTTGGGTGTTTTGAGAGCTTCGGGCATCAGCATGCTTGCAATTTGGCTTCGAGGCATGCCACCACACAGGGAACCATGACGACACAGGATTCCATGAGCTAGCAACACTTACTCTAAGCTAACCGACGCAACTACTATGCGAAACCCAAGTGCCCTCTTCCTGGGTCCTTTGCCTTATGGTATGCAAGAGCCTCAAACCCCCAAACCCCAAGCTACCCCTAAACCCTCTAAACCCCAGCCCTCGACCCTCAAATCGAAAACCCAAAAATCCCAAAACTACCCCTAAACCCGTTACAACCCCTATAAAACCCCAAGCCCGTCGTCCCAGGTGCAATGCCGGCACCGCATCGAGGAGCGGGCTTCCACTGGTCGCCTGCGTCTATGCCGGGTTGGGGCTTAGATGCCCCAAAACATGGAGAGCAGTAGCTCTTTATAGGCTCTTTGAGCAACTTTGTAACCTACTCTTGGGGGTTTAGGCAGGATTTACTGCTCAGCATTAACGGTTCGGGTTTCAGGGTTTGGGTTGCTTTTAAAGAGTGATGGTCTTGGCGAGGGTTTAGGGCTCAGGGTTTTTTTTCAGGGTTGAGAGGGTTGAGGGATCAGGGATCAGGGCACAGGGTGTGTTGTTCATACCGCGAAGTGTCTTGATCTAGGAGTGGCAGATTTGTTAATGGCCTCCTTAGCCTCTGTAACGTGTACAGTCTTGAGGGAAGTTTCAGAAAACGAGCTGTCCGATCAAAGGGATCCTCAGTCTAGAAGAAAAAGCCCCCACCCTAATGATGCCCTAAACCCTGAACCCCTAAATCCTAAACACCGGGCAGTCCTGGCCGCTGGAACTGTTCTCTTCCGGCTTGGCTTGGCTCTCGCCCGGCAATTCCGCTGCCGCAGCTGCCTTGAGCTTGCCGATGGCTGGCCTCATGGGTTTAGGGTGCTGCGGTGCTTGGAGCTTCAGGATTAGGGTTGAGTGTTTATAGGGTTCAGAGGTCAGGGTTAAAAGCTGTTCGGGCTTAGGAATCTTTTTGGATTTGGAGGTTTGTAGGGCTCTCGCGATTTAGTGAAGTTTCAAGGGTCTAGGGTTTAAGAGTTTCGGGCATCAGCGTGCTTGCAATTTGGCTTCGAGGCATAACACCACACAGGGAACCATGACCACACAGGAATCCATGAGTTAGCAACACTTACTCCAAGCTAACCGACGCAACTACTATGCGAAACCCAAGTGCCCTCTTCCAGGGTCCTTTGCCTTATGGTAAGCAAAAACCTCAAACCTCAAAACCCTAAACTCCAAACAGCCCCTAAACCCTGTAAACCCAATCCCTTGACCCTCAAATCGAAAACCCCACAATCCCAAACTACCCCTAAACCCTTTACAACCCAAAACCCCCCTTGACCCCCAAACCTGAAACCCCAAGCCCGTCGTCCCAGGTGCAATGCCGGCACCGCATCGAGGAGCGGGCTCCCACTGGTCGCCTGCGTCTGTGCGGCGTAAGGGCTTCCCCGGAACCCCAAAAGCTTCAAGGGCTCAGGCACAAAAAGTTAAGGTTTTGAGGGGTTTTAGGGGTTTAGGCGCTACTAAAAAGTTTAGGGTTTACGGGTTCAGGGTTCGGGGCTGAGGGGAGTTCAGCTCTACGATTTAGGGTTGCCTGGACACTGCAAAAAATATTTTTAAGGTTCCCTATGATGATTTCCTTGCATAAGTCCTTCAAACTGTGCGGGGTTGGGGCTTAGATCGGCCCCAAAACATGGAGAGCAATAGCTCTGTATAGGCTCTTTGAGCAACTTTGTAACCTACTCTTGAGGGTTTAGGTAGGGTTTCCTGCTCAGCATTAACGGTTTAGCGTTCAGGGTTAAGGGTTTTTGCTTTAAACACTGATGGTCTTGGCGAGGGTTTAGGGCTCAGGGTTTTTTGTCACGGTTGAGGGTGCTTAGGGTTCAGGGTTCAGGGTACAGGATGTGTTGCTCATACCGCGAAGTGTCTTGTTCCAGGAATGGCATATTTGTTAATGGCCTCCTTGGCCTCTGCAAAGGTGTACAGTCTAGCCTTGAGGGAAGTTTCAGAAAGCCAACTGTCCGATCGAAGGGATCCTCAGTCTACAAGAAATCCCCCCACCATAGTGATGCCTTAAACCCAGAACCCCTAAACCCCTTCACCGGGCAGTCCTGGCCGCTGGAACTGTTCTCTTCCGGCTTGGCTTGGCTCTCGCCCGGCATTTCCGCTGCCGCAGCTGCGTTGAGCTTGCCGATGGCTGGCCTCCTGGGTTTAGGGTGCTGGGGTGCTTGGAGCTTCAGGATTAGGGTTGAGGGTTTATAGGGTTCAGGGGTCAGGGTTAAAAGCTGTTCGGGCTTAGGGATTGAATCTTTTTGGGTTTGGGGGTTTGTAGTGCTTTCGCGATTTAGTGAAATTTCAAGGGTCTAGGGTTTAAGAGTTTCGGGCATCAGCGTGCTTGCAATTTGGCTTCGAGGCATAACACCACACAGGGAACCATGACCACACAGGATTCCATAAGTTAGCAAAACTTACTGCAAGCTAACCGACGCAACTACTATGCGAAACCCAAGTACCCTCTTACTGGGTCCTTTGCCTTATGGTAAGCAAGAACCTCAAACCTCAAAACCCTAAACTCCAAACAGCCCCGAAACCCTTTAAACCCCAGCCCTTGACCCTCAAATCGAAAACCCCACAATCCCAAACTACCCCTAAACCCTTTACAACCCAAAACCCCCCTTGACCCCCAAACCTGAAACCCCAAGCCCGTCGTCCCAGGTGCAATGCCGGCACCGCATCGAGGAGCGGGCTCCCACTGGTCGCCTGCGTCTGTGCGGGGTAAGGGCTTCCCCGGACCCCCAAAAGCTTCGAGGGCTCAGGCACCTAAAGTTAAGGTTTTGAGGGGTTTTAGGTGTGTAGGCACTACTAGCTAGCCCTAAACCCCGAACCCCTAATTAAACCCATTCGCCGGGCAGTCCTGGCCGCTGGAACTGTTCTCTTCCGGCTTGGCTTGGCTCTCGCCCGGCAACTCCGCTGCCGCAGCTGCCTTGAGCTTGCCGATGGCTTGCCTCAGTTAGCGTGCTCAGAGCGTTAGAATCAGGGGTTTAGAGGTTCAGGGTTCAGGGGTCAGGGTTTAAAGCTGTTCCGGCTTAGGGCTTGAATCTTTCTGGGTTTGGGTGTTTTGAGAGCTTCGGGCATCAGCGTGCTTGCAATTTGGCTTCGAGGCATGCCACCACACAGGGAACCATGACGACACAGGATTCCATGAGCTAGCAACACTTACTCACTCTAAGCTAACCGACGCAACTACTATGCGAAACCCAAGTGCCCTCTTCCTGGGTCCTTTGCCTTATGGTATGCAAGAGCCTCAAACCCCCAAACCCCAAGCTACCCCTAAACCCTCTAAACCCCAGCCCTCGACCCTCAAATCGAAAACCCAAAAATCCCAAAACTACCCCTAAACCCGTTACAACCCCTATAAAACCCCAAGCCCGTCGTCCCAGGTGCAATGCCGGCACCGCATCGAGGAGCGGGCTTCCACTGGTCGCCTGCGTCTATGCCGGGTTGGGGCTTAGATGCCCCAAAACATGGAGAGCAGTAGCTCTTTATAGGCTCTTTGAGCAACTTTGTAACCTACTCTTGGGGGTTTAGGCAGGATTTACTGCTCAGCATTAACGGTTCGGGTTTCAGGGTTTGGGTTGCTTTTTAAAGAGTGATGGTCTTGGCGAGGGTTTAGGGCTCAGGGTTTTTTTTCAGGGTTGAGAGGGTTGAGGGATCAGGTATCAGGGCACAGGGTGTGTTGTTCATACCGCGAAGTGTCTTGATCTAGGAGTGGCAGATTTGTTAATGGCCTCCTTGGCCTCTGTAAGGTGTACAGTCTTGAGGGAAGTTTCAGAAAACGAGCTGTCCGATCAAAGGGATCCTCAGTCTAGAAGAAAAAGCCCCCACCCTAATGATGCCCTAAACCCTGAACCCCTAAATCCTAAACACCGGGCAGTCCTGGCCGCTGGAACCGTTCTCTTCCGGCTTGGTTTGGCTCTCGCCCGGCAACTCCGCTGCCGCTGCTGCCTTGAGCTTGCCGATGGCTGGCCTCATGGGTTTAGGGTGCTGCGGTGCTTGGAGCTTCAGGATTAGGGTTGAGTGTTTATAGGGTTCAGAGGTCAGGGTTAAAAGCTGTTCGGGCTTAGGAATCTTTTTGGATTTGGAGGTTTGGAGGGCTCTCGCGATTTAGTGAAGTTTCAAGGGTCTAGGGTTTAAGAGTTTCGGGCATCAGCGTGCTTGCAATTTGGCTTCGAGGCATAACACCACACAGGGAACCATGACCACAAAGGATTCCATGAGTTAGCAACACTTACTCCAAGCTAACCGACGCAACTACTATGCGAAACCCAAGTGCCCTCTTCCAGGGTCCTTTGCCTTATGGTAAGCAAAAACCTCAAACCTCAAAACCCTGAACTCCAAACAGCCCCTAAACCCTGTAAACCCAAGCCCTTGACCCTCAAATCGAAAACCCCACAATCCCAAACTACCCCTAAACCCTTTACAACCCAAAACCCCCCTTGACCCCCAAACCTGAAACCCCAAGCCCGTCGTCCCAGGTGCAATGCCGGCACCGCATCGAGGAGCGGGCTCCCACTGGTCGCCTGCGTCTGTGCGGGGTAAGGGCTTCCCCGGACCCCCAAAAGCTTCGAGGGCTCAGGCACCTAAAGTTAAGGTTTTGAGGGGTTTTAGGTGTGTAGGCACTACTAGCCCTAAACCCCGAACCCCTAAACCCATTCACCGGGCAGTCCTGGCCGCTGGAACTGTTCTCTTCCGGCTTGGCTTGGCTCTCGCCCGGCAACTCCGCTGCCGCAGCTGCCTTGAGCTTGCCGATGGCTTGCCTCAGTTAGCGTGCTCAGAGCGTTAGAATCAGGGGTTTAGAGGTTCAGGGTTCAGGGGTCAGGGTTTAAAGCTGTTCGGGCTTAGGGCTTGAATCTTTCTGGGTTTGGGGGTTTGTGGGGCTTTCGAGGTTTAGTGTTTGTAAAGCTCTACTTTTCGAGGGTGAGGGGTTTAAGAGTTTCGGCACGGGGAACCATGACCACACAGGATTCCATGAGTTAGCAACACTTACTCCAAGCTAACCGACGCAACTACTATGCGAAACCCAAGTACCCTCTTACTGGGTCCTTTGCCTTATGGTAAGCAAGAACCTCAAACCTCAAAACCCTAAACTCCAAACAGCCCCGAAACCCTTTAAACCCAAGCCCTTGACCCTCAAATCGAAAACCCCACAATCCCAAACTACCCCTAAACCCTTTACAACCCAAAACCCCTAAACCCCCCTTGACCCCCAAACCTAAAACCCCAAGCCCGTCGTCCCAGGTGCAATGCCGGCACCGCATCGAGGAGCGGGCTCCCACTGGTCGCGTGCGTCTGTGCGGGGTAAGGGCTTCCCCGGACCCCCAAAAGCTTCGAGGGCTCAGGCACCTAAAGTTAAGGTTTTGAGGGGTTTTAGGTGTGTAGGCACTACTAGCCCTAAACCCCGAACCCCTAAACCCATTCACCGGGCAGTCCTGGCCGCTGGAACTGTTCTCTTCCGGCTTGGCTTGGCTCTCGCCCGGCAACTCCGCTGCCGCAGCTGCCTTGAGCTTGCCGATGGCTTGCCTCAGTTAGCGTGCTCAGAGCGTTAGAGTAGGGGTTTAGAGGTTTAGGGTTCAGGGTTTAAAGCTGTTCGGGCTTAGGGCTTGAATCTTTCTGGGTTTGGGGGTTTGTGGGGCTTTCGAGGTTTAGTGTTTGTAAAGCTCTACTGTTCGAGGGTGAGGGGTTTAAGAGTTTCGGCACAGGGAACCATGACCACACAGGATTCCATAAGTTAGCAAAACTTACTGCAAGCTAACCGACGCAACTACTATGCGAAACCCAAGTACCCTCTTACTGGGTCCTTTGCCTTATGGTAAGCAAGAACCTCAAACCTCAAAACCCTAAACTCCAAACAGCCCCGAAACCCTTTAAACCCAAGCCCTTGACCCTCAAATCGAAAACCCCACAATCCCAAACTACCCCTAAACCCTTTACAACCCAAAACCCCCCTTGACCCCCAAACCTGAAACCCCAAGCCCGTCGTCCCAGGTGCAATGCCGGCACCGCATCGAGGAGCGGGCTCCCACTGGTCGCCTGCGTCTGTGCGGCGTAAGGGCTTCCCCGGAACCCCAAAAGCTTCAAGGGCTCAGGCACAAAAAGTTAAGGTTTTGAGGGGTTTTAGGGGTTTAGGCGCTACTAAAAAGTTTAGGGTTTACGGGTTCAGGGTTCGGGGCTGAGGGGAGTTCAGCTCTACGATTTAGGGTTGCCTGGACACTGCAAAAAATATTTTTAAGGTTCCCTATGATGATTTCCTTGCATAAGTCCTTCAAACTGTGCAAGGTTGGGGCTTAGATCGGCCCCAAAACATGGAGAGCAATAGCTCTGTATAGGCTCGTTGAGCAACTTTGCAACCTACTCTTGGGGGTTTAGGCAGGCTTTACTGCTCAGCATTAACGGTTTAGCGTTCAGGGTTAAGGGTTTTTGCTTTAAAGACTGATGGTCTTGGCGAGGGTTTAGGGCTCAGGGTTTTTTTTCAGGGTTGAGAGGGTTGAGGGATCAGGTATCAGGGCACAGGGTGTGTTGCTCATACCGCGAAGTGTCTTGATCTAGGAGTGGCAGATTTGTTAATGGCCTCCTTGGCCTCTGTAAGGTGTACAGTCTAGCCTTGCGGGAAGTTTCAGAAAACGAGCTGTCCGATCAAAGGGATCCTCAGTCTACAAGAAAAACTCCCGCCCTTATGATGCCTTAAACCCAGAACCCCTAAACCCCTTCACCGGGCAGTCCTGGCCGCTGGAACCGTTCTCTTCCGGCTTGGTTTGGCTCTCGCCCGGCAACTCCGCTGCCGCTGCTGCCTTGAGCTTGCCGATGGCTGGCCTCATGGGTTTAGGGTGCTGCGGTGCTTAGAGCGTTAGGATTTATGTGGCTTTACGCTCGAAGGCTGTTCGAGCTTTAGGGCTTAAGGATGTTAGGGTTTGAAGTTTTAGGGCAGCTTCAAACTTCAAGGGTCCGGGGTTTAAGAGTTTGGAGCATCCGTGTGCAGGACATCCGTGAATTAGCAAAACTTACTCAAGCATGAACTTCTCACCAAGCAGTCATAGAGCTCACCGGCTTTCGTTGCTACTCTAGAGCCTTGCCTAATAATTACCTATACTATTTTGGGGATTCCTTACTATAACTATAGCCGAATATACCCCAAGACCCTATTCAAATCATTATGGCCCTTGTATTTATGAAACCTTACTATAGTAGCCCTTATAGGAACCCTTTAAAGGAGCCCGAATCTAACTATTCAGGCCCCTATGATAGACAGCACCAGCACTTCAGACGAACCTCCGAGAAGGCCGGAGCTGAATCCAGGAAGCTGCCAGTTGCTTCAGCCCCGGCTTGCAAGGGGTTTAGGGTTTAGGGGTTTAGGGGTTTAGGGTTCTTGGGTTTAGGGTTAAGGGTTTCAGGGTTTAGGGGTTTAGGGTTTAGGGTGTAAGGGATCTATAAGGCATCTATAAGGTTACGATAAGGGTACTATAAGGGCTCTATAAGGGATCTATCAGGTTACTATAAGGGATCTATAAGGGTACTATAAGGGATCTATAAGGGTACTATAAATGATCCGTAAGGGTATATAATGGCACTATAAGGGTACTATAATGTAGACCTAATTAGTATAATGTGCCCCGAAACTTTAGTCTAACTATTAAGGCCCCTACATTAGGGTTTATAGGATTTGTGGGGTGTTTGCCTTCGGGGAGGGGGGGGGAAAGGAGATCCTTCTTCTTCACGAGTGAGACCACCCCTCCACATACCTGAAGGACCAAATGACCCTTAAAAGTAGGGGCCCTATAACCATATACTATGAATCCCTATAATGGTATATGAACTTTAAAGCCTTTTAAGGTTCATTTCGTCCTTAAGGATCTACATCTTTACATCTGTCAAACAATCCAACGCAATCCAATCAGCATAGTCCCCAAATGACAGGAGACCTGAGCGAACCCTGCCTGTGAACCCCAGCACACTAAACTTACTATAAACTCAGTAGAATAGAAAAGCTTATATGCCTCGACTCCGAACGCATGTAGAGTATTCCTCTTCTGTAGCCTTTCTGGGTGTTGCGCCATTATTTTACCTACTTTTGTGGGTTCGGGTAATGCCCTGTACACCCTAAAGGTCCAAGTACCTAATATAATATCTATTCTCCGAAACGGAAGCACCGCATTATTGTCGTGTCCTCTCGGACCCGAAGGGCGCGATCCTCAAACTGAAAACCCCAAGCAAGCCCTTCGACCCAGGTGCAATGCCGGCACCGCATCGAGAAGCGGGCTACCACTGGTCGCCTGTGCCACCTGTGCGGGGTTGGGGCTTACTTGGAGGATCATGGGACTTAGTAAGTCAGGTTATAAGTACCTTAAGTGGGCTTATAAGTGCTTGTAAGTATAGTTACCTTATTTATAACCCTAGTTACTAAGTCCCATGATCCTTTAAGTAGGGTTCATGGGGACCCTTAGGGGGGTAAGGGGGAGGGCGGGTAGGAGACTATACTTTCCCTAAATAGGCCTTGTTGGGTCCTTATTCTGGGCATTAAGGCCCCCTACCCCTCGCCCTACCCCCCTTGAGTTTAGGGTTTATGGGGTGGGACCTGACCCCGGAGAAACGCCAAACCTTCTTGTACAACTAGGGGCCGAAGCCACCGTAGCTAGACTAGGGCTGTCATCGGGTTTTGTCAAATCTCTATATTGATCACATCGGCGTTATGTTAAGGTTGAAACATATTGGCGAAAGCGGGTACTGAAGTCTTGCACAGGTCCTAATTCCGAACGACACCGTCGCAGTCCTGGCCGCCTATACACCGACCACAATTGGGCTTGAATCCTGGTCGGACCCCAAGTAGGACTCTAACCCCAAACCCTGGACGATCAAAACCTGAGCCCAACGGAAAGCTCCGTGCGTTTCTGTGCCTTTTCGGCTTCTTGTACCTCTTGAGTTCAATGGCCCCAGCCCCAAAACCCTTGGTAGGCTTCTACAAAATATACAGAAGGCATGAAATACAGGTACGTATTGGAGGGTGTAAACCCCCAAACACCAAGTGCGTGGCATTGCTCCGGCCTGGCTTCCGACAGCGCCGTCCGAGGAGGTCACGTCCAAAGTTCCAGTGGCCTCACCGGGCCTTAGATTTCTGGTGTTCGGCATGTGATGTGCAGGGTTTCGGAGCAGTGATTAAGGTGCAGGGCTACATTAGGGTTGTGTGTTGTTAGGACATTATGTCAGGGCGTGAAATAAGTGTAATTGTAACAGTTCAAGCTATTCAATATGCTAGCGCCCCCTGAAAACACGTGAGCACAAAACCCGACACCCCAAACCCTAAAATTTCAAACCCCAAAACAACCCTCTACACCACCAAAATCCTGAAACCCCAAACCCCAAGATAGAAACCCTTATCAGAGATTCACAAAATCCTAAACCCTAAGCCCCAAGATAGAAACCCTTATTACAGAACTCTTTTTTCCAGAGGGTCCAACTACCCAAATAGTAGGGTTTTAGAAGGGTTTTTGGACCTCGAAACCCTACTATTTGGGTACTTGGACACTGAGGGTTTGTTTCGGCCATGTGTAGCAAAAAAACCTACACCCAAACCCAAAAACACCCCCCCCCCCCCCCCCCCACACCACCAAAATCGCAAAACCCGAAGCCCCAAGATAGAAACCCTTATTACAGACCCTAAACCCTCTGTTTCGGCCACGTATCAAGGCCAGCTGCTGCCAATCCTCGCTGCTTCCGACGCAGCAAGCCATGGCCAGTCGCTGCGGGCTTGCCTTCTTAAGGAACTTCGGGGCACTAAACTCTTGACCCTAAACCCCACAAACCCCTAAACCCTAAACCCCCAAACCCCTGTAACCTTCAAATTTGAGGTTTTTGGGGGTTTCGGGTTTTAGGGTCTAGGGCTGAGGGCTTTTGGGGTGTAGGGTTTAGGGCACTTCGCAGCTACCAGGAGCCCCCAAGTGCCCGTTCATAGAGGTCCTTAATAGTGGGTATGTCTGGTATATTGGAGGGTAGTTGGGGGGGTCTAAGTAAGGTGCAGGGTTCTAGTGGTTTACGGTTTTAGGGTCTGGGGCTGAGGGCTTGCGGGGTGCAGGGTTCAAGGTGTTGGATCTAAGGTGATGGCTATAGGCTGTAGGGTCTGGGGTGTTAAGCTTAGGGTGCAGGGTCTGGGGTGCTGGATTCTGGGGATTAGAGCTTTAGCGTTTAAGGGTTTGGGGTATAACTGCATAACGGTATAACAGTTTTGGGTGTAGAGGGTTTAAATATGAGTATATATATGAAGTCAGCTAACATCCCATACCCCAAACTGCAAAACCAAAACCCTAGTACTAAGACTGCTTATTGTCAACCAGACACTACACAATTCAAGAGAACCGAACATGAGTTACTTTGTTTCATACTGTGGTAACCTAGTAATCACATTCTCTCAAATTGACCCAGTTGCCGTGCCGCCCGTGCTGCCATTGCGCCTGCCGGTGTGCCGGCTGTAAGGTTTACGATTTTGAAGGGTTAAGGTCTTTAGAGTTTCGGGTTCAGAGCTTGGGGTGTTTAGGCTGACCGAGACAAGTAACAATGCATTGCATTGACCCCGGTTGCGGTGCACTTGATGTCTGCCATTCGGACGCAATTAGGGTTTGGAGTCTAGAGGTTTAAGGGTTTAGGGGTTTAGGGTTTAAGCGTTCAGGGGGTTTGGGTCTAGGGTCTAGGGGTTTGGGTTAGGTGACGGAAGATCAAGGCTCCTTCAGCAGGGCCCATATTGCTGATGGACAAAATCCTGCATGACCCTAAGGACTCTAAACTATGGGAACTATGGTATATCCCTTATAACGGGCAACGCAGGGTTTTGTCCATCAACAGCATTGGCTTGCAAAGCACTTCTACATCGGAACAGAGCCTATACATCCCAACACGCTCTTGCGAAAACCCCACGAACACCAGCACAACCGATGGCCCTATGAACTCGCAAAATGACCAAGCCAGCCCTGGCCACTTACGGCTTAGTTTTCCTGGCTTAAGGGTTGAGTTTCTTTTTGTTTTACCGTGTGAAGGGTTGAGTTTAGGGTTCAGGGCTTAGGGCTCATAGGGGATAAGATCTGCGTGCTCAAAACGATCTCATGGGACTCGGATGCCCTCAAGGGTAGGGAACTGTATCCTCGAGGCACTGGGATAGAATCTATATGAAGCACACACATGCAGTTCCTCCGAAACGATGAGCCTTTGGGATCTTCTGTGGGTTCTAGTACCTTCAACAAGTTGGAGGTCACTTGCTGTACGATTGAATAGACTTTACTGGGGAGCGACGTGCTTCACCAACCAAACATTTGACTCGTCGTACCCCTAGCTCTATGGGTCTAAGTACCTACACGTCATACACGTTCCCAAGTTCTAGCCTAACAACTACTTTCCAAGACCCAAGTACCGAAGTATTGCGTATCTTGAACCCTTAAGGTAAACCAACAAGCTGTGCTATGAACAGGTGTAGAGCCGGATTCAGTAGAATAGAACCTCGCGCACAAGCACCACACACACACAAACCCTAAACCCTAAACCCTAAACCCCACACCGCCTTTTCCCTTCTCTGGATCCTAAACTCAAAATCTAGGAATCTAGGCCACCAGAGCCCCGCCATTTTTGTTCAGAAGTGCGGCCGCGGAACTTGCGTGAACCGGTGGGCGTCTGGCTCGAACCATCCCCATGGCTCCGGGTACCTCTGGTCGGGGCATTTTGGTGCTTCCACCTTAAGGACGAAATGAACCCTAAAAGGGTTTAAGGTTGATTCATATACCATATAGGGAATATGGGTATAGTGCTCCTCCTTTTTAAGGGTCATTTGGTCCTTCAGGCAACAAAAGGCACGGGCCTCAATGCTTCGACTAGGAGTGCGGGGCATACGATACTGCTATATAACCCCCGATATAAGCACATTATAGAGACTATAGCAGGGGAGAAAGCAAGCATTCATTGAGTGTTCAGATCCCTCTATGGAAGCCCCCAACACTCAGAACCCATCCCGAACCCAACCTCGAAACACCGACCTTTCGCTCCCCACACTACCGAAAGTGCCTTATCTTTTAGAAGCTGCTCCCACCCTGTAACAGTGACTATAAGGATTATATTAGGGCCTTAATATATTCCTATTATACCACTATTACAGGGTGGGGGCCCCTTCTATCTTGTCTTGTACAGGTGCTGCGAATGCCAGGAAGACTCCTTCGTGCCGGGCAACTTAAGAATGGGACCCTACACCCACCACAGCTTTCCAACATCTGCCCCCAGCCGGCGCAGGAAAAGCTTTCTAGATTCTGTACGAGTCCGTTAATTACCCTTCACATGCACCTCAGGACCCTACACTCCGAATCCATTCAAAAAACGAAAACCAAAATCCAATGTGGCCCTATGTCCCAAAGCCTCAGCTTTCGCAACCAGATCCTGCGAACCCTAACACGCGAACCTGGAGAGCACACCGGTACAAGTTTCAAAGACATACACAGCTCGATAGAACCCTTGTATTAATAAGAAACAACAAAGGTTCCCCCCAAACCCTAAAACCCAAATTCAACCCTAAACCCTCCCTCAACCCCCAAACCCCTAAACCCTGAACCCTGACCCCGAAACATGATAAAGTTGGAAAGCGGATTAAGGCCAATAGTGCCTGGACTCTCTATATATTAATTACTCTCAAGGATCGAGGCTATTGGGTTTCCAGCTTTTTGGGGGTTTACTGTAAACCCTCCTAAACCTTGATCCAACCCAAACCCTAAACTCTAAACTCTAAACCCTAAACCCCCAAAAAACAACATCTTTAGGGTCGCATGAGTTTGGGGGTTTGTTTGCTAGGGGGCCATCTACCAACTATGGTGTATTCCTTAGTTGCGGTTTTGCCAAAGCGCCTTGAGAGCTTGGTGCCAACTCTTCGGCGCTGATCCGTGGCCCAAAAGAGGGGAGGCAATCCTCGCAGGTTTAGGAGATTCCCTCAAGAAGGGTTCAGCGTTTAGGGGTTTAGGGTGTAGGTTGTTTAAGGGACTCCTTCAAGGAGGGTTTAGGGCTCCGTTAAGGCTTAGGGTGTAGGGGTTTAGGAGTTTAGGGTGTTCAGGAGATTCCTTTAAGGCCCCTAAGCCCTTAAACGTCAAAGCCATGAAGAAACCCTAAATGACCCTATAGCAGAAGCCAGAGAGTTGGAGCATGGCCTTTCAGGAGGATTTGTGCTGGGATCCCTTATACTTGACCTTCAGGGTACGAGGATAATGATGCTTCAACTTTTGGGCTTCTACTAGGAGATTCCTTTAAGGAGGGTATCGGGCTCCTTTAAGGAGGGTACCGTTTAAAGATGTATGCTTAAGGGTCATTTAAAGGGATGGAAAAGGGTAGGATTCCCTTAAGGAGGGTTTCAATTAAAGCTTGGAGGAGATCTGCGTGGGCCCGTTTAAAGGGATCTACATGGGTTCCTGTAATGAAGGTTTGGGGTTCCCTGCAGGAGGGTTTAAAGGGCTCCTATCTCGTAGAAATTTCTCAAAGGTTCCATCGAATCTTAGGGTTTAGGGCCCTGTGGAAGGTTTTCAAGACAACGGTTCCTTGTAGGGCTTCTTGATAAGATTTTTTCATTATTTTCTGTAAACGGTTTAGGGTGCCGTCTTTCGGGCGCCAGGGCTCGATGACCTGTATGGATCCATCCTACATGACCTGGCGGTTCTAAACTTGGGGATGAGGCCTTCGCATCCAATACACGCCAAAGCAACATCAAATCTTACCCAACCTCCCACCCTCAACAAACATCCACACATAAAGCTGGAGCACAATATGGGAGTTTCCGAAGATAGGGGACCCGAATATAGTACCCTAATTAAATAGTAGGATCCTTATTATCAGGACCCCAAAAGAAGGTACCCTATCGGAAACTCCCATATACCTCCCGGCAGACATCAACTTCGCAGTGGTCCTGTTGGGCTGCACCCGATGCACCCCCATTGCCGCTTTCCCGTGCATCAAGCCTCTGCCGCGGCTCTGGCTTAACATTGCTTGGGGCTTATAAGGGTTTAGGGTCTAGGGTTCCAGGGCTTAGGGTTTAGGGTCTAGGGATGCAGGGCTTGGGGCTTAGGGCTTAGGGGAGTTGGGCTCTACGATTTAGGGTTTATGGGCTGGGCCTACGTTTCTGATCCCTCAAGTAGGGCCTCCGGAGTACTTCTTCAGGGACAAATCACAGGAATCACCTGGGTAATGGATTCGGTGTCATGACTCTTGTGACGAAGACGGGGACTGCAAGGACTAGATACAGTACCATACGGAAGCTCATTTGGGTGGTTGTCAAAATTAGGGGGCCCTTTATGGGTGCCCTAAATATTTGGTGCCGTATTATAAGAAGGACCCAAAACAGACCCTAATTTTGACAACCACCCATTTATGTATGTGCGATAGCGAAACAAACATGCAAAGAAGTGCTGCCGAACGCGCCCAAATCTACTGGGCCCCTCTCCCCGTTCCCGGCTCTCATCATCCTGCCTCGGTGCAGTGCGAAACGTCTCGTAGAGGGACCCCCTTTTCCTCAGGGCTCGGTGATTGGACATTGCCCCAAACGCCAAACGGAAAAACTCACTATGTGTGCAGGTAGGTCTGTACGAACGTATGTATGCAAGCAGGTATACTTATCTTAACCGCAATTATGCATGCATGCATGCAACTGTGCGTGTATGATAAAAAACAAGCATGTCCATGCATAAATGCGTGCACACATACATACATACATGCATGCATACATACATACATATATATATATATATATATATATATATGTATATGTATATGTATATGTATACACATGTACATGTACATGTACATATACATACACATATACATATACATATGCAAGCCTGCGTACAAGAACACATGAATAATTACATGAGTTCATGCATACATACATACATACATACGTACATGTATGGATGTATGTATGTATGTATGTATGTATGTATGTATGTATGTATGTATGTGGAGGATAAGTTGTTATCTGTCCATTGTTCTGCCCCCGAGCCGCGCGGTAAAACTCAGGTGCCTTAAGGACGAAACGAACCCTAAAAGGGTTTAAGGTTCATATAACATATATGGATTCATAGTATATGGGAAAAGTGCCGGTACTTTTTAAGGGTCATTTGGTCCTTCAGGTGCCGCCAAGTCACGGTCTCGGACACAGCAGCCGAGCCTCGCCAGCGCTGCGAGCAGCTGGGCGCCCGGAGCTCTGCGATGTCGGCACGATGTCGCTGTGACCTTTCGGTCCCCGTTTTGGGACGGCTTGGGGTTTAGAGTGTAAAGGAAATTTCGCTCAAGACTCTTATTGAAACACATGCCTTGTAACATAGTTGAATACTCCGCGACATCCTCTGGAGGGAAGGTTCAGGATCTAGACATAAGAAACCGAACAACACGAACCCCGCAGATCCAAGTCAAAATCCAAAATCCGCCGTAAGCCCTGGACCCCACATGCCCGGAGCTTTAAATCTTTTGCCTAATGTAGGGGCCTTAACTAGAATTAGAATAGGGTTTGGGGCCCATTATGCTAGAAGAATAATAAAATTGGCAATTACTTAGGCTCCTAACTATATGTTAACAGAAGCACCCGGAAACACCAAACCCAAGATCACCTTACGACCAAACCGGCATGATGTACCGAAAGCTGCCAAGCAACGGCGCCGTGGCAGCATGAGCTCGCCTTTGACAGTTTCTACTGGAGAATTTTCATATGCTCCTATGTAATTAAGCCCGGTGCTTAAATCCGACACAACTAAACTGATGTCTATTTTAGGATTGCCGGCCACAGCGGCACAAGCAAGCCTTTGTTGCAGCTGCGACGAAAGTTTGTATCCGACACGGAGCTTCTGCGTAACGATTCATTCGAGTTTCAGTTGCGTGGCCATCGTCAAAGTTGTCACGCGTGTCACCACCCTAAACCAGCATCAGGATCCAGTGCTAATCATCAGCCTCATCATAAAACATGACGAAAGTTCAGACTCATTCTCAGCATTGAAACCTTTGTCATCAGATTAATCATCACGACCGTCATCATGACCGCTTGCCATCAACCATCGCATATGTATTTGGCGGAGTCACCTCAGCAATCTCGCAAACACCAAACCTGAAACCAAAAACGTTAATCGGCAAAGACACATGCAGCCCCAGGGCTTTACATTGTAAACTTTGAGGAAATTCCGAAAGCATGAGATGGGCGTTGACTCAAGAACCAAAAAGACAAGTATAGTTCAATGGTTCCCCAAGGAACAGGTCCCAAAACACATATGGGTGGTTGTCAATATTAGGGTCCCTTTTTGGGTCCTTACTATAATACGGCACCTAATATTTGGGGGGACCCTAATTTTGACAACTACCCATATGGTGTATGGTTTATATTAGTAGTATCCCCATAATAAACCCAATATATACACTCACCAATATTAAAAGGGAGCCCTATCTACACTCACCAAAACGGTAAATAACCCCCTACTCCATATGAAATGATGGTTCTCCACAACCAAGTCCCTATCTCCCCAAGTACAGAAATACGGCTGGTGATATAATTCCTGCATCACCCACAATAAGGAATATACCATAACTCCCATAGTTTAGGGTTCTTAAGATAATAAGGAATATACCATAACTCCCATAGCTTAGGGTCCTTAAGGTCATGCAGGATTTATATCATCAACAGTAGTAGCTACATTTGAGGTCTGAAGTCTATACATAGTACCTAGTTTGGGCTATTTGGAGTTCGGGTTCCTTCTTCTCTATACTATCATATACCCCCGGAACCTGCCCAGAACTCATCACTAAGGCCCTTGTACGGGAATTATAGGGGTACCTCATTGTGGGGTCGTCAGAACAAGGATCCTACTATTTAGGGTACTCTATTTGGGTTTTTTCGAAACTCCCATAATTAATCGGAGGCCTCACAAGGTGGGATGAAGGTAGGTGGGATTAAGGATCCCTTATATAATATAAGGACTCTTATTTGGGAATATCCCACCTACCTTCATCCTACCTGTTGAGGCCCCCGACATAAGAAGGGAATGGCCGAGGGACTGAAGACGCTGAAGCCAGCGGCTCTCCCGAGCTCCGGGGAGGAGGCCACGCGCCGCACGGCCTCGGCGTCCTCCGGCTGCAATGGTGCAAAAGCGGTGGGGTTTAGGGTTTAGGGCTGAGGCTTTTAGGGTTTAGGTTTTAGGGTTTAGGTTTTTAGGGCTTAGGGTTTAGGTTTTTAGGGTTTAGGGCACTGGTGCAAAACAGGTGGGATTGAGAGGTGATTCGAGGGTTAGGGTTCGTGGGATTGAGGGTGATTCGAGGGCTAGGGTTGGTGGGATTTAGGAGTGATTCGAGGGTTAGGGTTCGTGGGATTTAGGAGTGATTCGAGGGTTAGGGTTCGTGGGATTTAGGGGTGATTCGAGGGCTAGGGTTCGTGGGATTTAGGTGTGATTTGAGGGTTAGGGTTCAGAGTTTGGGGTTTAGGTTTGAGAGTTTACATAGGGTTTGGAATACCTATATGGTTTAGTGATTTAGTGTAGTAATACAGTTTCGGGGAGTTCGCACATGGGGGGTGAGAGGTTCTGCGGCATGCGACACCTCTGGTTCAATATGCTCCATTGCTGCTATAGACAGCGCTGGTCGAGAGAAACCTGTCTGGTTTGCCACTGCTTTCACTTCAATAAACACATCCTTCCTAAACCCTAAACCCTAAACCCTGAAACCCTAAACCCTAAAACCCTAAATAGGCCCTAAATCAGACCCTAAACCCAGAAACGCTGAACCCTATGGCTTGAACTCCCTTCGCTGGCCACCACCGGGCTTCAAAGACGAACGGAGGATTTTCTTGGCAAAGAAAATCTTGCGCGTGATAAGGCGGCATTTCTGGCCAAAGGTCATCTTATGCAAGGCTTCCTGGAAGCCGAACCTTCATTCCGAAGGCAGTTGGCACGATTACACTTCAATTCCGTCATGACCTGCTTGATCTCTAGGCGAATTTCAAAGGGCTTTCTCAGTCCTATACACCCAAACGCAGAACGCGAAACCCTCAACCCTAAATCTCAAATTACATCCTAAACCCTAACCCTGAAGGGGTAAACTCAAAACGCAAACCCTGAACTCTGAAGACCTTTATACAAACCCTGAACCCGTCACCCTCTAAACCCCAGAACCATAAAACAAACACCCAAATCCCTGAACCAAACCCTAAACACCTGAACCCTAAACCCTAAACACCTAAATCCTAAACCCATAACACCATAAAACAAACACCCAAATCCTGGCTCGAGTCGGACTCAGTCTGACCAGGCCCTTTGTCGCTCTGCTGTCGGAGGAAAGCCTTCCAAGCCAACAGCCCAGAGACTCTTAGGGTTCCCTTTAAAGGGATGCCTAGGGCTCCTTCAAGGGATCTATAAGGGATCTTTGAGTTTTCGTCGTCCAACAAGGGGCAAGAAATCCTAAGAGGCTTCCACTAAGGGTCCATGTACCCAAACAGTAGATTTACAAGGGTTTAGGGTTTAGGGTTTAGGGGGTTTAGGGTTTAGGGTTTATTTAAGGGTTCCTTTACCCTTAGGCTCTTAGGACTCATGTTTTAAGGCTTTTGAGCCCAAAGACCATACTATATAAGGCTTGTGGGCCATTTTGAGCCTTAGGGTTAGGGTTCTACGAGGGATCTGTAAGGTTTAGGGCTTCAGGGTCAATTTGGTATATACTTTGGGCCCAATGTACCTATATAGGGAATACAGTTTAAGGCCAAAGTATATGCTATTTGGGCACATGGGCCCTGAATCATTAAGGTTTCTAAAGGGCTCTGTAAAGGAAACTGAGTTTGGCTTTTATTGTTTGCTCTGTGTTAAGTTCATGCCTACCTGGAAGGTTGTGAAACCCTAAACCCTACAAACCCCCAAACCCTAAAACCCAAAAGCCGGAAGAGCCCAAAACCCCAAACCCCTAAACACTAAACTCCTAAACTCAAATCCTGAAACCCCAAACCCCAACCCTGAACCCCTTGAAGCTTCGACTTCGGTTGTACGATGTAGGAGCCTTGATAATTAAAAACCTTAGAGCCATAAACGGAGGATGGCCTAAGGTTTCGGGGCTACCCTAAGGTTTGATAATATACCCAGAGGGTCCATATACGCTACTCTCATGGAGTTCTATAGGTCCCAAAAGACCATCCCTATTATGGCTTTGGGGACCTGGTTCCATGATGGTAGTGTATATGGACCTTCTTGGATAGGGCCCTCAAGGATTAGAACCGGCTTTGCGGTGTATACATCACAATACGACGGCCCTAAAGTAGCATTGGTAATCTTTCGTTCTACTACATATAGGGGCCTTTAAAATTTATCAGTGTTTTGAAATTGTGGCTGGAATTAGGGCATTAGTATTCCATAATTGGGGAAGGAGCCCCAAAAAAGTCTTGTTAAGCCCATACTTATACTATATTTATAACACGGAAACCCCAAAGTAGCATTGGTAATTATTTGCGCCCCCTAAACCCTAAACCCTGAACCCTGCAGATCCTAACCGCAAAACTGGGTATAAAGAAGGGGTAGGGTATGAGCCTCTAGGTAAACCCTTGTAAATACTTCGAGGCGCCTCAGGAGGCTCCCAGCTGCGAGGAACGCGAGGCAAGGAGCTGCAGGAACTCTCCACGGCCCTCCTTCGTGTAACCGGGCTTTAGGACTCGGCTGGGACTTTAAACAGGATCCCAAAATGGTAGAGTTTGGGGTCCAGGGTTTAGGGTTCAGGCTTTACTGGGTTCTTGTTGAGGGCTTAAGCTCAAGGCGCCATAATGAGGAAACCATAATATGAATTTTCTATAGGTCCCAATTATGGCAACTTAATTTAGATCCCTTAACAAGACCCCAGTTTAGGGTTTGGGGCTAGGGTTTTCGGGTGTAGGGTTTAAGTTCTTAGTATGGCTTTTAGGGTTTTGGGCCTTTGAAGGTTTAAGCCTTGAGTGGTTTAGGGTGTAGGTGTCATTCATGAGACAGGGTTTGATTAATCAGGTTGATAACTCGTTGTTTGATACTGCAAAAGCGGTTCTATTCTGAAGTTTAGAGCTCCAAGATTCTCGCATTTCGGGCTCCCGTGCTGCATATATATATATATATATATATATATATATATATAGATGTGTGTGTGTGTACACACACATATATATATATATATATATATATATATTTTTTTTTTTTCAACACGGCAGGCTCAAAAACCGAAGCAAATCTTAAGAGTCATGTTGTCAGAAATCAAAACATGTCGTACGCGGACCTTCCCTCAAAACCTGGATCCCACGTCCAATCAGTCTAATTTGTGAGTTCATCGGTTTATCTTAAAGGTCTCCACGCCAAAACATGAAGCCTAAACGGCGCCGAAGCTCAAGCCCCAAATCCTATAACATGTTTAATCCTATTGAGGCCACTATATTGCACCAAATCTAAGCTCATCGATCCCTTGAATAGAGCCGTTAAAAGGAATACGACAATCCTATTCTCACTAATATTATTCAGGCCACTACATATATTACACCACGTCCATATAACTGCGCCAAAAAGCATATTATCTACTATACATCCCTATCATGGTAACTTGAACCTTAAACCCTATACCCGTAAAGGAGCCCTTATAGATCTAACTGCGCCAAGAAGCATCCCCGGGTCGCCAGATGACTGGCTGCTTTCTCGCTCCATGCCAGCCGAACCAGGACCTGCCAAACTGTCGCCCTGACGGTCCTAACGGTTGATGATAAACATCCTGCACTAGACCTAAGAGTAACCTAGGGATAAAAAGGGTGCCCTTTTTGGGTTAAAGGGGGTTATGAGGGAACCTAAACCCTAAAAAAGGGAATAAGGGCCTACTCTGGGTCCTAGTGCATTACCAATTACGAATAGTAAGGAATATACCATATTTCCCATTGCTTAAGGTCTTGAAGGTAATGCAGGTTTTATATCATCAACCGTAAGGATCCAATAACTAGGCATTTAGGATTTGGGGTTTAGCTGTTTAGCGGTTAGGGTTTTGGGGTTTAGGGTTTAGTGGTTTAGGGGTTTAGGGTTTAGGGGTTCCGGGTTTAGGAGTTTAGAGTCATTTGGGAGAGTACATGGTTATTCGGTACTTGGATCCGTAGGGTTGACTCGGCCTAGCAGTCGGCGCCGTAGCAATAGCAGTGGTAGGAAACGACCGCAGAGGAGTTTCCTTTGTGAGGCACATTCTGCTGCTAAACATGAAGTGTTGGTCTTTGCACCTCACTTCCTCTGTCGCTCTTTCTCCCTGCACATACCTACCTAGCACCGATCTACCTACATGCATACATACATACGCACATGTACATGGCCGTTTGTAGCCTGAATCCTAAAACTCTGAACCCCGAAGCCCTGGACCATCTTTTTCTTCAAAGCCCCGACTGAAACCCTGCCGAACAACAAGATGGCTCCCTAGAGATCCGATTACAACCCAGTTTTTGGCCCTAACCTCCCAAACCCCCAATACTATAAGGGGCCTTAATAACTAGAATGGGGCTTTGGGGACTACTATATATACTATGATTATAAAAGGAACGTCCAAGGCCTCTTCTAATTATTAAGGCCCCTACAACACAACGGGCTATGAATTGTCTACAAAGCTTGAATACACTATACATACATATATAGTTATACTACATATGTACATACATATATATATATATATATGTATATATATAATAGAGAGAGAGAGAGAGAGAGAGAGAGAGAGAGCTTAATCTTGCTACATGGTGAAACCCGAATCCTAAGCTGCCCTGCCTGGCTCCTCGAGTGTCTCGGCACTGGTGGCAGCTATCGCAAGGCTGCCTTTGCGTTCAGGAACGGCCACGGATGGCATTTTCTCAAGATTCGCGGTCTGAGGCACGTGAGTTTATCTAGAGTTAAGGGCTGGGGGCTCGAGGGCTTACACGAGGACGAGTAAGAGTAACAATACTAAGAATAATACGAAGAAAAAAAGGAATAAGGACAATAAGAACAATAATAGTAAGTGAGGAGAAGAATAAGAACAACCATAATGACACTATTAATGTAAGTTCAAAACAACAGTAGTAACAGTATGAATTGAGGGTCCTGTACTGTCTGCAGCTGGCGAGTTGGCATGTGTTTAGTACAGGTGCTCACGGCTCAAGGATAGCTTTTGGGCGCGCACGGTGTGTTGCAACTTTGGAGCTTTGGAAATCGGAAGTTTGGGGTTTGAGGGTTGAGGGTTTAGGGTTAGAGGTGAAGATAGGAGTGCATGTACCTACCTTCAGTCAGTATAGAGCCTTCTTCTTCTCGACGAAGATCACAGTGGGCAACTGAGGTGAGAGAGAGTTTGGCAGCTGGTTACTATGTGGTAGTCCCGGCTGTGTTGACTCGGGACAACGATGTACGCATATTTTGGTCCCGTAAGCTGGACTTGTCGATAATCATCCTTGTTGCTAATTTTTAGCAATGCTACGGTTAGCCTTATTACTCCTATCATATCCATCATCATCGTCATCATCATCAATACTCTTCCTATTCAGTAATATTGCTGTTGTCATCATTACCATCATCATCAACAAAAAATCCTCGTGGTGCTATTTTGTATGCTGTGAACGCGGTTCGAGACTTAGAAACGCCTGAAAGCGTCCTTAAAAGGATGCAAGGGATCCTTTAACGGCTCCTTTAAAGGAACCGTTACGGGAACCCTTAAAGGATCCCCTAGATCCCTTAAAGGAACCTTACAGGGATCCGTACAGGAGCCTTCCAAGGGAGTTTCAGCGAACCCTGCAAGCAATCCTTACAAGAACCCGAGAAAGGACACGATAAGGAACGACCAAAGGAACCCTTCAAGGGCCCCAAAACGGGACTCCGAAAGAAATCCGAAAAGGATTGCAGAAACGCTTAAAGGTGCTGGAAAAAGGACCCTTAAAGCAATGTGGAATCGGGATCCTTGACGGGAGATCCTGAAACGGAATCAACGAACCCTTCAAGACACTCTCCAGGAGGCTTTCGAAATAACCCTTAAACGGATCGCGAAAGGAACCCGGAGATCCTTCATAGGGGCCCTAAACGGGATCCTTAAAGGGATCCGTGCTCAGACCCCGAAACCCTAAAGCCAAAAGAACCTTCAACCCTAAACCCGAAAACTCTGAATCCCAGACGTGTATTTAAGGTACCCTTTGAAGGGACCCCACAGCCCCAAGCCCAAAACCCTTGAAACGACTGACGAGAGCCTTCGAGCTTCCAGCTAAGCCTACATCCGAAACTCTTCGCCCTAAACCCTTTATGTAGGAACCTGATTAAGAGACCTTGAGCCTTTATTAGGGTTCCTTATTATGAATCCTATCATTTTGGGGCTTTAGGCCCATGCTTTCTTAATCAGGTTCCTACATTACCTCCCATGACATTATTAGAACCCTATAGTAGCCTTCTCTCAGGAGCCCTCACAGGAACCCTGAAAGGGGACCCTTACAGCGACCGCGCCCATCTTCAACCTGAAGGACCAAATGACCCTTAGAAAGTAGGGGCCATATACTAGACCTAAGAGTAACCTAGGGATAAAAAGGGTGCCCTTTTTGGGTTAAAGGGGGTTATAAGGGAACCTAAACCCAAAAAAAGGGAATAAGGGCCTACTCTGGGTCCTAGTATACCAATATACTATGAACCCCTGTATGGTATATGGACCTTAAACACTTTGAGGTTTCATTTCGTCCTTAAGGTTCAAGGGACCTTCATGAAGCTCGGCGCTGCGCTGGTCCTCCGTGCCAGACACCTCGACCTCGGATTTCCGGCGCTCAAAACGGCCCAAGTTTACAGTTTGACAAGGTTTAAAGTTGTGGGTTTAGGGATTTGGGTGTAGGGTTAATGAGGGTTTTGGGATTAGTTTAGGGTTTTAGGGCTTAGGGTTTTTGGGGTTTTGGGTTATAGGGCTTAGGGTTTTAGGGTTTTAGGGTTTTGGGTTTTAGGGCTTTGGGTTTGCCGTGGCACGGCGCACAGGCGATGGTATCTTGTCACAGGATTGTGTCGAGTGCATCGTGTCTATAGATGGCTTTTTCCGTCTTTCTCCCCCACCCCACGCCGCATAAGCCGGCCAAGCCACCCAAACCTGTTCCTCTCCAGGGTTTTAAGCCTAAATTCAGCCAAGTTTACAGTTCTACAGGGTTTGGGGTCTCAGATTAGGGTTTAGCAAACCTAATCCTCTCTAGGGTTCAAGCCTAAAGTCATGGCCATCGCGTTTTTTTTATTTGTTCTGGGCATTCCAGGCCGGCCTATGCCTTGAGCTTGGGGATCTGTAGGGTTTAAAGCTTTTGGGGTCCTGGGTTTAGGGGTTTATGGGTGTAGGGTTTACAGCATTTTGGGTCCTGGATTTAGGGTTTAAGGTTTAGGGGTTCATGGGTGTAGGGTTTACAGCATTTTGGGTCCTGGATTTAGGGTTTAAGGTTTAGGGGTTCATGGGTGTAGGGGTTAGAGCTTTTTGGGTCTTGGATTTAGGGTTTAGGGGTTTAGGGGTTTATGGGTGTAGGGTTTACAGCATTTTGGGTCCTGGATTTAGGGTTTAAGGTTTAGGGGTTCATGGGTGTAGGGGTTAGAGCTTTTTGGGTCTTGGATTTAGGGTTTAGGGGTTTAGGGGTTTATGGGTGTAGGGTTTACAGCATTTTGGGTCCTGGATCTAGGGTTTAAGGTTTAGGGGTTCATGGGTGTAGGGGTTAGAGCTTTTTGGGTCTTGGATTTAGGGTTTAGGGGTTTAGGGGTTTATGGGTGTAGGGTTTACAGCATTTTGGGTCCTGGATTTAGGGTTTAAGGTTTAGGGGTTCATGGGTGTAGGGTTTACAGCTTTTTGGGTCCTGGATTTAGGGTTTAAGGTTTAGGGGTTTATGGGTGTAGGGTTTACAGCATTTTGGGTCCTGGATTTAGGGTTTAAGGTTTAGGGGTTTATGGGTGTAGGGGTTAGAGCTTTTTGGGTCTTGGATTTAGGGTTTAGGGGTTTAGGGGTTTATGGGTGTAGGGTTTACAGCATTTTGGGTCCTGGATTTAGGGTTTAAGGTTTAGGGGTTCATGGGTGTAGGGGTTAGAGCTTTTTGGGTCTTGGATTTAGGGTTTAAGGTTTAGGGGTTTATGGGTGTAGGGTTTACAGCATTTTGGGTCCTGGGTTTAGGGTTTAAGGTTTAGGGGTTCATGGGTGTAGGGGTTAGAGCTTTTTGGGTCTTGGATTTAGGGTTTAGGGGTTTAGGGGTTTATGGGTGTAGGGTTTACAGCATTTTGGGTCCTGGATTTAGGGTTTAAGGTTTAGGGGTTCATGGGTGTAGGGGTTAGAGCTTTTTGGGTCTTGGATTTAGGGGTTTAGGGGTTTATGGGTGTAGGGTTTACAGCATTTTGGGTCCTGGATTTAGGGTTTAAGGTTTAGGGGTTCATGGGTGTAGGGGTTAGAGCTTTTTGGGTCTTGGATTTAGGGTTTAGGGGTTTAGGGGTTTATGGGTGTAGGGTTTACAGCATTTTGGGTCCTGGATTTAGGGTTTAAGGTTTAGGGGTTCATGGGTGTAGGGGTTAGAGCTTTTTGGGTCTTGGATTTAGGGTTTAGGGGTTTAGGGGTTTATGGGTGTAGGGTTTACAGCATTTTGGGTCCTGGATTTAGGGTTTAAGGTTTAGGGGTTCATGGGTGTAGGGGTTAGAGCTTTTTGGGTCCTTGGATTTAGGGTTTAAGGTTTAGGGGTTTATGGGTGTAGGGTTTACAGCATTTTGGGTCCTGGATTTAGGGTTTAAGGTTTAGGGGTTTATGGGTGTAGGGGTTGGAGCTTTTTGGGTCTTGGATTTAGGGTTTAGGGGTTTAGGGGTTTATGGGTGTAGGGTTTACAGCATTTTGGGTCCTGGATTTAGGGTTTAAGGTTTAGGGGTTCATGGGTGTAGGGTTACAGCTTTTTGGGTCTTGGATTTAGGGTTTAAGGTTTAGGGGTTTATGGGTGTAGGGTTTACAGCATTTTGGGTCCTGGATTTAGGGTTTAAGGTTTAGGGGTTTATGGGTGTAGGGGTTAGAGCTTTTTGGGTCTTGGATTTAGGGTTTAGGGGTTTAGGGGTTTATGGGTGTAGGGTTTACAGCATTTTGGGTCCTGGATTTAGGGTTTAAGGTTTAGGGGTTTATGGGTGTGGGGGTTAGAGCTTTTTGGGTCCTGGATTTAGGGTTTAGGGTTAGTGGTTTAGGGCTTAGGGTTTGGAGCTTTTGGGTCCTGGGTTTCGGGTCTTTTACAGGTGCCCTTAAGGGTTTAAAGGATCCCTTTAAGGCATCCCGCTGGCGGCTAACGCAAGTTTACCAAAAGTAAACAGAAAGACTTTAGAACTGTCGACTATATCCTGTATCATATATAAGCCCTAAAAGTATGTGTATATATATATATATTATATCACAGAAGCTGTAAACCCAACACCCTCAAAACAATAGTTTGTCAAAACATAGGCCTCAATTGCCAAGGGGCAGGGCTCAGAGGACTCAGAGCCGCGACGGAAGGCATCCTAGCAGTTCAGCTGAAACCCCAAACCCTACAACCCATGTATAGAACCCTTATTAGATCTAAGGAACCCTTATAGACCCTTTAAGGAACCCTAAACCCCATTTACAGAGTTACAGAGCCCTTGTAGATCCCTTTTCAAGGAACCCTTATAGATCCCAGAAAGGAACCCTTTAAAGGAACCCTTATAAATCCCTCTGAAAGGAACCCCTGCCTCCTGGCGCCAGCCGGCTCGAAGCCACCGGGACCGGCCTTCACAGGGAGACGCAGTCCCCAGGGGAAGCGCTCCGGTCGACATGTCTGTATACAAACATGCGCACACAAGTAAGGGTGCATCTATATGCACATGAGTATGAACCTATCTATCTATCTATATATATATATACACATATATGTACACACACATATATATATATATAAATATACACACACATATACATATGTGTATATATATATGTATATACATGTATATATATGTATATATATATATATGTATATCCACCTTAATTAGATAGTATACCTATGTAAGTATGCATGTATGCACGTATGTGTTTATCATGCGCAGATGAATGACTCAAATGGCCCGGACCTAGCCTCCGGAGGGCCCTCACTGGCGCTGCTTCCTGCGGCGCTGCCTCAGTGCACCCCTGTCCATCAGGACGAAATGAACCCTAAAAGGGTTTAAGGATCATATACCATAAAGGGATTCATAGTATATGGGTATGGGGCCCCTACTTTTAAGTGTCATTTGGTCCTTCTTCAGGTACAGGGGCCTTACCAAGAGGCCCCATACTGTTGATGATATCAACCCTGCATTACCTTAAGAACCCTAAACTATGGGAATTAGGGTATATTCCTTATTATGGGTAATGCAGGATCTATATCATCAACCTTGGTAGTTCCTTTGTGGGGTTCATATATAGAATACTACAAGGTAAACCCAACAAGGAACTACTATGGGGCCTCTGGGTAAGCTTTACTATTACTGTTTTTTGGGCAATTCCTTGTTATAAGTATAGGATGATGGGTCCCGGTTGGCTAATACTTTTTTTTTTTTTTTTTGTGGTTGTTTTTGTTTTTTTGGGGAGCGTTCCTTGTTATATCTATAGTATAATGGGTCCCCAAACCCTATTCTAATTGTTAAGGCCACTGTACTTAGAGGTTCCAAACTAGTTACTTGTTGTTTAAGGATTATGGAGTTTAGGGTTCAGGATTTATAGTTTCCTATAACGTAACGCCAAAAAGAAATACGATGGAGCCTACTTAAAGGATCATGGGACTTAGTAACTGGGGAAATAACTAGAGTAACTCGACTTATAACCACTTATAAGCCCACTTAAGGTACTAAAACCGGACTTACTAAGTCCCATGATCCTCCAAGGTAGGCCCCAAACCCCACAGCCCAGCAGACCCAGCAAGTCCTACCAAAGGCATACCCCAAGGGTCCACTGGACAGAAATTCAAAAGACCATCTTTACTTGGAGGTTCATGGGTAGTTATAAGTAGGGTTTTAAGTCCCCTAATATGGGTTATAAGTATAGTTACCCAACTTATAACCCTACTTCTAACTACCCATGAACCTCCAAGTATCACGGTTCTTGGGAACTAATTCCATAACACCAGCAACCTAGTAGTAGTTCGTATGGGTTTAAGCTTGAGGGTTCGGGGTTTGGGGCCGCATCGTGCCGATACCGCTGCACTGCTCTGGCTAGTATACCCCCCAATCTGAGTCTGCTGGCTGTACTTAAAGGATCATGGGACTTAGTAACTGGGGTTATAAATAAGGTAACTATACTTATAATTTATTTATAACCCCAATTAAGGTACTAGTAACCTTACTTACTAAGTCCCATGATCCTCCAAGTAGGGCTTTACGATTCTAGGGCTTATCAGGGTTCAAGTGAGATGCCGCCAATTAAGCCCCCCGAAGCCCTAAATTCTATCCTCCCCCATAAGCGCTGCTGCCAAGACTGTATAATGGCATGATGCCAATACCCCAAAGTCTACACCCCAAAACATGACAGTCTACACCAAAAATCCTGAAGAACTCAGGTTCGGGCCCTACTACTCATATTTCGAGACACCTCCAAAATCCTATTCTAATTCTCCAGGCCCCTCGATTAGAGAACCGTTATAGCAACCCCTACAGAACCCTGCAAGAGGACCCTTAAATCAAAACCCTTGTCTTTGATGAGCCTACCTGGTTCCCCAAATTAATATCCTACTACCTGTTTTAGGGGCTTTGTGGAAATCATATTCGGGAACCCGAAATGGGAATGTTTGATGGGGTCCACCTGAAGAACTCAGGTTCAGGCCCTACTAATTATGTTCTGAGACACCTCCAAAGTCCTATCCAAAGTAGATGCTATATTGTATGGGTAGTTGTCAAGATTATGGCCCCTTTTGGGGTACCCTAAATATTAGGTGCCGTATTAAGTATTATAATAAGGACCCAAACAGGGCCCATACTTTTGACAACCACCCGTGTGGGTACCTGGACCCTTACACCCAGACCCCCGGGAGGATCCAAAAAGTAGATCCTTTGATGGGGATTCCTATAAAGTACCCTTAGTAGTATAGGACCCAAGTTGGGGGATCTACTTTCTAGATCCTCCCGGGGGGGTGGGCAACAGAACTCAGGTTCGAGCCGATCGAGACGTCAGGCTCTGCCGATTGAAGGATCGGATCGTCGGGTTGTTGCGCCGAGCTGCCGCTCCTAAGGTGGTTTAGGGTTTAGGAGTTTGGGGGTTTAGGAGTTTGGGGGTTCAGGGGTTTGGGGTTTAGGGTTCTTCAAAAATGAGCTTTCTGGAGGCACAGGGTTTAGGGTTTAGGGGGAATAGGCTTTCTACTTGGTGTGTTGGGGGTTGCATTGGTTTTCTGGTACTCTATATAGGCTCTTCAGGGACCCTATAGAGCTCCCTCAAAAAGGCCTAAGGCTCCAAATTAGGGGCCCGTACTTCTGACCTTAGAACCTTGGGTTCTGGGGTCCTCGAGCTTTTACCCATAGGCCCCAAAGTAGTTCTTTGTGGGGTTCATATATAGAATCCTAAAGGGTAGTCCCAAAAAGGAACTACTATGGGGCCCTTGGGTAGTGCTGAGTCAGAGTTTTAAGTTCCAAGGTCTTTTCGGCTTTGGGGCTTAGGGGTCTAGATTAGAATGGTAAGTTGCAGGGCCTTTGAGGTTTAGGGTTCGAGGGTCTGTACAGTTTTTGCAGATTTAGGGTTGAAGCTTCTCCAAACAGCCCCCTGAAGCGCGAAATTTTCGGAAGCTTAAATGGGGAGCTCCGGGAGAAACAACAGAGAAACACAGCGCTAATTGCCTAAAGAGTCTCCATGGTAGTTACTGATTGCAGTAACCTGATATTATCGGACCCTCACCATAGAATTTGTATAGCCAAAAGCTGTACTGAACTGAACCTAGACCCCTAGCAAAAGTTGCAGTTTTAGCTGTTTCTCTTAAGGATGAAAGGAACCAACGATTGAAAACCAGTTCTAGGGTACAACCGGGCCCCCAAAAAGTTCAAACTTTCTAAGATAGAGCTAATGTATAAGGCCAAAAAGTTTAAAGTTCCCCCGTTCCCTAAACCCTAAACCCTAAACCCCCACAACGGAGACCAAGGTGGGATCATAGGCTCCGTCGATGCCGACCTGCAAAACTCGGTGATGGCCCATGCTCCCCATGGACAGCACCTTGGCCCCAAAAGTAAACCCCTTTAGGGTTCAGGGTCTTTTTTTTAAGGGCTATAGGGTTTAGGTTGTTTTTAGGGTTTATGGGGTTTAGGGTCTATTTTAAGGGCTTTAAGGGTTTATAGGGTTTAGAGGGTTCAGGGACCCCAAAAGAAACCCTTATAGGGCTTATAGGGTTTAGGGGCTTTGGGCCATGTTTTAACCTGCTCCTGGGGATACTTGGGGGGTTTCAGCAAGGCCAGGCTGCGAAGAGCGGCCCGTGCAGGCAGTCTACGAAGCAGGTATGTAAAAGAAGATTCCCTAAACCCTCGACCTACTTAGACCCCCAACGACCCTCTAATATACCCTATACCTACGATTACGGACCATAAGGACTCCATTACAGGGCCCTTGGTTGGGTGCCCTGGTAGATCCTGAACCATGAAGTTGCGATTGCATGCAACATAACATTTCCCGCAGAGTTCCATCGGATCATTGGAGCTCACAGAGGCGTTGAGCACATGCACTGATTGCAGTATGAGCCAGAAGATATGCGTGCAATTATGTATCTATGTATGCATGTAGGTAGAGGGGATGGTCCAATTACCCGCTACTTACGGTCTTATGCTCAACAAAGCGCCTCCAGAAGGAACATCGTAGCCTTCCGCGACGAGGGTGCCGGAGAGCTTTATTCGTGGCACTTTCGGAGATGCAACCAGCTGAGGCCCACTGGGCATGGTACCAACCGCGGCGCGACCTCATCGCAGTAACAAGCGGAAGCCAACACACACGATAAACAAGAAGCTGAGCTATCAGTATAGCAAGGTACATGGCAGAAAGCCTCAATTTCTGGTTTAATTGTAAATACTGTAAGGCTGACCCCAAAGAAACACTACACCAACACCTGCGAAAGCAAAAGGGGCGTGCATCCAAACTAATGCTGACGTATACCCACACCCTCTAATGTAGTACCTTTTCGTGCCCTAGTTTCTTATTGTGGGATCCTAGCCACAGAATAAACCATCCGATAATAAACCGCAATTACGACATTTAAGGGACCCAGTAATGTCTTGCATTAACTTATGAGGGCGCCTCTCTGATCGTTGAAGCAACCAAAGATCCTGAACACCTAAGCTCCAACCTCCGAACAGCAAGCCTTATAACCGAGACCCCCCACCCACATACAAAGTACAACAACACCCCGAACACCACGAACACCCACCTCAGCTTCAAAACCTTACGTCCATACCCATAGGCCCCATAGTAGTTCCTTTTGGGAGTTCATATTTAGATTCCTATAAAGTAATCCGAAAAAGGAACTACTATGGGGCCTATTGGTAAACCTTACAGCCCACGAAGCCTTCGACCTCGCCGCGTCCTGGGACTGCTTGCCACACCTGCGGGGCATTGCGGTCATACGGGCTCTAGCAGGAAGTCCAACAATATTTGTCAGGGTTCTTCACCCAGACGCCGGTAAGGATCCAACAAATAGATCCTTTTAAGGAGGTTCCTATAGAGAGATAGAATCCCCTGCCGTTGCGAGGAGCGCAAATCAGGGGATCTTTCCAGATCCTCCCGAGGGTCTGGGTCAGGGTGTGGATTCGGTGAACGCGACGCGACTAGACACCCTGAGGCTCCATGTGCCCTTGTAGTAGATACTTTGGCCTTAAAGTACCTACATAGGGCCCCTTTAAGGTTTAAGTATCTAGTACAATGGTACATGGAGCCTTTGGGACAGGAAGCCAAGCAGGGCGTGCTGGGACTGGATGCACCCGGCTTGAGTTTGTCTTGCGTTTATCATGGGGGGTGTTGAAGCGTATGTCTTGGGTACTCCCTAAACCCTAAACCCTAGAACCCTGCCCGGCCTCCGTACCGAACGACATGGTGTTCAAAGGCACAGCTGTCTCCGAACTCTGGCTGCTGCCACTCGTTGCAGTGTCTGCAAGGCAGTTACCTCCAGGACTTTGTGCAGAACTCTCGCCGCGCGCTTCTGTTGTGCCGCCATTCCATGACCCATCTCCTGCTGCACCTGTCAGTGACGGTAACCGCTGCGAAGACGCCCGACGCGAAGAACTCGATTGCAGAGCATTCTCCTCACTCATGTGACAAGCCTCCGCAGCAAGCTCGGGTTGCCAATGGCTTTCACAGCCCTGTGAGCCAGCAGCACCTGCTGCACAAAGCTCATAGCTTTCCGGGACAGCGCCGCCACTGCCAAGCAGTTGCGACGAGGGATGTGGCTGGTCTCCGACTTCATTGTGTCTGCCACTCGCTGCAGTGCCTGCAAGGCAGTTACCTCCAGAACTTTGTGAAGCAGTTTCGCCACGCGCTTCTGCTGTGCCACCATTCCATGGCCCATCTCCTGCTGCACCTGTCAGCGATGCCGGACGCGAAGAACTCGATTGCAAAGCGTTCCCCTCACTGATGTGGCAAGCCTCGGCTTGCCAATGGCTCTCGCAGCCCTGTGAGACAGCAGCACCTGCTGCACAAAGCTCATAGCTTTCCGGGACAGCGCCGGCACTGCCAAGCACTTGCGACGAGGGATGTGCCTCTAGCCCATGCCCGGCGCCGACTTCCTCGTGTCCGCCACTCGCTGCGGTGTTTGCAAGGCAGTCACCTCCAGGACTCTGTGCAGAAGTCTCGCCGCGCGCTTCTGTTGTGCCGCCATTCGATGGCCCATCTCCTGCTGCACCTGTCAGCGACGATAATCGCTGCGAATTCGCCGGACGCGAAGAACTCGATCGCAAAGCATTGCCCTCACTCATGTGACAAGCCTCCGCAGCAAGCTCGGGTTGCCAATGGCTCTCACAGCCCTGTGAGCCAGCAGCACCTGCCGCACAAAGCTCATAGCTTTCCGGGACAGCGCCGCCACTGCCAAGCACTTGCGACGAGGGATGTGGCTGGTCTCCGATTTCATCGTGTCTGCCTGTGGGCGACTCTGAATAACAAGTCAAGAAGAAGAATCAAGACGCTCTAAGATCCGCAGTGAAACCTCCCAAAAGTCTTCCTTTAAATTAATGAAATTGTGTCTATTGCCTCCGCAGAAAGTTTCTGGCGCAAACCATATGTTACATAGTTTGGATCCATGCCTGCTGCTCCAGGGCCGGCAAATTCTCCATCAGTGGCTCCGCGATGGCAACAATGCCCTGCTTGAATGCTTTCAGCCCAAGAAAACCAAACTGTTCATCCACAGTGCCAGTATAGCAACAAGAGAATAATCGTAGTAGTAGCCAGAAAAGTACTGTCCGAATTGAGAGAAAAAGTGTTGCCTTTGAAAAGGTCGCACCTGCATGAAGCTCTGCATTTCGCGGGCCCAATGTGCCCAAAGCCTTGTGTCTCTATAACATTTTTACGGAAAGATCAGATTTGTTGTGCGATTTCAGAACCGGTCCTCCTAAACCCCAAACCCAAGCTTGTTTAAAGTGAAGGGGCCGGGAGGAGTCTCCAACCATTGAAAGCTATGCAAGTGAGGTATAAGCTATGATAAAGTCTTTAGTGTAAAGTACGGACCACAAGGCCTGCTATAAACAGGGCCCGCATAATTACTAGGAATCAGATGTGGTAGTTGAACCAGGGAACCCTGCACGGGTGTATTTTGACCTTCCGGTAGTTCATAATGTCTCATACTCCGCCCTCTCACTGCCCCTGCACAACTGTACTGAAAATACCGCAACATCTTCCTGCACGTACGAAGCCGATCTGCGTACGCCTATAAACTACCTAACAACACACACACACACACACATCTCCGAATACAAACACACATGCAAATGTCCATACTCACATAAAGGTAAACATACCCATATATGCTCATGTATTATATATATATATATATATATATGTGTGTGTGTGTGCAAAAACATACGCATATACCACATATATATATATATATGCATATGTATGCACATAAACATACACACACACACACACAGGAGCCTGAACAGCAGATCAGGCCTGTATATGCTAAAGTAGACTGAACTCGCCAAGAGCCAAAACCCCAAGGAAGCCAGAAAATCCCCATACCACGTTTCACACGCTAAACCCCTCAACCCTAAACCAAAACCCTAAACCCTGAACAAATGAAAACCCGCAACAACCCTCTTAAAACACTTGCAAACAACCCTCGGAAGCCTGTAAAAACCCTTCAAAGACCCTAAACCTTCACCTAAACCCCCACCTAAACCCTGAACCCTATACACCCTAGATAAAACCTACAAGCCCTAGAAGCCCTATACACCCTAAACCCTCCCTAGTCCAAGGCCAAGAGGCACGCCCCGCAGGGCTCCTCACTGAGACGGGGCTGGCGGTCTCCGTGCCCTCCGAGCTGCCATCGCTGGAGTGTCCGAGGTGCTCGGGGATGGGCAGAGTCAAAGACACCTCTTAGGGCTTTAAGGATTTTTGTTTAGGCTTTAGGGCTTTAGGGCTTTAGGGTTTAGCTTGGGCTTTGAGGGTTTAGGGTTTAGGGTTTACGGGCAGAGACAAAGATACCTCTCAGGGCTTTAGAGCTTTAGGGTTTCACGGCTTCAGGGCTTCCAAGTTTGGGGGAGAGGGCTTAGGGTTTCCCAAGACTCCGAGGTCCATAGTAGGGCAGGGTCTGCCTGAGAAGTGTCCGGAATCCCGGAATGTAGGAACCTTAATGAGCAGCCTGAGGGGTCAAACTATCACATACTATTAAGGAACTTTCTGCTAGAGCTCTGTCTATAGATAAACTGCAGCGACGAACATTAACGTTGATAACACTTGAAGGTCTATCTGGGAGGTTGTCAAAATTAAGGTCCTTTTTTGGGTAATTACCCTATATAGTAGGCGCCTTATTGTACTAGGGACCCCAAAAGGGATCATAGCTTTAAAGAGTTCAAGCTTAAGAATGCCACTGAGTAGGCCTTGCCCCTGCCTGCGGGAAGGTCGACAACTTCTGATGCTCAGCCATCTCAGGGCCTATGGTGAGGCCTCCATGGCAACCTATCTCATCTGCGCTCGTCGGAACATGTTCACCAGGCGCTCTCGCTGTGCCGTCACTCCATGATCTATCTCCTCCTGCACCTGGCGGCGACGATAGTTCCGAAGGAGCCGGACCCGAAGAACGCGATCGCAGCAGATCCCCGTCACTTTCAAAGCAAGCCTCCGCGGCAAGCCCGGGTTGCAAAAGGCCAGAAGAGCCCGTCGAACCGCCAGCAGCAGCGAGTGGCGCTGTGACTTGGCGGTCGTCGCCTTCCGGGAGGTCCGTGCCGGACTTGCTGGGCTGTTGCGAAAAAGCTGTTGCCTGCGGCACCCGCCCACCATGCACGTCACCGTCTTGGGGGTGGCTACCCGCTCTCCGCGAGATCTGGCTCCTGCCGCTTGCTGCTGTCTCCGCCAAGCAGTTTCCTCCAAGGCTTTGTGCAGAAGTCTCACCAAGCGCTCTCGCTGTGCCGCCACTCCGTGACCTATCTCCTTCGTCACCTCTTAGCGACGACGGTTCCGAAGGAGCCGGACCAGAAGAACTCGATCGCAGCGGATTCCCCTCTGTAGCGAGTCCGGGTTGCCAAGGGCTTTCCAACCTCAGCGAACTGCCAGCGGCTCCAACGCAGAGACGGTCATAGCCTTCCGGGTCGACCGTGTCAGCCCTGCCAGGCTTTTGCGACAAGGCTGCTGCCTCCGGCACCGGCCCAGCATGCACATCACCGTCTTGGGGTTGGAAACCTGCGATCGGCCAGGGGAAAGGGTCGAAATACGAGAAAGGAGAGCTCCTGATAGCATGTGTTCAAGTTTTGGTGCCACAAGCCTCAAATGAGCTTGCTCCAGGCAAACTCTCTTGAGAACTTTTGTGCAACCAGGGTGACTGTGCCAGTTCAGTACTAAAACCTAAACCCTACTGTTTCTGGGGAACTAGCAGTTGACTGTGAACCACGACTTTTGTTCGGAATCATTTTCTCAACACACACACACACACACGCACACACCCAAACAATTTTTGTCGCGAGAGACTCCCATGAATAAAGAATCCTGTGATTAGGGGCTTGTGGAGTTATGGGGATTACATGTCACCAACGCCACCCTGGCAAATTAAACCGCGCCTCCGTCAACCTCACCATTTCCTGGACGCTCCAGGCCGAATTCCTCGTAGGATGCTCTCCGCGAACTCTGGCTCCCGCCGCTTGCAGCGGTCTTCGCTAGGCAGTTTCCCCCAGGGCTCCATGCAGAAGTCTCGCCAAGCACTCTCGTTGTGCCGCAACTCCATGACCCATCTCCTTCTGCATCCCTTCGCGACGACGGTTCCGAAGGAGCCGGACCAGAAGAACTCGATCGCAGCACATTCCCCTCCGTAGCGAGTCCGGGTTGCCAAGGGCTCTCCAACCTCAGCGAACTGCCAGCGGCAGCTCCAACGCAGAGACGGTCATAGCCTTCCGGGTCGACCGTGTCCGCCCTGCCAGGCTCATCACCTTGGGGTTTAGGGTTCCTTTCAGGGATCTAGGAAGGGTTAAGGCTTCCTGGCCCAAATTGTTGTTCCCACAGAGCCCACAGACTGGACAAGTACAGCATATGAGTCGTAGGAGCTCCTGAACCATGACATCCCCTAAGGCTCCACGGACCCATATAGCATATACTTATAAGGCATTAAAGTACCTTTATAGGGACCCCTTTAAGGCTTAACTACTATAAAGGTACATGGAGCCTGTGGGATCTACATCCCCAAGCCCGACACGTGAAGACATACAGTAGATACAGCTGTTGTTTAGGGTTTTGCCGGTTTAGGCTTTAGGCTATAGGGTTTGTTCACAAACCAGGTCCTGCACCACGGCGTGCATCATCAGCTGATCCTGCCGGCAAGGACGCACAGTGCTCATACGGGACATATGACGCGCTCCTCAATTAATATGAGTAGTCATCTTAGCATGCTGCTTGCTTGGATCCATGTCTCCGGCAACATTGTTTTATAAAGCTTACGATCAAGATCTGACAAGGGCAAGCGACTGTGTTCAGTATCGGTGGCTTCGATAATCTCTAAGCTTCTTCAAGAAGGAAGACCCAGACCACAGGAAATAGCCACATCAGGACTCCTGATTGAATTCCACCACGTTCCGGGTTCGCTGACCACGGGACTCTTACCTCAGCTACAGATATGTCTTCAATGTCTTCATGTAGAGGGTTTGCGGTTGAAGGTTTGCCAGTACGTAGCGCCTTAACGCAAAGGCTCAAGGAGCCATCATGGAAAAGCCTGCCGAGTAATGTAGGGGCTTTAATGATTAGAATAGGGTTTTGGAATACATCCTTATTACATCTTTAGTAATATATACCTCCAAGCCCTTGTACTTGTGGGGTGAGGTTGGGGACTTGCCCTCGATTTCGGGTGCAGGACGGAAGGTATAGTTCAGATTCTGTAATCGAAAGGTCCATGCACCACTTATATGTACTTATATTCCCAATTAAGGTACATATAACTGTACTTACTAAGTCCCATGAACCTCCAAGTATAGTTAGTTCAGATTCTGTACCCGAAAGGTCCATGCACCCATATAGCATATACTATGAACCCAAAGTACCTGTATAGGGACTCCGGTAAGGCCAAAACAAGAAAACAAACAAACATATGAGGACACGAACCCCTTAGGGTGGGGCTCGTTTCGCGCTCGAAGTCATGTTCTGGTTCTTGCTGACCCAAACTATAGCCCTTAGGCTTCCTTTAAAGGGGTCTATAGGGGTCACTAAAAGGGATCTGTAAGGGTTAGTACAATAATGTAGGAACCTGATTAAGAAGCCTTGGGCCTTTCCTAGAGTTCCTTTAAAGGGGTCGATAGGGGTCACTATAAGGGATCTGTAAGGGTTAGTATAATAATGTAGGAACCTGATTAAGAAGCCTTGGGCCTTTTTTAGGGGTCCTTATATGAATCCTACTGTTATGTGGTTGCAGGCCCAGGGTTTTTTAATCAGGTTCCTACATGGCGGGATACTGTCCCCTAAACCCCTAGATATAAACCTTGTAATCCCGATAACCCAGTAGGCAACTGGGCTCCTAGGGTAGTATACCGGAGCAAAAACGGGTGCACAGTCCGTGATTTTCGGGCTTTGAGGATGCAACAAACCCTAAACCCTAAACCTCAAACCCTAAACCCCAAACCTCAGCACGGAACCCTCAAGCCTGAACCCCGAGATATCCTTCCTCATACTTGAACCCCTCAGACCACCCTAACCCTCTGGGTCCATGTGGGCATATAGCATGTACTTTGCGCCCAATGTACTTATATGTATATACTATATGAGTACACGGACCCTTAGGGTAACGTTCTGAATCACAAACCTCAAACCCCAAATTCCCTAGATGACAATCTAAGGGTCTGAATTATACAATAATCAAACGTCGCCTAAACTCTTTGCCAGTTGCTGGTTCGTTTACCCTACCCCTAAACCCTAAATCAAGGGCTTTGTCATCCTTCTTCTCAGGTAGGTTGAGGGGGGGGTGTGGCCTAGAACCAGGCTGTGCGCCTGATTTTCGGGTTTCGGTTTAGGGTTTGGGAGGGCGGGCGGGGTGGGGACGGGGGGACATCACAACGGCGGAACCCTGTAAAGACCATCGAGGGAAACGCGCAATCCCTGAATAAACCCTACAGTAATATAGGTCCGTTGTGCGGCTCTCTCTCTCTCTATCCCCCTCCCTCTCCCTGTATGTGTGTATATATATATATATGCTACCCCCCCAGGACCTACCTCGAAGCCTCTTCTTGTACTGTCTAGACAATGTTACGAGTCCACTCCGAACTAAGCTGCAGTATACTGCGTAGTCTTCGCTGTCTACGACGACACCACACCGTTCGAGCCAAAACAATACCATGAAGTATTGTCTACTGTCCTCTGTATGCTACGCTATTTAACGGCGCGCTCCTCCTGATGTTCCTTTTTTGAACCGTGATCTATAGGGTATGTTAGAAGCTATTGTAAACGGTATCCTAGATGGTATTCTGGAGGATATTCTATGAGGTTAACTTAATTGGGGTATACAAAAGATATATTTCATAGGCGGTCTTCTGTAAGGATGGTATTCTATAGGGCATTCTATCAGGTATTGTAGAAGGTACTCCGTAAGGTATTGTACAAAAGGCATTCTGCGGCCTATATGTAGGAAGGTATTCGATAATGTATGTTTTATGAAATTTATTAAGGTGCATAGAGAGTGTATTTTATAAGGTAGTTGTAAGGATAGTTCTCCTGGTTCCTGATTTCTTCATAGGAACCCTTTACCCAAAAGCTGCAGTTCAACTAGAAATTATCAGATCTTGGGCTCCGGCTGGCTTTCCATATTTAAAACCCGTATCTATAAGGTACTGTTAGGATTTTCTATAATGGATTTCAAAAGGTAATCTAAATTGTACTGTACAAGTAGTCCATATGGCATACATAAGGTACACAATATGTATCAAATAAAGGCGCTCTTCTTCAAAGTATTCAACGGGGTATTACAGATGGTATTATTATAAGGTGTATGTAGGGTAAATCGGTGGAAAAGGTAGTTTAAAAGGCATTCTATAGAGTATGCGCAGCATGTGTTTCAGAAGAGCTCTGTTCTCTGTATGTATCCTTTGCTAGACAAGCATCGATTTTTCAAGGAATTTCTAGATCCTATATTCCGCAATTCCTTGATATGAACCCATTGCTAAATAAACCACATTCAACTGGGGAGCTCTGAGATCTTGGGTGTACAAGGTGTGTAGGGAATATAGGAACATTATATAAGGTATTACCGTATTCTACATGAATTTCTTTACGGTTTGTAAAAAGCGTATTCTGTAAGGTATTCTACAGGCATAAATGTCCGTTGCTCAATAAGCTGCAAGAAGCTTGGGCTCCTTCTGATTTACTTTACGTAAATCCTGGTCTATACGGCTTTTGTCGGGTATCCCAAAGGGGGTCTCAAGGGCATGTATAAGGTATAAAGGGAGTATCATCCATAGGGCGTTTATAATACATTCTGTAAAGTATTCCAGATGGTATTCTAAAAGGCTCATATAGGGTATATAGGAGATAAACAAGGTATTCTATGTGGCAGTCTATAGGGTATTTATACGGTATCCCAAACTGTAACGTATAAAAAGTATTCTATAGGGTGTATATATAGGACAGATTTCTATAAGGTGTTTCATGAGAGACAGGGTATTCCATAAGGTATATTATACAAAGTATATACTTTATAAACTCTATACGGTACGACCTGAGTATTTTCTATGAAATCCTGGAAGGGATAAGGGGGTATTCTATAGTGGGCTTTGAAGGATATTTGTTTACAAGTAGGTTCCTGACGTCCATCCACCATGGGAACCCGTTACTCAATAAGCTATGACTCAGCTGGACATTCGCAAATCTTCGGCTCCGACTGATGTTCCATATTTAAACCTGTCTGTACAGTAATTATTGTATTTATGCTCACAAGGACAGGACTGGAACTGGAAGTACAAGATCACTTGATTTTGATTAGATGCAGCTTGGGTCACCACACATTTGTTGTCATGCGATCATACTGTCAAGCACAGCAATCCATTCGCTAATCTTCACTGCAGTAGTGGCCATGTGGCACATAAAATGGCAAACTGATATGTTTCATAAATATTTACATGGTTTCCAGCGGCCTGGCTGCATTAAAACCCGCATTAAAAACACAAATTAATGCAGCCCGGCCCGTGGAACCAAGAACCAAGAACCAAGATGCCCAGGAGTCTTGAATCTTGGATCTTGGTTCCACGGGACTGGCTGCATTAACATTAAATTTTTTAATGCAGATTTTAATGCAGCCCGGCCGGTGCCCGTGGAACCAAGATTCAGGATTGAAGACTCCTGGGCACCTTGGTTCTTGGTTCTTGGTTCCACGGGCCTGGCTGCATCAAAATTTCATTTTTTAATGCAGATTTTAATGCAGCCCGCCCGTGCCCGCGGAACCAAGATCCAAGATTCAAGACTCCTGGGCATCTTGGTTCTTGGTTCTTGGTTCCGCGGGCCGGGCTGCATTAAAGTTTAATTCTTTAATGCGGGTCTTAATGCAACCGGGCCTCTGGTATAGTCATGTTCGTATGCATTAATCTTCGTATACCTTAAGGTCCATGTTGCATGTGTGTGTGTGTGCGTGTGTGCGCATGTGTGCGCATGTGTGTGCATGGGTAATGAAGTGTGGTATCATATATGTAGACAGACAGGTTTGGAGGTAGGTCCTGGGTGGGGTACCATATATATATATATATATATATAGATAGATAGATAGATAGATAGACGTATATATGCAAACATATATATATATATATATATATATATATATAGAAACAAATACATAAATAAATGTGTATATATATATATATATATATATGGATTATGTGTGTGTGTGTGTGTACATATAGGGTTGTCCAATGAGCACAGCGGCCCCGTGCTCAAGCAGCAGCTCGGGTGGCTTGCTCTTGACCGGGAGGGTGGCTTCTCCTGCGACGATGGCTGTGGCATCCTTGAGGGACTTGCGGCTTTTAGGGTTTAGGGGTTTAGGGGCTTTCGGGTTTATAAAGTTAGGGTTTAGGGTATAGGGCCCTTTTTCAATGATTCAAAGATCCGATGCTGAGCACACCTGGGCCATCCCAAATGTGCATTTCTTGGAGTACTCAGGATCTACTAGGATGCCCAGTAACCCATGGATAAAAAGGGCTCCCTTTTTTGGCATTGGGTAAGTTTCTAAGGAACCTACTGTTGATGGACAAAGTCCTGCATTACCCATTATCAGGACTATACCATAGTTCCCATAGTTCAGAGTCCTTGGGGTCATGCAGGATTTTGTCCATCAGCAATATGACTACAAAAAGGGAATAAGGGTACTACTGGGCATCCTACTCAGGATCTGCGATACGAGGCTGCGCAAGTTCGGGCTTTCAGTCTCAATGAGACCTCGAGGCCTGGCTCGATGTGGGAGTTTCCGAAAATACGGTTGATGATATAAATCCTGCATTTCCCATAATAATAAGATATATACCATAACTTCCATAGTTTTGGGTCCATAAGGTAATGCAGGGTTTATATCATCAACAGTAGGGGACCCTAAAATAGTGCTTTAAATAGTAGGACCCTTATTATTTAGAAGGACCCCAAAATAAGGTACCCCTAATTTTCGGAAACTCCCATGTTGGTTTAAGGACCCTATAAGTCCGATAGCCTATACCTAGAGGCTCCCTAGTAGTTCCTTTTTGGTGTTCATATTAGAATTCTAAATGGTAATCCCAAAAAGGAACTGCTACGGAGCCCATGGGTAAGTTTAGGATTTAGGGTCTAGGGCATCTAGAAGCCCTATAGCGAACTCCAGAAAGTTGGGAACATGGATTTAGGATGATTTGTGCTGGGAGTCCCTATACTCTAGCTTAAGGGCATGAGGATCTTGTCCGACTTTCTGGCTTCTCCTTTAGCGGCTGCCGGCTTGAAACTACTAAAGGGGCCTTGACTATTAGAATTCGGTTTTGGTGCCAATACACTATACTCATGAATAACGCACCCCTTCAAAACTGTGTTGGTAGTTCTTTAGCCTCGTGTAGTACAAGAATTGAATCTTGCAGCCCTGAAACAAGCTCGTCCTCGAAGACCTCGATAGCTGAAGACGCCAAAAACAGTAGTAAACCAAGTTTGAGGCACTTGGAGTTCACGCCCAAAAGGGGTATATTGGAGGGTAGTTGGGAGGTCTAGGTAATCTTCATTATGCTACAAGCTTTAAGACTTAAGCCTTTAAGCACTGCAAACCCTATCTGAGTCCCTATCTTTCTCGGCATTGCTATCCTCCGCTCTCCCAACAAGCGTTGAATTCCTGCAAACGGCCTCCTTCAAGTCTCAGCCCCGAAACTATCGAATCCCTAAACCCTTTACGACACGAGCCTCTAAATCCCAAATCGGCAATCCTACATAATTCCTTAAGCACTTTACCCTAAACCCCTAGGCTGGAAAGGTGCCAAAGCCCGCCTACATGTTGCAGTCTCGGAGGATCTTTTCAAGTAACAGGATTTTCGTTTGTTCGGGAAAACGGTTTGGGGCCTCCGGGTTGAGTAGGATGGCAGGGGGATTCTTGAAGTTAAATGCTTGATATGAACGCTTTCGTTCAGCAGGGTGTATTCCTCAGTCGTAGGAAACACGCCTGCGGCCAGAAGCTATATGGTTTACGCCTGGCGCATTTCTGGCCTTGAAGGGGAGGGGTAAATGTTCGCTGCTTGCTCCTCAAAGTGTCAAAGCCTGCACCAAAAACCCAGAAAGCCTAACAGAGCGGATTAACCTCGCCTCTTGTTACGGAACTTAATCCAAGGAGCCATTCTAAAAGATCTGACGTACATAATATTAAATGGGCCCCCCTATATTATATTTAAAGGACAAATAAAATGGGTTTTCATATACCACCCCTGCACCAACCTTTAGGATCCGGGAGCAACGCCTTCCAGGAGGAGGAACAGCCATGCGGCGAGCACTTGCCGCGCCGCCTGTCAACTCCAAGGGTAAAACGAGGGACCCTATTATATACCCATTATATAGACCATTATAGGGTAGGGGTCCCCATTAAGGGTCCCTCCTTTTCCCCTTTGATCAACGATGACTGCTGGCCGTGACCCCCAAACCTAATCCTCCTCTAAACCCTTGCCCGCAAACACCCTAAACCCCTAAACGGCCCTAAACACCCTGTACCGCCAAACCCTAAACACCCTGAACCCTTAAACAGCCTAAGCCCTAAGCGGACTGTAGAATTCTGGAAGGTTTAAGGTTCGGAGTTCGCCCCCCAAACGTCCCGGAACATGTCTGAGCCTGAGGGAGGTTTCAGGACTCACCCGGCCCAGGATTGTCAAGGGGAGTATGCTTAGAGCCCACCGGGGTTTAGGGTTTATAAGACGCAGACCTTCCAAAATCCCTTAGGTAAGGAATATATGGTATATTCCGGGGGCCTGAACGATGGGCCCAGGATAAAGAGGCCGACGCCGGCACTAAAACATATCTTATTAACTCATACTCGGGATCCTACTATGAGTTCAGGTATGTTGCTTAACTAAAGGATTTGGACGGGCTGGGAATATAGGGTGCCTTTAACTAAGGGTCCCAGCACCAACCTAGTCTCCATTCTAGGTTCTTTTTGGCTGCCTTATATCGGATGCTGAATAGAAAACTGGTTAAACAAGCAAACGAACTGCAATGGAAACTGTAGGTAATGTAGAGACCCGGATAAGGAGAACTGCTAGGGTTTGGGAGCATACATTTACATACAGCTATGTAAGGACCATCCGGACTGACCCCGCAATATGAACCCGTAAACCTCCAAACTCAATGCACCCTGAAAGCCTAATCACCAAACCCCACATCGAGGATAGACCTCTTAAATCCTAAACTCCAACCCGCAAGACTCTAAACCCCATGCTTAAGCGGTACGTAAGCACGAACACTGAGTTGCGTTGTAATTTTGGTACCCCAAAACCTACGATTTGAGCATTTGGACTTGTAGGGTATAAGAACCCTAAGTACCGAACTCTAAACCTCGTAAACCCTGAACCCTGAACTCAAAATTCTAAACCTTAAGCCCTAAGCCCCAGAAGCCCTGAACCTTAAACCCTAAACCCCATAAACCCTGAACCCTAGACCTTAAACCCATTGAAATCTGCGCGCCTGTATCCGTCTCTGGTGGAGCTCCCGCAACCTGAGACCGAGAGAAGGAAAGCTTGAGTTTTAGGGCTTTGGGGTCTTTTAAGGCTCAGGGTTGAGGGTCTACCTTCAGGCTCCATAGTAGTTCATTTTTGTCGTTCATATTTAGGATCCTATAGGTAATCCAAAAAGGAACTACTAACTGACTATGGAGCCTATGGGTATAGACCCCATCCAAAGCTGCACTTAATGCTTTTACACTTTCTTTGGCGCTCCAGGATAGGGCTCTGGGGTGTTAGGGCTCTCAGGCTTTGTGGTCTAGGGCTTTGTGACTTTGGGGCTTTAGGGCCATTTTACGGGTTTGAAGTCTACGCATAGGGCTGCATTGTAGTTCCTTTTCGGAATTGCCTTATAGGATCCTAACAATGAACCCGAAAAGGGAACTACAATGGAGCCTATAGGTAGCTAGGTTGGCCCTACTTTAAAGCCTCTGAAAATTATTCGTAAATAGAAACCTATTAAGCCCAAGAAGGGAAAATACAAAATGTCCCAAAGGCCTACCTAGGTAGATTAGGGCTTTAAGATGTTAGGGCTTTGTGGCTTTCGGGCTTTGAAGTCCAGGCTGCTTGGGATCAAGGAAATATTTCTGCATGCTCACTATTCCCCCACATCAAAAAAACACGCAGCACTAATACAGGCGCCTTAATAATTAGAATAGGGTTTTGGGGGCACCTTATAAAAATGATGACAATAAAACCCACCAAAAAATAGTACTGGTATTGGTATTAATTATTTAAGCCCCTGTACTAGGGCCAACGTCGAGATATGACCCCGAGAGCCTGGATTATGCAGAGGCTGATATTGTAGGGATACCGAATCAAAGGCTAAGAACCCCCCCCCCTCCCTGCACCCCCATCTCACCCTAAACCCTAAACATCTCATTTAATCCAAGAGGCATTGGCGGGAAGTGCACAGGGTCCATTCCCAGGCGTGGCAGCAGCACAGAGAGCAAGGCCTCGAATCGGCCATCGACCCTCAACCGTAGCCCTTTCCCAGAGGCCCCAACGTAGTTCCTGTTTGGGGTAAGGTAATCCCAAAAAGGAACTACCATGGGGCCTATGGGCAAAGCCGAACCAGGACCACTCCGCCTCCCCCATTTTCAAAAAACAGTAGCTCTCACCTTGAGAATCTAACATCTCAAGGCTGGCTGAACCCCAACCCCAAAGCCCAACTACGGTTGATGATAAACATTCCTGCATTACCTTAAGGACCCTAAACTATGGGAAAGATGGTATATTCCTCGTTACGGGTAATGCAGGATTTACCTATAGTCTCCATTGTAGTTCCTTTTTGGGGCTACCTTTTGGGATCCTTAACATAAAATTGGTTAAACCAAAAAAAGGAACTACAAAGGAGACTATAGGTATATCATCAACAGTAGGAGCCAGGAAGTTGGAACATCACTGTCCTGGCTCGTCAGCCCAAAGTCGAAAGTCATCTTGGCTACTCAAACCTTAAGGACGAAATGGGTCTAAGGCTCATATACCATTATAGGGATTCATGGTATATGGGTATAGGGCCCCTACTTTTAAGGGTCATGTTGTCCTTCAGGAACAGACATGGTGACGCAGAGATGAACAGCTGACACAAGCTTGTCATCACGCACTCACGCCTCTCGCAGCCGTGCCGCGCGCCGCGGCGACTGTTCGCCCAAGCGACGGAGGTCGCAAAGATCCATGGCTAAAATGGGTTTTGGAGTTTCGGGTAGGGTGTAGGGTAGGGTAAGGGTCTGAGACTTTGGTTGTGGATTGAGGCTTAAATCTGTGTAGTCTCGTTTCAGCGTTGCTTCTCTGAAACTGAAGATGTTGGGCTTTGGGGTTTCGGGCTCAGCTATTAAATTTGCGATTTGCTGTTCGTAGGGTTTGGACAAAGGAATATTGCCACCGGGTTGCATGATCCCTCATCCCTATACCAACCAAAACAATGTGGTCTGTGCTTGCGGCCCGCTTAGACACCATGGCTCCCCCTTGGAATGGAAGTGCGTTCCGCGATAGCAGGGAATAGCAGTCTTGAAATTATCAAGCCTGTCAGGCTTTATACTAATGAAAACATAAACCCCTATCCCGAACATAAGGCCCTAAATCCTGATATCCTGAGGTACATTAAATTACTATACTCCCCAAGGTAGACAATCATGTCCGCATTCGGACCCGTCCCCTAGGACAACCCACCGGCATATCCTTCCTCGTGATGGTTTCAGGTGCTGGGCAGAGGGGCCCCCGCCCTAACCCTATTCTAACTGTTACCCAAAGGCCCCCTAGTTGTTCTTTTTGGGGGTTCGTATATAGAATCCTATAGGGTAATCCCAAAAAGGAACTACTTTGGGGCCTCTGGGTAGGGCCTCTAGATTACTTCATCCGAGACCAGGGTCCTTCTTGTCAGGACTTCCGGGCCGAGGCTAGCAGGCAAGCATTCCCAGAGACTCCACTCTCCCTTAACCTATCTACTACTACCACTACTACTACTACTACTACTACTACTACTACTACTACTACTACTACTACTACTACTACTACTACTACTACTACTGCTACTGCTACTGCTACTGCTACTACTACTACTACTACCACTACTACTACTACTATTTGATCCTTACAAAAACTGAATATACCAAGGGCCCTTTGAATAGAGGCCTTCTGGTCCGTAATAGCGGGTATTTGGGATTGAATAGAGGGTGCCCAGAGACTCCACGATCCCTTAATTCAGGAATATTCCTTAAATTATGGTAGAATCCGTTATATGATTTAAGGTATATTCATTAAATAAGGGTGGGTTCCCAACACCCCATCTCAGACACCGGAGCTTTCAGGACTCATCGTTGAAGGTGCTTGTCCCCATAAACCCTAAAGCCTCACACCTTCAACGAAGCTGCATCCTAATTCTGATATAGTAATGTAGGGGCCTTAATATTTAGAATAGGCTTTGGGTGTATATCATACTACAAGTACAATAAAGAACCCCCAAAACCCCATTCTAATTGCTAAGGCCCCTACATTACCCCTGTAGTCCCAAACCCTACAAAACCGTGGGTTATGGACCCCTGTAATTGCGGTTCGGGTTCCTTCCTACCCCGAAACCCTTTTGGATTCCATATTACTGTCATTACTAGTAGAGTATAGCGTTAATCATGTTGTTGTTATTATTGTCCCTACTACTATCACCAGAAGTAGAATTGTGCCGATTACATTCCAAGCACGATTACTACTACTACTACTACTACTACTACTACTACTACTACTACTACTACTACTACTACTACTACTACTACTACTACTACTTATATTAACATTCTTATTGCTGTCATATCTGTTTTTGCTGTTACTAGTACTGCTGCTCTTACTATTGGTATTGTTATTGTGTTGTTCTTAACGCCCCTGTATCACTGACCCTAAACCCTAAACCCTAAACCCCTGTCGCAGCAGAGCTTGCACATGCGGGCGCACATCGAGTGCATCATCGAAGCGGTCGTTGAAGGCAAGCCACTCGGCCTCGGTCCCGGGACTGCATTTTCATTTTAAAAAACAAAAACAACAAAAACAACAACAATAATAATAATAATCATAATCATAATAATAATAATAATAATGATAAGTATAAAAGTAAGAGAGGAGTGGTTCTTTTCAGAAGAAGAGTTGTATAGGAAGTGTTGTAGGGTTTTACGAGGTTCCCAATGACGGTAGGCTCGAACATCTGCATATGGTCACACGTAGCAACACAGCATGCGCGGCTCCGGGCTTAGGGTTTCCGAATCTAAAGCCAGCTGCCCCACGGGCTATGCGGTTTAGGGCTTGAATGTTTCAGGGATCCTAGGAGTTACTCTAATCGCACAAAGAGTCCATGTTTCGAAAGGGTACTTCAGCCCATCCGCTCAATCTTGTGTTTTGGTTTCAATCGCATGGAACAAGCTAGAGCGGAAAACCGACACCTGAAAGCCTGAGCATTCTCAACCAACCGTGAATAAATCCCTGCAGTGCACCAAGCCCACTGCCCAAGGCAGATATATCTGCGCAGCATACTCTGGATGCATATTGCTCAGCTGGAAGGCCTAGCGTGGTTGCGCGGAGTGCAGGTCTAGACTTTGATATCTTGGCCGTACAGGGTTTTGGGCTTTACAGTGGGTGTTGAGGGACATGTACCCCTATCATTCGTATCTACTCAGGGATTACTTGGAGGCGCTTGAAAATACCTGCATAGGAGCCCCTTGTAGCTCCAAGTATAAAATAGGTACGTGGAGCCTTAGGGTACGAACAAAAGTCTAACCCTAAACCCTGAACCCCAATAAACCCAAACCCCTAAACCCTACAACCCTAAACCTGCCCTAAATCCCTAAACCCATAATGAAACCCAAACCCTTGAACCTTGAGAGCCTAAACCAGGGAAGACTATAGTAGAAGCCAGAAAGTTGGGACATGGCTTTAGGAGGATTCGTGCTAGGATCCCTTCTAATTTACCTTATGGGCATGGGGAGAATGATGTTCCAATTTTCTGGCTTCTACTATAGAGTCTCCAGGGCTCCAACCCACCGAGTCAACATCCAGGCATGCTTATGGGACTGGGCCTCGGATTTTAGGCCTGGTGCTTCGTATCTTAGGGGTTTGGGTGTTTGGGGTTGATGGGGTTGGGTTGGGTGTTTAGGGTTTGCGATTTTGGGCTTTGGGGTTTTGGGTTGGGGGGTTTTGGGCTTAGCCCTTGGGCGCTTGGAGCATCGGGGTTACTGGGTTTGGGGCTGAGGGTTTAGGTTTAAGGGCGTATTAGGGTGTAGGCATCAAAGCTTAGGGAAGCATTGCAAGCCCTTAGTTTCTGAAGTCTAAGCTAAGCTGACAACCCTGCAGAACCGAACCCTAAACCTGACAAAACATGTACATTTGTATTTTCTGATTGGGTTTCAGTACCCATCAAGATGTAGAATGTTACCCAACCATGGCAGAGAAACCCTAAAGCCCTAAACCCCTACTAGACCCAGAGGAAACCTAGGAAGAAAAAGGGTGCCCTTTTTGGGTTAAAGGGGCTCATAAGGGAACCTGAACCCTCAAAAAGGGAATAAGGGCCTACTCTAGGTCCTAGCCTAAGAAGAACCCTTGAAGGATCCCCTGGAGGCTCTTCCAAAAGGAACCCCGGACCTCATCCCATCGATGGTTCTCCATGTGCAGGGAGATCAGCCTGGGTTTAGGGGTTTAGGATTTAAGGGCTTAAGGGTTTAGGGTTTCGGGCCCCTTTAAGGGATCTATAGGGGTTACTTTAGGGGTACAATAAGGGTTTAGGGTTTAGGGTTTAAGGGGTTTAGGGTTTAGGGGCTTAGGGGTTAGGGTTTAGGGTTTAAGGGTTAGGGTTTGGGGTTTAGGGGCTTAGGGGTGGGTTTAGGGTGTTGTTGGACTGGAGGGTTTAGGGATTTAGGGTCTAGGGGCTTCGGGGTGGGTTTAGGGTCTCGGTTTAAGGCTTAGGATTACGATTTCGGCTTCGGGTTTAGTGTTTGGTTTCGGGGGCTCTAGAAAGGGGCTTATGGGGCACTATTATTTGGGCTATCGCTTACCCTCGGGGTTTGAGGGGTTTTGGCGCGTGACTAATCTAAGGGGTTAACACTTCTGGGCTTCAGGTGTAGCATTTCGAGTTTAGGAGTTCTGGGGCTAGCATTTTAGGGCGTCACTTCTTGGGGTTTATGAGATTATAATGTCTTGAACAACATACACGGATGTTGCATGGGCCTGCTTATCTCCAAGCTCAATACTACGAAGTAGCTTTCAAGCGTTCGGGTATATCGCACGAACCCTCCGGACCCAGCGATCAGCGTGGTCTTAGCCCTACAAGTACCTGCAGCCCCGAACCTTCCAACACAATGTTCAACACAAGCAGGTTATGACTCCACAACTGTACAGTAGAAGCGAAAAAGTTGGAAACACAATAGCCTCAATCCTTCAGAGTGATGTATAGGGAACCCAAGCACTGTTTGGCCTTAATCCGGTTTTCAACTTTATGCGGTTTACTGTAAAGTCTAACTCATTGGATTCCCAGAACAACCCAGAACCGTACAGATCCCGAACATTACAACCTTTTACCCTAAACACCCTCTCCTGCACAAACCCCAAACCAAAAAAAAACCCAAACCCAAAGCCTAAAGCGCTCGCAGCAGGCTCAGTCTACCTTGAACTACCGATTGATTGAACGACTTAAACATTATTTTTCTGTAGGGTCGCTCCACATTCCATATGAAGCTTGCGCACTAAGAACCTACATAAAAATGGGTCATGGTAGTTTACGGCAATTACCACCAACCATCCATTCTTCATCAAAGTGCTTCGGTTTCGGGTTTCGGGTTCAAGGTTTCAGGTTTACTTTGCAGAGTTTTGGGACTCTGCACGCCCGTTAAGCCCAACCAATGGCAGAAGTACATACGACGGCATTTACGAAGATTTGCTTTTCAATGCCCGTCATCACGAAATCGAAAACTCTCCGTGTCTCTCGTGCCCCTGGAACCCTGGCATGAGGGCCCTGAACCTCAAAAAGTGAAAAACAAAAAAAGAGGTCAGCATATGCTCCGTGGGGAACTCCTCCGAAGGAGATCTGTTTTGCTTGGGGCTACGACTTCGAAGCTGGAGCGGCTGCCTATTCTGGACAAGTGCGAGGGACCGCCGTTCGACGATCATCACGAACGTCTTGCTCGTTCCTCACCCCTTACAGGGGGAGGTGGGAGGAGGCACCTCGCCTTTGCTTTCTTTGCCAGTGGAGCGGCTTTTGCTGCCTCCTTTCTGCTTCCCTTTAGCTTCTCGCTGCGCCTTCGTGGGCCGTTTTGCACTCCTCTTCCAAGAGCTAGCCGAGGTACTGCTGATGGACAAAATCCTGCATGACCCTATAAGGACCCTAAATCATATTCCTGATTATGGGTCATGCAGGATTTTGTCCATCAGCAGTAGGTCCTTGGCCGACCTCTTCCCTTTCCTGCTCGCGCAGGTGGTAGTTCTCCCGGTGGGAGAGGTTCTGTCGCCACTCAAAAGGCTTGTTAGGGCCCATGGCCACAGAGGTGAATGCAATTACTACATGTATATACAAATACATAAGCATAAACATAGACCCTTGCTTATGTACTTAGGCTATCGTTATAAATACGGAATACTAGCTGAATTTTTGAGACCTCTAGACTACTCTCCATAGTAGTTCCTTTTGGGGATTACCCTATAGTATTCTAAAAATGAAGACCGAAAAAGAACTACTATGGAGCCCATAGTCAGTTACAACTTCTGTAGGATATGTCTAGGCATATAGAGGCAATAAAGAGGACTACTCCGATTTTTGAGACCTAACAACTACCCCTTAGGCTCTAATGACTGAGATTTTAAAGCTTTGGTGCCCAAAGACCATACCATATAAGGCTTTTGGGCCATTTTGAGCCTTAGGGTACTAGGTTCCCAGAGACTCCAACATCCCTTAAATAAGGAATATACCTTATCATATAAGGGGGGATCCTACCATAATTTAAGGAATATTCCTTAATGAAAGGATATTGGGGTCTCTACTGTAGAAGCCAAAAAGTTGGAAACCCAATAGGCTCAATCCCCAAGAGTAATGTATAGGGAACCCCAGCACTATTTGGCCTTAATCCGGTTTCCAACTTAACCCTAAACCCTAAATCCTAAACCCCAAACCCTAAACCCTGAACCCTAAACCCTAAACCCTGAACCCTAAACCCTAAACCCTGAACCCTAAACCCTAAACCCTAAACCCTGAACCCTAAACCCTAAACCCTAAACTGTAGGTCGGCAGATCTCTTCCCAGCAGCTGCCCCACGTCGCCCAGCTTGAGGATGGTCTTCGGTCAGGTGCTTTACTCCACGGGTCCAAAGCATCCAATAGTTGGGTACTCGGTCTTAGGATAGTAGTTATGTAGGTTAGGATTTTGGAGAGTGTATGATTATTAGGTACTTGGACCCTTGGGGTTAAGGACGGCTTCCCAGCTACTGTTGGTCCCAGAGACTCCAATGCCCCTTAATTAGGGAATATTCCTTAAATCATAGTAAGGATCCTACTATAATTTAAGGTATATTCCTTAATTAAGGGATATTGGAGTCTCTGGGATAGACAAAATCCTGCATGACCCTAAGGACTCTAAACTATGGGAACTGTGGTATAGTCCTTGTACTGGGTAATGCAGAATTTTGTCCATCAGCAGTATCATTATTACCCTAAGCCCTGCCCTAAGGCTCCTAAGAGGGTGAGGCGCTTTGTGGGCGAGGGTTTGGGCTTTGGGGGCCACGGTTAAGGATCTCACTGCGAGGGTCCAGGAGCATTAGGGTAAACCCCTAAACCCTAATCCATTAGTATTGCTGTTGTCATTACCCCATATCTGGATTGTTCTTATTATCACTGTCATGGGTACTACTTTTGTGATGACCAGTATGCTTTTTGTTGCGATTATCTCCGATCTTTATTGTGATTCTTGTTATTGATGCCGGCGGTTTGGACGGCTTCCCAAAAGGTCCAAGCACCCATAACGCTCTAGTTTAGGGTTTAGGGTATATACTCTACTTGTCCTGCATGCTGTTGCCACTGGTCTACCACAGCGGCTGCATGACAGCTGCAGATTTGCCATGCCATACTGTTTCCGAAAGGGAAAAGCCACCTGTTCGCACCATTCATCTGACCTTTTGTCGGGAAAGCCAAAAGAGGTTACATGTAACATCATAAAACAGTACTTCCAACATCTCGCAACTATCCGTTATCCATTCACCACGTAGTAGGAGTTGCTGGCAAGGACAGCTACTCCATGTTTTGGCCTCATACCCAACACCCATTACTAATCACACCATGTTGAATCTTAAGTCCCGATTGCTTTGCTGCTTGCTTGCATCCTGCTGCTGGTGCGGCTGTTGCTTTGAACATCGTCGTGGTATCGCACTCGCTGACTCTGGGCTGTTTTGTGTCAGCAAGATGGAGAGGGTCCTCGTTCCTTGCTTGTGACTAGCTTGTGCACTTACCAGACCTTCCAAAATCCTGTGATTAAGGAACATAGCTTAAATTATCATGGGATCCCTACTATGATTTAAGGGATATTCCTTAATTAAGGAATTTTGGAAAGTTTAGGTTCGCCACTACCATCAAAAAGCCACTCTCAACATGTCTGACATCGTGCGCTACCGCCCACAACTTCGGCGTCCTCGAATTCCGAACTCTGAACCCTGAGCCCTACAAGCCTATAGCACTCTTATAATATGACACCCTACACCTAAGAGTAATCTAGGAATAAGAAGGGTGCCCTTCTTGGTTTAAAGGGCTTATAAAGTAACCTAACCTCTAAAAAAGAGGAATAAGGTCCTACTCTGGGTGCTACGGCTGATGGTATAAATCCTGCATGACCTTAAGGACCCTAAACTATGGGAATTATGGTCTATCATCAACCGTAGCACCTATCAAAGAACCCGGAAAGGAAGCTCCCGAAAGGTCGCCAAAATGCGGCCTCCTTCGCAAAAGCGTAGCTGCCCTGCTGGCGGAAGGCCTCCAACAGGATGCAATGGAGCATCTGGATAGGTAGTGGTGGGCGTTTCGGGCTTTTAGGGTTTAGGGTTACCTATGTGGCTCCATTGTAGTTCCTTTTTGGGATAAAATTAAAGAATTCTATATGTGAACACCGAAAGGGAACTACAATAGAGCCTATAGGTAGGTAAGGGCTTACAGTGTTGTAGATACGTTGGCAACTACGTTGGGGTGGGGGTCACTGCACAAGGTCAGTCTGCACATGTGCGAAACAAATCCGAACGACTCCGGACGACATGTTGCAGAAGAGAGCCTGAACGTTGCAGCTCTTCTTTTCTGTCCTTCTCCATTCTGCAAGCTTGCAGCCGTGCTGCAGCTTAACGGGACTTATGCCAGAAGACTGCTTGCGATAAATCGTGCAGAGGTCACAGTTGCAGGTGACTCTCAGGGTTGGTCTCGCTTCGAAGACCAGTAAAACCCAAAACTGTGGGAAAACAACTCAAGCCTCAGGCGTACGAACCCTCAGACTCGAACTGCATAGAGGCACCCTTCTTCATGCTCCCGAGGCTGGCGCAGATGCCAAGCTGGGGGAAGCAGTTGATGAAGCACATGTTGACCATGCAAGGTACTTCGTCGTCCGGAGGGAGTGCCGAGCCGGCCACACAGCAACAAAGCTGGGTTTGCCTAAGCTGGCACGCAGGTCAAGCCTCTGGAAAGCCTTCGCACATATGCCCCTCTTACACATCCGAAACCGGGAGGGAACTACAACAAGTCTCCCAATGGACTACCTAGCTGCGTTTTGCAGCAAGTTGTAGGCCACACACAGCGGAGCGCGCAGCATCCGCAGCACAAGCAAGGCGAGCCGGTCTTAAAGCAAATGTCAGCCTCACAGCACAAGAACGTCTCTTGCGCAGCGCAGCCGATGTTGTTGCACTCTGGCACGCAGCCGTCGTAGCAGCAGCAGCAAGCGTGGTGCACGATCACCTGCGCAGCTGGCAGCTCAAGTAACCTTAAGAACACGGACCCTCAAAAAACCTGACACTCCCCACAACACGCAACACGGGAGCTCGCCTTGCTCTCGTCGATGGAATCCATCTGAACCTGCCTTGGTGCGGCCATGTCTGCGAAGTCGTAGGGTGATGCGGAGCGACCGGAATCCTGCCTTGAGCCAGATGCTCCCACACGGGGGCTTCAGGTAAATGCTTCGGATCAGGGTTAGGATAGGCTGCTAGGCTTCAGAGTCTGGCAGTATAAGGCTTAATAGCCAACATTCTGAAGTTCAGACTAACTTAAGCTGTAGAGCTTAAGGAGTTGTAGAGTTATCGGATTTGGCTTTCAAGATCGAGAAGCCCCACGACCTACATAAGATAACACTTAATTATTGGATTGTAGAGCCTCTGGATAGCTTAAGGATCGTTCTAATCATCTCCCACTACATTCTCATGTATCTGCTAGCCCAAAGGATAATGTTCAGCAAACCTTCCAAACAAAGCAAAAACCTACACAGCAAACCAAGGCCGAACCCACCACCTTGAATCTTACACGCACGAGGAACATGTAACTTGCGGCTCAATCCTTAGATGAAGGAAGGTGTGCCCTGCTGGCCTATCTACTACCCATTGAAAAGGACCGCGAGATACTGTTTGACCATATATACTTTAGACACGGGACAGCACGCAGTACGTAATCCCTGGCCTAGGCGGAATTGCGCCTTGCTTGCGCCTTTTGTAGCCGCAGCACTGACTGAGTGTTCTGGAGTACCCAGTATCAGAGATATGGGATCTCTCATTCTTCATTCTGCAAGCTGCAGCAGTGCTGCTCCAAAACAGGACGTATGCCAGAAGACTGCTTGCGATAAATCGTGCAGAGGTCACGGTTGCAAGTGACTCCCAGGGTTGGTCTCGCTTCGAAGACCAGTAAAACCCAAAACTGTGGGAAAACAACTCAAGCCTCAGGCGTACGAACCCTCAGACTCGAACTGCATAGAGGCACCCTTCTTCATGCTCCCGAGGCTGGCGCAGATGCCAAGCTGGGGGAAGCAGTTGATGAAGCACATGTTGACCATGCAAGGTACTTCGTCGTCCGGAGGGAGTGCCGAGCCGGCGACACAGCAACAGAGCTGGGTTTGCCTGGGCTGGCACGCAGGTCAAGCCTCTGGAAAGTCTTCGCACATATGCCCCTCTTACACATCCGAAACCGGGAGGGAAATACAACAAGTCTCCCAATGGACTACCTAGCTGCGTTTTGCAGCAAGTTGTAGGCCACACACAGCGGAGCGCGCAGCATCCGCAGCACAAGCAAGGCGAGCCGGTCTTAAAGCAAATGTCAGCCTCACAGCACAAGAACGTCTCTTGCGCAGCGCAGCCGATGTTGTTGCACTCTGGCACGCAGCCGTCATAGCAGCAGCAGCAAGCGTGGTGCACGATCACCTGCGCAGCTGGCAGCTCAAGTAACGTTAAGAACACGGACCCTCAAAAAACCTGACACTCCCCACAAACCGCAACACGGGAGCTCGCCTTGCTCTCGTCGATGGAATCCATCTGAACCTGCCTTGGCGCGGCCATGTCTGCGAAGTCGTAGGGTGATGCGGAGCGACCGGAATCCTGCCTTGAGCCAGATGCTCCCACACGGGGGCTTCAGGTAAATGCTTCGGATCAGGGTTAGGATAGGCTGCTAGGCTTCAGAGTCTGGCAGTATAAGGCTTAATAGCCAACATTCTGAAGTTCAGACTAACTTAAGCTGTAGAGCTTAAGGAGTTGTTGAGTTATCAGATTTGGCTTTCAAGATCGAGAAGCCCCACGACCTACATAAGATAACACTTAATTATTGGATTGTAGAGCCTCTGGATAGCTTTAGGATCGTTCTAATCATCTCCCACTACATTCTCATGTATCTGCTAGCCCAAAGGATAATGTTCAGCAAACCTTCCAAACAAAGCAAAAACCTACACAGCAAACCAAGGCCGAACCCACCACCTTGAATCTTACACGCACGAGGAACATGTAACTTGTGGCTCAATCCTTAGATGAAGGAAGGTGTGCCCTGCTGGCCTATCTACTACCCATTGAAAAGGACCGCGAGATACTGTTTGACCATATATACTTTAGACACGGGACAGCACGCAGTACGTAATCCCTGGCCTAGGCGGAATTGCGCCTTGCTTGCGCCTTTTGTAGCCGCAGCACTGACTGAGTGTTCTGGAGTACCCAGTATCAGAGATATGGGATCTCTCATTCTCCATTCTGCAAGCTGCAGCAGTGCTGCTCCAAAACAGGACTTATGCCAGAAGATTGCTTGCGATAAATCGTGCAGAGGTCACGGTTGCAGGTGACTCTCAGGGTTGGTCTCGCTTCGAAGACCAGCAAAACCCAAAAATGCGGGAAAACAACTCAAGCCTCAGGCGTACGAACCCTCAGACTCGAACTGCATGGAGGCACCCTTCTTCATGCTCCCGAGGCTAGCGCAGATGCCAAGCTGGGGGAAGCAGTTGATGAAGCACATGTTGACCATGCAAGGTACTTCGTCGTCCGGAGGGAGTGCCGAGCCGGCGACACAGCAACAGAGCTGGGTTTGCCTAGGCTGGCACGCACGTCAAGCCTCTGGAAAGCCTTCGCACATATGCCCCTCTTACACATCCGAAACCGGGAGGAAAAACAAGAAGTCTCCCAATGGACTACCTAGCTGCGTTTTGCAGCAAGTTGTAGGCCACACACAGCGGAGCGCGCAGCATCCGCAGCACAAGCAAGGCGAGCCGGTCTTAAAGCAAATGTCAGCCTCACAGCACAAGAACGTCTCTTGCGCAGCGCAGCCGATGTTGTTGCACTCTGGCACGCAGCCGTCATAGCAGCAGCAGCAAGCGTGGTGCACGATCACCTGCGCAGCTGGCAGCTCAAGTAACGTTAAGAACACGGACCCTCAAAAAACCTGACACTCCCCACAACCCGCAACACGGGAGCTCGCCTTGCTCTCGTCGATGGAATCCATCTGAACCTGCCTTGGTGCGGCCATGTCTGCGAAGTCGTAGGGTGATGCGGAGCGACCGGAATCCTGCCTTGAGCCAGATACTTCGTCAGGGAGGTTCTACATTCACGTGATTTCGGGCTTGATATGATGAGAGAGTAAGGGCTTAATGCTCAGGGTTTACCAGCGTTTTTCGGCTCAGGGTATTCTTGGGCTCAAGAGTTGACAGGGTCATCTCAGCAAAGTGCAAAGGCAACACTTAAAAAAATGGTCTCTGACAGAATTTGCAACTATAGCTAACTTTGAGTGCAGAAGACCAATTAACTTGTGTGAGAAGATTAAGGATCGAAGCACCTTCTCTGTAGCCTTTACAAAACGAGCAAAACACCTGCACAAGCAGACACAACGAAACCAATGCACAGCCAACTGATGAACTGAAGGCCAAAAACTCTAAGCTACGTGGTAGACATTGACACACCTTGATCTTGAAAAAACATGATAAACAAAAGCAGAGACAGCTGAATATAGCTGTCACAATAGAAATGCAGGCAAACACAGCTCAGTCCATCAAGACGATAGAAGCTGTGCTGAAAGAACAAGTGCTACAATGCTCTACCTGCACCGCAAGCTAGCCCCCACCCCTGATTGTATAAAACGTCTCGCTAAAGCCTAACACCCGGTGAAAGGGGCTATGAGATCCCTATAATGCCTAAGGATATGTTGGCATGTTCTGGCAGGGTACTGAGCATAAGACGACACATTCAGAGAAAGTTGAATTTGCGATGTGATCCTTTGCTTGGACAAAACCCATCGTGCTTGGCTGCTCTCCCGATTTTGGCTGCCGCGGCGCCGCGAAGCCACAAGAATGACTGAGTGTTCAGAGATATGGGATCTCTCATTCTCCATTCTGCAAGCTGCAGCAGTGCTGCTCCAAAACAGGACTTATGCCAGAAGATTGCTTGCGATAAATCGTGCAGAGGTCACGGTTGCAGGTGACTCTCAGGGTTGGTCTCGCTTCGAAGACCAGTAAAACCCAAAACTGCGGGAAAACAACTCAAGCCTCAGGCGTACGAACCCTCAGACTCGAACTGCATAGAGGCACCCTTCTTCATGCTCCCGAGGCTGGCGCAGATGCCAAGCTGGGGGAAGCAGTTGATGAAGCACATGTTGACCATGCAAGGTACTTCGTCGTCCGGAGGGAGTGCCGAGCCGGCGACACAGCAACAGAGCTGGGTTTGCCTAGGCTGGCACGCACGTCAAGCCTCTGGAAAGCCTTCGCACATATGCCCCTCTTACACATCCGAAACCGGGAGGAAAAACAACAAGTCTCCCAATGGACTACCTAGCTGCGTTTTGCAGCAAGTTGTAGGCCACACACAGCGGAGCGCGCAGCATCCGCAGCACAAGCAAGGCGAGCCGGTCTTAAAGCAAATGTCAGCCTCACAGCACAAGAACGTCTCTTGCGCAGCGCAGCCGATGTTGTTGCACTCTGGCACGCAGCCGTCATAGCAGCAGCAGCAAGCGTGGTGCACGATCACCTGCGCAGCTGGCAGCTCAAGTAACGTTAAGAACACGGACCCTCAAAAAACCTGACACTCCCCACAACCCGCAACACGGGAGCTCGCCTTGCTCTCGTCGATGGAATCCATCTGAACCTGCCTTGGTGCGGCCATGTCTGTGAAGTCGTAGGGTGATGCGGAGCGACGGAATCCTGCCTTGAGCCAGATGCTCCCACACGGGGCTTCAGGATCATTTAGTCAGCTTTCGTGTGAGCGCGGAACCCGAAGGAATTCGCTGCCCGCGGTTTTTTTCGCGCCTTGAAGCCCCGAGAAACACTGGTTCTGGAGTACTCGTTAATCATCTGATTTCAAGAGTTTCGTGCGAAGAAATTACGGGATCAAGAAGCAGTACAGTGCTCCAGTACCCAGCTCGGCTTAGCATCAAGCAGAAAACTGCGAATGTGCATGCGAAGGTGTCGGAGGACCGCTATCGCTTCAACCTTAAACTTTGCATGAAAGTCTTCCCCACTCAACCTTAACCCCAGGGTCCAGCGATTAAGGCGTTTAGGGTTTATAGGAACCTGCACTCCAAACGTTTGAGGCTTACGGACACCTTCGAATAAAGGGGAAAAGACGTCGACGGCCTTGTCACAGAGGATTCCCTTTCAAGAGTCGAGCCGAAGTATAGTAATACAGAGGGCGTAGGGGATGGTAGCTATGGTTGCTGTAAACTGCTCTAGCTATTGCCAGATACTGCAAGTTAGTCTGAGTGGCACGATGACAATGCTATCTCCATTTGTGCTGCTGCTGCCACTGCTAGCTCTCGTTATTATTAGTATCGCGATGGCTGTTCCTTGCAGTGCTTTGGTCCTCAGTGCCTGACAAGCCATTCTGTTGTTTCCTCGACACCAAAGAGGGGCGTGGGTTGCAACTGCCCTGGGTCTGGGGTTTAGTTTTCAAGGCGCATAGTGCTTAACCGGTAAATGTCGTGATTGTTGATTTGCGGCTTTGGCTTTGGGGTATACTTCGGAGGCCAGTGTGCCCTTATCCGGATACTTGAGATTTGCTGAATTTTTTAGCTAAAAAGTCAAAAAGGATCCTCCCTATCCCTACACCCCAACGATCCCCAGGACCTTCTTTTCAGTACAGCTTACCCGTTTACCCGTGAAGTTTGCGAGCCTGAAGAGCAGGCGGTGCAGAGTTGAGCCTTATAGATTTAGAGCCTATAGAAGGCCAGGGTAGCCACTGCGGCCCTAAACTCTAAACCCAAAACCCAAAACCCTAAACCGCGGCTCATGGGTTTGGGGAGAGGAAGCCTCTCGTAGACGCATCAGAGACAAAAAACAAAGCAACACACCGAGATCGGTGGGGCTGGACGGCATTCCCAGAGACTCCAATATGCCTGAATTAAGGAATACCTAGGCTTCCTTTAAGGGATCTCGAAGGGACCTGTAGGGTTTAGGGTTTAGGGGACTCCAATATCTCTTAATTCTGGAATATATACCTTATACCTTAAATTCGAGTAGAGTCCCTAATATGATGTAAGGTCTATCCCTGAATAAAAGATATTGGAGTCTCCGGGTTGACCCGCAGCGCAGTGGGTAAGGGCCGATCGACCGAGAGCTTGAGCTCTGAGTGTATGAGGAAGGATCTACAGGGTTGAGAGTTAACCCAAGGGCCCCCATCGTAATTAGTTCCTTTTTGGGATGACCTTATAGGATACTAAATATGAACCCCCAGAAGGAACTACTAGGGGGGCATGTGGGTAGGGTTCAGTGATGGTTCATGGTCTATGGCTCAGGGTGTCGGGCGCAACGTCGCAGGTCTCATATTTATAGCCTGCCGACTTAAACCCTAAACCCTAAATCCCAAGGCAGGGTTCATGTCATGGCAGCTTGGCCGTCCCAAATGAACCGGAGAAACACAAGCGAAGACATGCCACATTAAGGTTGTAGGGTGTGAAATGAAACGCCTCAACCATCAACTCCAGTGAAACCGAACTCCGTATGTGCGGATGAAGCTATCAAACACCACCGTGTAGTCCCTAAACCCTTCACCTTCAGGTGTTGGTTTGAAGGCTCTGCGTCTTGGGGTGTCAGGCCTATCGGTAGCTTTATAATATATTCTACACCCTAAACCCCTAAACCCTAAACTTTAAACCTTAAACCCTAAACCTTCAAGCCTAAAACCTTGAACCCTAACCCCTAAACCCCTCAACCCTAAACCTCAAACCCTAAACCCCTAAATCCCAAAGTTTGTCCTCACAATCTTACCCCTGACAGCCTCAGCCTCGAACCGCTCTGAGCCTTCCACCCTAGTATAGAAGCCTTATGGGGGGGCCCTTGTCCTTTTAGACTTAATAGACAGAGCCCTATACCTATATCCCTTAATAGAAGTTCTTTAAGAAGTCTACTAGCCGGTCTGTTTATTCTTTTGGGGGAACCTTGAAAAAGGACAAGGCCTTATGGGGTACCTTATTTGGGGGTCCTTTAAGGGTTCCTTTAAAGGGGTCTATGAGAGTTTCCGGAAATTCCTAGGGTTCGGTTAAAGGGGTCCTTTAAGGGTTCCTTTAAAGGGATCTATGAGGGTTCTATAAAGGGTTTAGGGTTTGGAGTTTCCGAAAAAAAGGAAGCTACATTATTTGGGGTCCTTGTAATAAGCATCCTATCCTACTATTTAGGATACTAAATTAGGGTCCCCTATTTTCGGAAACTCCCATATAGAGGCCTGAATAATCAGAATAGGGATGTGGGGCCCTTTGTACTTATAGCTATAACAAGCAACCCCGAGAACAGTCTTGGTAATTATTTAGGCCCCTACATTAAATGAGTGCCATGAGTGTTTCGGGGTACGTCATCCTACTGGACGGGTATCATGGGGAACTAAAGGTTAACCTTTTTGGTTATATAGGTATTTTTAGGGACCATACTACCCAAAAAAGGTTAAAGGTTCCCTACTCTACTACTAGGTCATCCAGCTCGCTTTCCGCGAAGATGGACTTCCGCACGGCGATTGCAGGCGCGATTCGCCAGGGAGAGTGGGTGCTCCGACCTCACATATAAGAGTTTCCAGGGATCCTTGAAGGGTTCTTTAAAGGGATCTATAAGGGTTTTATAAACGGTTGTAGGGCTTAGAGTTTGCGAAAATCAGGGGACACCTCATTTTGGGATCCTTAAAAAAGGATCCCACTGTTAGCTATATTCCGTCTGTTAGCTATATTAAGGTGATACCTTATTTGCCTTATTTTGTGGTCCTTATAGTAGGGATCCTACTATTTTAGAGTACCATATTAGGTCCCCTATTTTCGGAAACTCCCATATAAGGCTCACTTTAGAGGGCCAGTTAGACTGTTGCTATATAGGTTGGGCATGTTTTTGAACACACTAGGAAGGGAGATTCTGTGCAGGAATCTGGGCAGCAAAAACTAATGCACAGGCCGACACTATTTGATCAAAGCTTCATGGGAACAGTGCCTACTAGAAGTAGACTGGGGAACTGCAGAAATAAAGCTGCTGAGTATGCCAGATGCGATAACTGCGACAGAAATAGACTAATTTGCCACAGATGTCAGCACCCCTGTAATTCCGCCATAGACTACCATAGATCGAAGGAGCTTCAGGCATTCGTGCCTCCTTCAAGAAGTGTTAGAATCGCGGAAGGGATGTTGGCGTTTCGAAGTTGACTTATCATGCTTGTTCCGACAAGGACATGTCAGGGTTCTTCGTCTAGGGTTTTGGGTGCTGCTTTAGGGTTTATGCTAACCCCCTAAGCCCTAAACCCTAAACCCTAACCCAACTCAAACGTGGCACGACTTCAAAGCCCCACAGTTAAGGAACAACTACATCCTGGGTCGCGGTCAGTCCATAACTGACATGAACTACTGGGAACCCTAAACCCAAAACTCTAAACCCTATAAACCCGAAACACTAAAGCCCGAAAAACCCTAAACGCTAAACCCAAAACTCTAAACCTTACACCCTAAACCCTAAAACAGCCTAAACCCTAAACCCTTAAGCGTGTGTTGCCCCATCCTCTTGCTCGGTTTCAGGGGGGTTGAAGTTTAGGAGCTTTTGGTGTTTAGTGGTGCTGAGGGTTTAGGGGTTTAGGGGTTTGGGGTTTAGGGTGACTTTTTGCTTCAGGGAGATTGGCACCACATGTTTCGGGATTCGGGCTTAGGGGTTTAGGGGTGTGTCGGGCTTTGGGGTGTATAGGGCTTGGGATCTACCTAAACCCCCAACAGTAGGTTAAATAATGGCCCAAACCCTAGAAAGGGCCATTATTCTAAACCCTAACTTAAGGCTTAAGGTCCCCTAAACCCTAAAACCCAGGTAGGTCCTCTGAGCTGCCAACCCGAAGCCCTGCACGCGCAGCTTCGAAGAAGCCACGCCCAACTGCGTCAGTACATCCTTAGAACTGGGGGTCTCCGAAAAGAGGGGACCCTTTAAAGGGATCCTTTTAGGGTTCCTTAAAGGGATCTATAAGGGTTCTATAAAGGGTTTAGGGCTTAGAGTTTCCGAAAATAGGGGACCCTAAAATTTTAAAATAGTAGCCTGAATAGTAGGATCCTTCTTAATAAGGTCCCCAAAATAAGACAGCCCTGGGACATAGTAAGTCAGGTCATATTATGTACCTGAAGTGAGCTTATAAGTACTTATAGTAAGTATAGTTACCTTACTTATTGCCCCAGTTGGGACTTTTATTTGTGCCCTAAATAACAGGATCCTTATTGTAAGGTCCCCAAAATAAGACAGCCCTATTTCCAAACATTCCCAACTGGCTTCAGGGCTCCTTTTTGACTGCTCGAGGATTTCTGGGGTTCTTTCTGGCTTGGTGTTTAGGAAGTTCGTCATAGAATGGTTCTGAGAGAACTTTTTTGTGTTTCTGGGCTTGGTATTTAGGATTTTAGGGATTAGGGTCGGAGAAGGTTCCGGGCATTAGGGATTGTACTGCGTGGAGTCTAGGACCATGGCTTCTTGGAGGTTAGGGCCTCTAGGCTACCTATGCAAGGGTTCATCCTAGAAGAATCACCTAACCTTTGTAGGTTCCCTTAGCTTAGAGTTTATACTCGCCGCAGAAAAGAACGGTTCTGTAGGATCTGAGGTCACGGTTCCTGGGTTCTTGTCAAGGGGCTGACATCTAAGTTACCACAATGAAAAAGGCTATGTTTTTATTATAGACACTTACTATGGTAACTAAGATCTAGACCTAAGAGTAACCTAGGGATAAAAAGGGTGCCCTTTTTGGGTTAAAGGGGGTTATAAGGGAACCTAAACCCCAAAAAAGGGAATAAGGGCCTACTCTGGGTCCTAGGGATTAACCCAATGAACAAGAACCCAGGGTTGCCTTTAAGGCAAGGGTTGACGCACAAAAGTCACAAACTTCGTTGCTTCAGTTCATAAGCCCAACAAACCTAGAGGGTCATACCCTACCCCTTTTTTAGGATACCTAGTTTTATGGCTAGGTTCTATTATATAGAAAAGTAGGTACCTTAAAAAAGGGGTAGGGTATGACCCTATAGGAAAGTTCCGAGTTTCCGGTTCATGGTGTATAGGTTAGAAGCTGCCCCCACCCTGTAATAGTGGTATACTACGGATATAGTAGGGCCCTAATATAATCCTTATAGTCACTATTACAGGGTGGGGGGGGCAGCTTCTAACGTATAGGGGTCTAAACTTTCAGCTCGGTGGGTGGTGGGTTCTAAAGTGATGATATTATCCCAAAGCGATTAGTGTATACTCGTTCAGCTACTGAGTGCAGTGCCAGGACTTCCAAAGGGGTAAACCACAAGGGCCTGCAACCGTGTTCGGATAACTACTACTATTTGCTTAAGAACCACCCAAAAACAAAAAATATGTTCCTTATGGGGGTAATATAGGGATTAATATTTTTTATTTTTTGGGTGTTTCTTAAGCAAATAGTAGACTAGGTTTCCCGATCCCTAAACATCAAACCTAACGCGAAACCCTATATCCTCTTGTCGTCACACAGAGCAAGGTCTCTTCAGAACCTATACCTGGCATACACCCTCCGCCCTAAACCCTATCTTTACCGTAACCTTGAAACTTCTCGACATGAAGCTACGCTTTGGAGCACCAACCAGCATCTGCGATGTATTGCTGAGTTCATAAGCCCCCAAAAAGTGTACCCTTTCAGTTTTATAGTGGGTAATATATTATCCCAAGAAGTGTAACGTGTATCCACTCAGCTACTAAGATGAAGCCTATTGAATCCGAGCCCATTCAAGAAAACGAGTTCTATGATCCTACCACCACCAGGGAGTTTCCGAAAATAGGGGACCCGAATATAGTACCCTAAATAGTAGGATCCTTATTATAAGGACCTCTAAATAAGGTACCCCTATTTTCGGAACCACCACCAAGTTCCGAGAATGGAGTCTCTCGTGACACGACATCCTGAACCCCGCACCAACTAGGATACCCAGTAACCTAAGAATAAAAAGGCCTCTCTTTTTGGTATTGGGTAACTTTATTAGTACTACTGGGCATCCTAACCAATACCCGCAGCAGGGTTGTGATAGACTCGAAGAGGTTCAATGTTGCAGGGTCTAGAATGCAATAGATCATGAAACCCAGGTCCTAAGTAGTAATACGAATTCTTCAGGACCCTACGAAGCCCGTACTGTAACCGCAAAAGCCATCAAGCAGCCCATAAAGACACACAAGATCCTCACAAGACCTTACACAGCCCATTTACACATTTAATTCATTCTCGCGATGTAAGACTTAGGGCCGGGAAGCCGAAGATTGGGGCCCGTAGGAAGGAAGCCCTCTAAATACAAAGCCCGGGGAGTCGTCTAAGTCCCAAGCCCGCACAGCGTTCGCGCGAGAAAGAGACAGCTGCGGCGCCTGCCGCGTCTGCAAAACCACGAGTCGCAAACCGTGGTAAAACTTGAACAACACCTCAAATCGACATCCTTTACACCAGCAATCCACAGGGGGCCAGCTACCTGCATAGTCAGCTCCTTTAGACTCTTTAGACTATGGTACAGCAAGCCATGCTATTTAGGCAACTGGACTTCTGCGGCAAAGCCGAGCCAACAACAAGGCCTGCGGCTCCAGCCGGTCGCAGTGGCCTTCGATAACCACCTGAGACAGATCGGCCCTCCTCACTGTCATATCTAACATGTACCTACTCTTCGGGTATGATGGGGAACAAAAGGTTAACCCCTTTGGTTATATAGGGATTATATAGGGGACTATACTATCCAAAGAAGGTTAAAGGTTACCTACTCTACTACTAGGTGTAAGCCAGTTTAAGCCCGAGCTGCCGAAGTCCAAGCCCACAAGCCCCACAACCATACAAGCCCAAACTCACTCTACTCTGTAGTGACCCTTCCCAATGTAACAGTCCTTCGACAGGGACCTCATTCGTTTACAGTAGAAGCCAGAAAGTTGGAATATCATTATCGTAACCCCTTTAAGGTAAATTATAGGGGATCCTACCACTAATCCATATTCCAACTTTCTGGAGTTCCCTTTAAGGCTGTGGATACTGGTCCAAAGGCTGTGAGTCGCCGAATACTGCGTGACCCACCCGAGGTCCCTCAGTGCTTCAACACGAAACAATAAACCCTACTTGAAGGATCATGGGACTTAGTAACTGGGGTTCCTTACAGGGTTCCTTTAAAGGGATCTATAAGGGTTCTATAAGAGGGGTTTCAGGGCTCAGTTAAAGGATCATGGGACTTAGTAACCGTGCTTATAAATAACGTAACTATACATATAGCCACTTATAAGCCCACTTAAGGTACTTATAACCTGACTTACTAAGTCCCATGATCCTCCAAGTAATCGAAGCTCCCCCCCCCCCAAACAAAGCAACATACTGAGAAGCTTTTGTGGAGAAGACGCCGTTATCATCATTGATGTCATGCTTGTAGGGGCATATGGCGACAACAAGGGCAGGGAATGCTACTGCTTCTGACCCCTATACTCGGCTTGACAGAGGGTTTCTGGGCCTCGACGGTGCCGCGGCAATTAGAAAGGAAGTTGTGCGGTTTGGGGTTTAGGATTTAGGGTTTAGGGTTTTATGAACAATAATAATAAAAGCAAAATGGGGATTGCGATGGATCGTAATTTTGGGATTCTATAGCAAATCGTGGAAGGCCCCTGTCAACGAACACGTAAGCCTGTAGACCCAAGCTGAACGACAATGTCTCATTACACGTAGCAGCTGCCGGAAAGCGAGCCTAGCAGCAAAGTAGTTTGGTTGGCCTCTCGCAAAAATCAATTGCCTAGCCCAAGCCCTACACCGTAAACCCTAAGCCAAACACTAAAGCCTAAACCGTAAAACCCAGGCCCCAGACTTTAAACCCCAAGCCAAAGCCTCAGGCCTGAATCATAAATCCCCAGCCCCGAGACCCTCAATCCCATCCCAAACGGTGGGCCTCCGAGAAGGTTTTATCGGATTTCAGCCACTCCGCCATCGCTTCCAGGATTAAGGCCTTGCTCTGCTTAGCACTGAACTTTCAGGCTACATTTTTCAAACTTTCATTTGCAGCTTCCTCACAAGCCTACGCCTACGGGACTTACAGCGCAATGCTTACTTGGAGGATCATGGGCTACTTGGAGGATCATGGGACTTAGTAAGTCAGGTTATAAGTACCTTAAGTGGGCTTAGAAGTGGCTATAAGTATAGCTGCCCTATTTATAACCCCAGTGACTAAGTCTCATGATCCTTTAACTAAGCTCTGAAACCCCTCTTATGGAACCCTTATAGATTCCTTTAAAGTTACCCTTTAAGGAAGCCCAGTTACTAAGTCCCATGATCCTTTAAGTAGTTTTTTAAGGTGTGGTTTCGGACATGGCTCTCGTGGCGTGGGGCCTTCGGTGGGGAGCTTACGGCCTGGATTCCCTAAACCCTACCTTTAGCTGCAAAAAAAAACCCAAAACAGTAGTTGACTCCTGAATTTCAGTATATAACCGGTTATTGAACTTAAGGGTTATACCTGTAAGTTCAGCAGCTTTAACCTACTATGATGTAGCGTTTGCGGCTACAGGTAGGCTTCACAAACGGTTTAGCAGTATTCGGGATCCAGGGATGTGGAGTTATGCTTAGCACTGCGGGCTTTAGCAAGGTAGCTAGGCCCTCAAATTCTTACATGTTTTTTCTGTTCATGTAGAATCCCACAGCAACCATACCCTAAACCTCTTCATCCCAACCCCTAAACCTAAACCCTACGGCAGATTCTCCAAGAAAGGTGCTACAATCCGGGTCTACCTTGACCCACCAGAACCTACTTTTTTGTAGGGTCCCTATGAATCCCATATTCGGGTTTATAATAAGAACCTACACAAACATGCTCTAGGTTAAGGCCCCGGCAGCCTCTTTGCCGGGCTTGGAAAGCTGAGCCTCAAAGTAAAGGCCGACCTTACGCAACGATCAGACCACCCTTGTCCTTTCAGAAATAATAGACAGAGCCCTATACCTATACCCCTTAGTAGGAATTATTTAAGAAGGTCTACTAGCCGGCCTGTTTATTCATTTGGGGGAACCATGAAAAAGGACAAGGCTGGTTCAGACTCGGGGTTTTAGAACTCTATTAAACCCGATAGCCCATAAGCCCTACCTTAAGGACGAGATGAACCTTAAAAGGGTTTAAGGTTCATCTACCATTATAGGGATTCATAGTTTATTAATGGGTATACGGCCCCTGCTTTTAAGGGTCATTTGGTCCTTCAGGTACAGTGCCCATAAGCCCTACAGTGCCGACTTGGGCAGGCGCACAAAGAAGGCCTTAACCCAACTCAAAAAAAAACTGTCAGCCCTTACAGTGGACCCCAGAAAGTTGGAACATGGGTTTAGGAGGATTCGTGCTAGGATTACCTCTACTTCACCTTAAGGGCATGGGGATTATGATGTTCCAACTTTCCGGCTTCTACTACACAAACCTACAAGCCCTGAACGGCAAGGCAAGAGTTTGAGATCTACCTATAGTCTCCTTTGTAGTTCCTGTTTTGGTTTAACCAATTTTATATTAAGGATCCTAAAAGGTAACCCCAAAAAGGAACTACAATGGAGACTGTAGGTAGGATCTTGAAGGTTGGGCCTACAGGGTTTTTTAAGGTTTAGGGTTTAGGGTTTAGGGTTAAGGTTTAGGAAGGATTCTCGGAAGGGGCTTCTTGGTTGTACTGCCGGCGGTTTCAAGGGTTTGAAATCAACCTGGTGCAGGGTCTCACGATGCCCAAAACATATCCCTAAAAAATCTACATAAACCTTAGCCGTCATGAACCCTCTTTGAAGCCCGTGCAAATCACCTAACCTTATGAAAGCCCCTGAAACCCTAAACCCTAAGGCTTTAGACCTTGGGACCCAAACTCTTAAAACCCCCAAAGCGTTCTACAACCCTCGTAGACATATACACCCCTTGAAAAAGATAACACCCCACAGTATAGACCTAAAGAACCTTCAAAGAACCCAAAACCCAAAACCGTAGCCAGCCCGACAACCTAAACCCTAGACCCTAAGTGCTGGACGTGGATATGCAACATCTTCAAATTTGCTGCTTGGCCAGATGGCGTGTTCCGAACTTCCAAGTCGCCCGCCCGCCCGCCCGCCCGCCTGCCCGCCCCACGAATTCGAGGCGATGGCCTTGGTCCAGTAGGCGCCGCCGGATCCAGTCTTCGTTGCCCCAGCGGCCGGGCGTCAGAGCGCAGGCGACGGCAAGCCAGCGCAGGTCGGGGGCCACTCTGTCCAAGAGCTCCTCGCGGACGCCTAAGTGTTCGGGCTCCAGGCTGCGATGGGGCCAGTGGAAGAGGAGCCACTGCCAGAAGTAGCTGTCGCGGTGCAGGCGATGGTAGAGCACGCCCACAGCCATGAGCCAGGCGGGCTTCTCGCTGGCCTTGCACCGAGCCACGCGAAAAGGCTTGGTTTGGATCTCGCGGTACAAACGCAGAAACTCCAGGTTCAGGCGTGGCCGTCCCGAGGCGCAAGATGAAACCAAAGCCAGAAATGACTGTTAAAAAAAAACAGCTAGAGTATTCCACTACTCGCTTCTCTTCTGCATCCTCAACCACGCTCATGTTTAAAGGCTTTTGGCCTACGGGACGGCCTTTGCCTTGCGCGGACGGGGACCGCGCTTCTTAGGCACATAGGCAAAAGGCCTCCATGCACGCCTCAAAAAACGAAGTTGCTCTGGCTCGAGCCAACCTCGCCATCTCCGGCCGAGCTCCCGGGCTACCTCGCGTCCGCTCTCGATTGGGGGCTCTACTCCGGCGACCCAGCCCTTGATGAAGGCTTGGATGCCGTGGTACCCAAAGGGCCTCTCCGGGTGTGTCTTTTTGAGACCTGCAGGGCCAGTTATCAATCAGAGACCCCGAAAGAAAGCATCTATTTGAACCATAGCCACACACCCCCAGGAGACTCAGTCTTTGGACCCCCAGCTAGCCTAGCGAGATAAGGAAAACCTGAAGGACAGGGGCAGAAGACTTTAGAAGCAAACGGGCCAAACCCGGAAGCAGTCCCACCTGATGGGAATCACCCGTCAGCGCGTTTTGCGCCACCACACGCTCCACCAGGACCACCTGGGGAGTTGCACCCCCAAGCTCGCCCCCTTTCGTGTCCTAGATTATGCTTTCGCGCCCTCTCGCCTCGGAGGGGGATTGTGCCATGTCTCGCGCTTTGGTTTTGGTTGGCTGTGAGATCAAAGAGCTTACTGTGATCCTCACCGGCTGCGGAGGAAAGATGCCTTCATTACGCACATGATGTTTCCTTGCTGCTGCCACGCTCGACGCCAGAAGTAGCAACTGAGTCGCAGGCAGATGCACGTAAACCCTAACCCCTAAACCCCTAAACCCTATAACCCTAAACCCTAACCCTAAAAGCAAGAGTTCAAGGGGCGGGAGCTCGGGCGGCAGCAGCCTCCGGAGCGATTGGGCCGTAGAGAGGTACCAGCCTCAAGAGCTTCCCTTAAAGGGATCTATAAGGGTTCCTATAAGGGACAAAATTAGGGGTACCTTTAAAAGGGATCCTTAAAGGGTTCTGTATAGGGATCTAGAGTGTCGGGGGGCACGGCTTAGTGCTTTTTGTGCAGTGTTCTTTCTTGTTGGGGTCTACGGCTTTCAGGGTTTAGGGCGTTGGGGTTTATTATGGCATGGGGTGTAGGGGTTTTGTTTCTTTTTCGCATGAGTCGTTCCTTGGCTACTTTCTTGTGTAAGGCTGCCGGGTTCGGCATCAGGGCAACGATCTCATGCAGATTGTTGTACTTACCAACTTGGTGGTATCGACAGTTGTTGTCCTGCTCGTGGTTTCATTATCTTGGGACTTCCTGGGCTGTAAAACCCGACACCCCTTTGTCTTTATGAAGCTTATGTGACAAGATCAAACCGGCCGCGAGAACCACAAACAACTACCAAAAAAGGAACCACAACGGAGACAAAAGGTACGGATCAGGGATGGGAGGTTGAAGGTTGAGCCTTATCCGGTATCCGAGAGCAAGTATGCTTTCCTTTAGCGACCGCCTCCAAAGCATTGGAGCGTCCGGCAATCCATAGTATCCAGCAATGATCTCGATTATCTGCTCAGGATGCAAGCCTTCAATGCCACCCTTTGGTTGCATAGCATACAGTGGCCCTTCGGCTCTCTTGAGCGGTTGGCTTTGACAGAATGCGTTCTTCAAGGCTCCCACCGAGGCCCCATACTTCACAGATGCACAAGCTTGAAGAAGCACCCCAAACGTTGTAGAACACAAGGTTGGTGAAAATCTCTCCAAGGAGAGAAGGTCAGGGCCTTTGTCTCCTCTGATGCACCATCGAGACTTTCTCACATCTGGTTCTCCGGGCTGTTCAGCAGGCTTCACCCTTCGGACCATTCGCGAAGGTAAGATTCGGTCTAGCTTGCCCTCTGCCTTTAACTTTGCGTGAACTTCACGAGATTCTTTGAGGTCTAGTACTCTAACTGCACCTAAACCCTAAACCCCTAAACCCTAACCCTAAATCTTAAACCCTGAGGCTTATGGAGCACCAGAACTAAGCAGCTAAGCCCCAAACCCTGAAAATCCGAACCCGATGCCTCAAACTGTAGCTAGGGTAGCTAGGTTCTCCAGTAAGCCCTTGCTAGCAAGGGCACCCTTTTTCTTAGTATACCTACTGTTTTAAGAAGCAGACCACCAAAAGAAAAAGTGCAAAAGGACTGCTGCGCAACCTAGTTAGCTGGTAGTATCGGAGGACCTGAGCGCGAACCCAAACAAGGAAAGAGTAGGCTCACCAATACACGAATCGCGACATTGACAACAGGGTACCCAAGCCCTGAACATTCAAGATGTAGCCCGCCAATGGAACCTTCTTTTAACCCTCTTTTGAGGATTGAGGCCCCTGTGACCTCAGTCCGAGTCGCTCATGGAGCGGCTTCGCCACCACCATGCGGGTTCCAGCGCCGTCGTTGGACTCAGAACATGTTGAGACGTCTTGTTTCGCTGGCTTGAGCTTTTAGGGTTCCAAGTTGTTTGAGCAGGGCTTATCTCTAAACTCAACAGCCCAGTCTCTGCATCCTAAGCCCTGTACCATCGCTTATGAGGTTGTGAAGTCTTGTCTTGTTTGGTTGACAGAGTAATTATCCAGGAACTACCTGCAGTCTCCATCGTAGCTCCTCTTGGCGGCTACCTGTAAGATCCTACACCTATCGTTGGTTAAACCCCCTAAACCCTGAACCCGTAAGCCCCGAACCCCTAAACCCTCCACCCATGGCCACACCTAAACCCCAAACCCCAAAACCCTTTTCAAAACCCAAACCCCTAAACCCAATATGAGCCCCTAAACCCCGAACCCCTAAACCCTACACCCTTCTAGTGCCCGTATATATAATACCCTTATAGCACCCTTTTCATAACCTTATGGAACCCTTTAAAGGATACCTTATAGAGCCCTTTTCCCTCTAAACCCTACATAAGCCCTAAACCCTAAACCCCAAATCCTATAGACCCCTTAAACGAAGCCCTATAGTGCCCTTAAAGGAACCCTAAACCCATGGCGGCGGCGCCTCGCAGCCGCGCCCGACTACCCGAAGGAGGCCTGGCACTGACTCCGGGATTCCCCGGCTCTGGGGAAGATATGAGGGCGTACTTGGAGGGGCAGGGGACTTACTTGGTTGCAAGTAGAGTTATAAGTACCCTAAATGGAGTTACCCCAATTGTAACCCTACTTATAAACGACTTACTAAGTCCCCTGCCCTTCCAAGTACGGATCCATAAGGGTTCCCTTAAAGGGATGTACAAGGGTTCTACAAAAGGGGAGTTTTCCTTTGTACCCTTTGGGTTTGTACCCTTGAGTTTGGGTCAAAAAGGGTTCTACAAATGGGGTTTAGGGTTCCTTCAAGGGATCAAAAAGGGTTACAATGGGGTTTAGGGCTCCTTTAAAGGGGTCTATAAGGGCTCCTTAAAGGGATCTGTAAGGGTTCATTAAGGGGTTTAGGGTTTAGGGTTTAGTGGTTTATAGGGTTTAGGGTTTAGCCGTCTAGGGTTTAGGGGTTATAGGGGCTTAGGATTAGTGGTTTAGGGATTTGGGAAGTTAGTGGTTTAGGGTCTAATGTTGAGGCCTTGATCCTCCGAAAAGGGTTCTGGTGTACTATATTTCCAGTACTGTGGAGGTGAGGGGATAACGGAGTTGTCTTGGCCGTCAACTGTGTAGGGGTGTATGCAATTCTTGTCCAACGTCGGTGCATGCTGTCGTTGCCCCGCAAACCCTAAACCCCTATAAACTCTAAACCGCTAAACCAACCCTAAGGGTCCATGTACCCAAATAGTATATACTTGGGCCTTAAAGTAGTCCCTATGTAGGTACATTGGGGCCAAAGTATATACTATTTTGGGGTACATGGACCCTTAAAATTACCCTAAACCCTTATGGTACCCTTATGGAGCCCTTCAAAGGAACGCTATAAAAGGAACCAGTGGACCCGCAGGGATCCTATATACCCTTAGGGTAAGCGAGCTCCATTCTCCTTGTTTTGAGCTGCGTGAGGATTCCAGCGAAGCAGTGGGGGCGCTGCCGGAGTTGGCAAATGGGAGTTCCCGAAAATAGGGGACCCTAGTACCCTAAATAGTAAGATCCTTATTATAAGGACCTACGCCTTGGCCCTGAACCCAAAACTTCCTAAATGCCGAACCCTAAGCCCCAGCACAGATACCGGGATCGGGCTTTGGTCTTCAGAGAGAAACTTCGGGGCCGGGTTTAAGGTTTGTGGTTCCTTTAAAGGGATCTCTAAGGGTGCCTTTAAGGAATCCTGTAAGGGATTTGTAGGAGCTTAGGGTGTAAGGTTTGGGGTTCGGAATAATGTAAACCTCCTATTTATAAACCCCCCCTCAGTTACAAAACCCCACCCCCGGAACTCAATTATACACCCCCCCTCAAAGACAAAACCCCCCGGCCCAAATGCCCAAAATTAGGTACTTGTTGTTCTGTCTTGTGACAGAGAGAAAAAGAGAGAAACTGCAGCTACTACGACAGCTTCAGGTCTGCAGAGAGAGAGAGAGAGAGAGAAACTGCAGCTGCTACGAGTGCTTGAGGTCTGCAGAGAGAGAGAAACTGCAGCTACTACGACTGTTTCAGGTCTGCAGAGAGAGAGAAACTGCAGCTACTGGCACTGCTTGAGGTCTGCAGAGAGAGAGAGAGAGAAACTGCAGCTACCACCACTGCTTCAGGCCTGCAGAAAGAGAGAAACTGCAGAGCTTCAGCTGCGATTTTCAATCTTTCGCAGAGAGAGTTCGCGATCAGAGAGCCCAATCTGGGGGCATCTTGCCCAGAGTGCGGCAAAGCACTCGCATGTGGAAGCGAGTGCACCTAAACACATCGCAAGAGGGGCAGCCGCTCTGCCAGTGACAGCGAGAGCACACCCCCGGATCTCCGAGAGTCTTGATCCGCTCGATGTCCAAGAGGGCTTCTTTGCCCAAATCAGAGACATCCGGTGGAGCACCTTCCTTGACGACCTTGAGAGCGGCCTTCTGCAGAGCCGAGAGCTCGCCCTTCTCCGCCTCGGCCTTACTTCCTCAAAGCAAGTCACGGGAGTGGCAGAGGCAAGTCGCGGAGGTCACCGACGCGAGAGCAGGCGAGAGCCCAAAGCTTCGGAGTGAAAGCCTGTATAATTAAACAGGTCGTACTGTTTCTGTAACTCTTCATTTACTGTACTATACTGCTATACTATACTAGTGTACTACTACTGTACTATACTACTGTACTACTGTACTACTGTACTACTGTACTACTGTACTATTATGATACTATACTACTGTACTACGACGACCGACCCACCCCCCCCTCAATAGTCAATCCCGCCAAACCAATCAAGGGGGGGGGGGTTATTATTAGGAGGTTAACATTAACTTCTAAGCAACTTGAAAACCCAGAGTTTTACAACCCTAAGCCCTAAACCCTTTATAACGGTTTAGGGTTTAGGGTGGTTTGGGGCTTGCAGTTTATGTAGGATTTAGGGTTGCGCGATCAGGATCGGATATTATACCCTAAACCCAAAACCCCAAAACCCTGTAGATCCTAAAAAGAGCCCTTTAAGGGAACCCAAATCCATACCTAAACCCATAAAACCCTGGTCACCCCCGGGGCCTGCCGAGATGCCATTGTCTTTGAGCTCCTGGACGCAGCACAAAACCACTCAGAGAGGCGCAGTAAGGCTCTTCGGTTCGGCTCCTTCTTGGGCTTGGTTCATGCACTTTAGGACCAAGGGCTCGGGTTTAGGGTTTAGGGTTGCTTGGTTTGGGACCAAGGGCTACTACATGGGCATCGCTACAGAAACCCTGGCCCAAAGCCCGCGACTTCTGTAGTTGCTATACGGTGTGGGGTTATTGCAGTCGCATCTGCCTTGTGGTGCTCACTCTTGAACCTGCTACGACTCCGAGTATCACCCTTGCTTCTGATTGCCGCCGCTAGAGCTAAAGCTATATTCAGCAATCCAGCGGTCACAGTGCAGGGTCTTCTGCGTCTTCTGCGCATCTACTGACACCCTGAAACCTTTGTTTGGCTTATACTTGCATACTTCAAAGGGAAGGACGTGGACATTTTAAGTTATAGAAAACAAGATGAAGCATCGCGATATATTAAAATATTCATAGTATGGCGAAAATACAGGATGGTATACTTCAATATAGTATGAGGTACTGCATTGAAACACAAGTCATTATAATATGATAATGTTATAGGATTGGAAGACTATTACATTTATACCACGCAGTATAATACGATATACTATAACATAAACTGATATCATAGAGTATAGCGTGATATGAAATGAAATGTTATAGGATAAGTGACATAATACAACACAGTATAATACAATATGATATGATGTAAGGTACTGAAATTTCTGTAATGTTATGTGATCACACAATGCGATATGATAGCATGAATATATATATATATATATATATATATATATATATATATAGCATCATGCAATGAAACAGAGTGCAATATGATGTAATGCTAAGTAATGAAACACAAAAAGGTACAACACAATATAACAGAGCCAAACATATGTACGCAACACAACATAATATGGTACGTATTATGTAACAGAAAATATGATGCGTCACTGTGTTTGTAAAGCTATATATTCGAGAAATATAGTCTACTGGAAATGTATAATACATTATAATACAGCACGTGTATTGCATGGCATGATATCAGATGATATGAAACGATGTGATGTAGTACCGCTAGCCCTGCACTCCTGCATGGCCCCCCTTGCTCGCTGCAAGTCCAGCCCATCGCCTGGTCTGTTCTGGCAATTCGAGGCTTCAGGTTTCGGACGAGGCCAGGCGATTTAATGGGAGTTTCCGAAAATAGGAGACCCTACTATAGGGGTCTTTAAAGGCATCCTTTTAGGGTTCTATTAAAGGGATCTATAAGGGTTCTATAAAGGGTTTCGGGTTTAGAGTGTCAGAGCATAGGAGACCCTACTATAGTACCCTAGAAAAGTAGGGTCCTTATTATAAGGAACAAGGACCTTATTTTCGGAAACTGCCAAATCCTGACCGCTTTGCGGCATGAGGGCAGTTTAGGAGCCACGAACTGGGAGTCCAAAGGCCCCAAATCTAGGTTCTCTGCTTGTACCCACTTCTTGTTTGGGGTTTCAGAGGCCAATCTTCTAAGCTACACTGCACACATTCAACTCTCTCCAAGCCCCAAGCTCTTGAAGCCCAAAGAGGCCAAGCCTTAAGCCTCTTGTGGAAGAGCAAGGAGTCAGGAGGCCACATGGGTGGTTGTCAAAATTATGGTCCTTCTTGGGTCCCTATTATGGTACGGCACCTGATATTTAAGGTACTGACCCTAATTTTGACAACCACCCACGTTTGCTGGCTTAGGGCTTAGCTTCTGGGAGCTTTCCGGGGTTAAGGCCGTTTGGGGTCTTGGAGCCTCGGCCCCGACCCCTGCCCTAGGATGCCCAGTAACCTTCTTGGTATTGGGTTAGGGCCCAAAAGTTTAGGGTTTAGGGCCCAAGGAGTTTAGGGTTTCTAAAGGTTTTGGGTTCGTAGTTTGGGGCTTAGAGAGTTTAGGGTTGAGGATTTCTAGGATGCCCAATAACCTAGGAACAAAAAGGGCTCCCCTCTTGGTATTGGGTAACTTTACAAGGAACCTAGGACTAAAAAAAAGGGAATGAGGGTACTACTGGGCATCCTCGTACCTAGAGGCTCATACGCAACCCGCTTTTCAGGGCGCCTACTTTTAGAGATAACAGATCCTAACCATAGAACTAGGTATCCTAAAAAAGGGGTAGGGTATAAGCCTCTACAGTAGGTAGACCCTAAACCCCAAAGCCCTATAAACCTAAACCCCCTAAGTAGTAAACCCTTGCTATACTGAACTTAGAACCCTAACAACAATTATAATTTTAGCTGTTTCTTAGGGATTATAATAACCAAAAATCACAAATTATTTCTAAGTACCCCTAAGTTACAGCCCTTCACGCCTCAACACGTTTACTCCCGAACCCCCAGGCCCACTAAACGCCAAACACCTATTAACCGTAAACTTAAGGGTCCAAGTACCTATAATATAATTATAAACTCTCCCAAGTACTAGCCGACATAACTACTATTCGACCCCGATATTGCTCCATTCTTGCGTAACTTTGATATTTGGGGTGAGCAGTCGGGCTCCTGATTCTCTCTTCTACACCTGTCTGTCGGTTTTTTGAGCCACCCTCAACCCTAACAAAACATAAAGATCGTGTATTCCCTGCCATAGAAAGAAGGTTTTGGCCGTTCAACATACCCTAAACCCTTAACCCCTGACTGCCTGAACCCTTAGCCTAAGGCTCAAAATAGCCCCAAAGCCTTATGTAGTATGGTCTTTCGGCCCAAAAGCATTAAGCTGTGAGTCCTTAGAGCCTCAGGGTACAAACCCAAGCAAGTAAACCCTAACTAAACCCCAAACCCCTGAGTTTTCAGGGCGCGCCCTGTAAGTGGCACTTTCCCCCTCTATTTCAGCATGTGAATTGACCTGGCACATTGTCTGCAGAGCCCGGTGAAAAAAAGAACCTAAGTTTAGGACAAAACCCTAAGTATAGGACAAAAACTCTAAGTTTAGGAAAACAACCCTAAGTATAGGACAAAAACCCTAAGTTTAGGACAAACGCCCTAAACCCTAAACCCTAAACTAAAACAGTAGGTATCCCGGCTCTCGTTGGCTTGGCTGTGGCCCTCGATCGAGAGCTTCAAGCGCCCATCCCGGTGCTCTCGTAACCTCAGCTGCCGTGGTCCAGGAAAACGGACCCAAAGAGCCCAATACCCCTTAAATAAGGAATATACCTTCAGGGGATTCATATTATGATTTGAACTATATTCCTTAATTCAGGAGTACTGGGCTCTCTGGTGAGGCTTGGGGTTTCGGGTTTCTGGGCTCAGGGTTTACCTGGACCCTGGGGTTCCTTCGTTTTTGGAGGGCGTAAAAAAATAACATGGTTCTGGGTTGCAAAACTTAGTTATTAAGAGTTTGACCCGTATTTGGGAAATGACCTCGATTCGGATGGCCAGGTTGGCTCATGTACTTATGTGCCAGGTTGCAAGTGATTGCAAAAGATTGTTATGGCAAGAAATCTAATGCTTCAACATTGTAAGGTTTGCAACAACTGCATTCTTCGAAGACATTGAGGCTTCCTTCGGAGGAGGCTGCCAGCATTCGCAAATATTTCGAAGATTGCGTGTAGACATCGCTATACAAATGTATGAGTATATGCATCCATTGTAAATATATGGGAAGTAGGTGATATATGTATTGTGAACAGTATCTAACATCTCGAAAGTAAGATATGGCAATAAAAAGTAAATAGAAGAGAAAGAGAGATGGAGCTCGCCACTGTCTCCGGCTGGCTCGTTGGCGAAAAGGCCGCGGCCTCATCAGGGCAGTTGTGCACTTATGCTGCTTGGACGGAGCTGATTAATCTAATTCACGGGCTACCAGGCTGTTGATGATTGCAGTACAACCTCTATTGTAGCATTTGGCTTTTTGGAAGCATTCGTGCGCTTGTGTTTGCATCCTACCATGGAGCGTGGCGTGCCTGTGTCTTTAGACGGCATTGCTGAAGAGTGGGAGGGCAACGAGGTAGTGCGCCGGCAGATGCGTGTCTACGGGCGCTTGTTTTGTTCATGTGCTGCGGGGGAGAAAAACTTTGACCCTGCCTGCCACGTGAAGGAGGCAGCTTACAATGAGAGTGTGCTAGCTCCGCTTATCCGGAGGATCCATCGCTACCGCAACGCGGATGGACTCACGCAACTGTTCAAAATCAAACAGGTTGAGGCGCAGTGCCCCGGGCCATATTACTTTTGCAGAATTTGATTTCTAAAACAACATTCATTTCTACATTAGTCTGGAGCTTGGAGGTGCATTTGGGTTTGTGGAGATTGTGTGCTAGATGACTAGATCACTCCCTTGTTTGCTTGAAACGGAACCTATTCTAGGATTCGCAATTTGCATGAGATGGTTTCCCCGGGAAAAGCAGTCAACAAGATGGACTTGAAGAAGGACGCTTGGTTGGCTAAGGGGTTCGTGGTCCTCGTCAAGCGCAAGAAACACCGTGCCCACAAGGCCAGGCTTGCAGGCTTTCAACGGCTCTTGAATCTGTTGAAGGATGATGAGGATGAGGACTCCTGTTCAGAAACCTATAATGTTAATTGAACTTAGACAGGCCTCTTAGATCCGGGTTACCAAAATACTGCTGTACTATATATACATACATATATATATATATGTATGTTGTGGTTGATTTGGAGTTAAAATATCTAACGTATCCGAGTTGTTCCCCCTTGATAGCAGGATTCTGGCTCTGAGCCTGGCAGTGAGAATGATGATGACGACTCCAACAATGACGCCTCGGATGACCTGGTGATGCTCTCTGATGGAGAGGTGATGAACAACGAGGTCCATCCTTTCCAGGTGGTGCTTGATGAGGAGGCAGAAGAAGCCTCGGCAGCAGCTGTGGCAGAGCCGTCAGCGGCTGCCTTGGACCCCCTTGAGGATTCCCAGCTGGAGCTACCGGATCGAGTCTTTGGCCGCGAGCCTGGTGATCGCGTGGCTGCCGATGGTCAGCCTTTGTATTGGGTGGAGGTGGATGATAGTCCTCTTCCTAAGGGGAAGGATTCTTGTGAAAGTGCCGATGAAGGCGATGACGGTAAGAAGTCCACCCGGCCAACAGCCAAGGATGAAACCCCTCCCAAAGGCAAGCGTCATCAGTTTGGGATGTCGAGCCCCCATCGGAAGTTCAAGGAACTCAATGCAAAACTCCAGATGTTGAAGAGCAAGCAAGCCAAGCGGACCTCCAGTTTAATCAGCAGCGTTTTCCATGAGCCTTGTGGATCATTGGTTGGTATGCGTGTATGTATCTGTATGCATGGAGCTTGCTGTGGCTCAGGGTGCAGAAGTTCAAGGAGCTGGCAGCCGAGAAGGGCGTCGATTTGCCAGGACCGAGCGAGCCAACGATCAGGGTTGCTCAGGGCATGCGTGTGCTTTCGTGTACGTTGTGCGTGTGTGTGTGCGTCTGTGCTGTGGTTCTTCTGCGGGGGTGGGTAATCTGTACTTGCAATATGTCTTTCTGTTTTCACATACACATCAGGATGTTCCGGGTCTGGCTCCTCCTCGTCTTGGGAGAAGGAGGGCAATGATACGCAAGTGGTGTCTGCTGACATCATGGATGACCTAGCGGAGAAGTTCCGCTTGGCCAATGCGTCGATTGACCTGGAAGGCCTCCAGGAGGAGCAGCCTGAGTTGGCTCCTAGTTTGCATGTAGCTTCGCTGCGTGTGTGTGTGTGGGTGTGTGTGTGTGTGTGTGTTTAAGACAGGGAGTTTGAAGCAAGGGCCTCAACTGATTCGATGTGCCAGTGCAATTGGATTGTGTGGGGAGGCTGTGTTATGTTACTTGACTTCATCAAATCAAAGTGTGGACTGTAAATAAACTTCACGATCGCCTTGTGTGTTCACGAGCATTATATACAATATAATCCTGTAACGTGGGTGCACAACCAAGGTGATCCGCCGAGAGCAGTTGTCATCGAAGGCCAAGCTCGCGCAGAAGCGTGCGGAGGCAAAGGAGGCCAAGGCGGGCGAGAGCGAGAAGAAGAAGAAGAAGCAGGGCAAGAAGGGGAAGAACAAGAAGCTTGTTTCCGGTGACAGCGGCGAGCTGTCCATGGATGACGAGGACGGGGACGGGGAGAACGAGGAGAAGAAGATGCCAGTGAAGCCCAAGGCGAAGGCCAAGAGCACATCCAAGTGCAAATCAAAGGCCAAGAGCAAAGCGGGCAAGCGCAACAAGACGAGCCTAGAGGTTGAGTTCCCACCGGAAGAGGTTGTGCCACCATGTGCAAACGATCGCGAGGTTGAGGCCCCAGCGGAAGAGGTTGTGCCACCAGGTGCAAACGATTGCGAGGTTGAGGCTGCAGATGCCACCAAGGCTGGGAAAGTCAAGGCCAATAAGAAGCGCAAGACTGGGGGCCCTGATGCTGATCCTGATCCTGTCCCGAATCCGTGCAGGGTAGCAAGGGCCGATGAGAGCAGGATCACCACGACGTTCGCCCGCCGCTACATGCCTGCCAAGCCTGGTTTCTCACGAGAGCGATGGCAGGCGATCCGGATTGCGTTCAACAAGAACATCCATAAGAAGCTTGATTCCCCCAGCAAGCACGAGGACTTTGATTCAATCAATGGGGGTATGTGATTGCTAGCTCCTTGTTGTGATGCCGTGTGCCCAGCTAGACCCACAAAGTTCTGTAGTAGTACAATTGCAAACAAAACAATAGTTGAATAGATCATTCTTGCAGTGTAGATAACCGACGTGACCAGGACCTCTTCTGGAAGTTCTGTATGCAAGATTGGTCTACGCAGGGCATCCACGTGGACGAGGACACTGTGCACCTTGCGGCTATGGAGAGCTCCGCGAACTATCTCCGGACCCAGGGACTGCGGTTGGACGACGATGAGTGAGCCCGGTTGAAGCCGTGTGATCATGCGCTGGACTACCATGCGCACTGGTTTTGCACATGTGCATATTCGCACATGCTGACATGAGAAAATTCCTGATTTCAATCGAAGATGCGAGAACAACTTTTGCTCATTGGCTTTACAGATTATCCTGCTTGGCTGTGCATGGGGCCTGTATGCTTCGATGTTTATTGATGTTACGAATGTGGGTAAATACTGAATATTCTGTGGCAGATCGATTGACTATAAGCTTGCCACACAGCATGTGCAGCCGAAGTAGGACTAGGCATCTGTATAGGGGCTCCTCCAGTGTACTGCAAAAGCTAGCCCGGCTCTCGTGCAAAAGAAACAGTCCTGCTTCACTTGACAGCCCTCGCATGTGTGCTTTGCGTGGCTGTACTCTTGTAGTTGTGAGACAGCTTGTGGCCATCGGAACGATTGACATCCCAGTCTGTCTATGAAACCCGATCGAACCCCTGCCTTCTCAGGTCCTGCATGGCGTGGCGGTACCGCCTCCGCGACTGCAACCGTGAGGCCAAGCAGCGTGCAGCCTCCGAGTTTGAGTGCCAAGCTTCGTTCTCGGCTGTTTATATAATATTGTTAAACAGTTACATGATTATTTGACTGGCTTCTGCGCAGTGCCGCTGAAGTTTGCTTGCTCGTTCGAAGCCGATGTTGTCACGCTGCTGCAGCAATCTGCGCATGGGCTTGTAGATTGAACCAGGTTGAAAGCTGGATAACAATTGCTGGGAAACAATATGAAGAGCACGGAGCCTTTCAATGTCAAGTGGGCCCAGGTTTCGAAAGACCACATAAGGCTTCTGTAGGCAGAGCTATAAACCATTCATTGGCATTGCTTTAATTTATCTACGCGAATTATAGTAATTGTGTAGAGGTATTTGTATGACAACCCAAATCCCCAAATCCAGTAAAGCGGGAAAGCCCAATATAGTTATGATATATTATGATGTATTGTCCTCTTTCTGTACATATTGTCCTAAGAACCAGTATAAACCCCAAAAGCCGCATATACTCCACTTCGCTTTCGACGCTAGCCATGGATGTGCCCATGGATGCACAAAAGTTGCACCGCCTGCACGCTATGATCCGAAAGCTTGTTCATGTGGCTGCTCCTAAAGTGCTTTCCTCAGTTATGACAGTTATGACATCGTCCAAACAAAGCACACGCAGTCCTAATTTAAGTAATTATAAAGTCCCTAGATCCCCATCTCTTTCGCCCAGGTTCTCGTGGCCTGTGTCATCCTTTTGTGCTT